CAGCCTACGTACAGCCCATCGCGAGAGCCTGCTGTCTCATCAACCGAGCCTCTTCCGGAGAGACCTACTTACGGCCCGCAGGAGCCGCCGGTTTCGGACAAGGGCAACCTTCCTCCCACTATCGTTCAACCTACTCCCAGCAAATCAAAGGGGCCGCCGGCACCTACGGGGAAATTTCCGCCGAAGATCGTGCAGCCTACTCCCAGTCCACCACAACAACCGGCCGCTTCGTCTACGTCCGCGGGGGGAATAACTTTTGGGCCAGGAGGAATCTTGACATATGAGAATCCCCCCGCTACAAGCTCTCTTCCTAAAGAAGCTTTGAGCAGCCAAAGCCTTGATGGTGGGGCTTCGTTCCCTGGGCCTGGACCGGCCACGAGCGAAGGCTATGTTCCAATTGCAACTCTCACAGGGACTAGGCCAGTTGTCACAAGTGAGGGCTCCAGTCCATCTGTTACACCCGAGGGCTATATTCCTGCGCCAACCACCACACCTGGTATCCGCCCTCCCGTGGGAAGTGCGATCTCAGGGCCTAACGGCAAGCCTGAGTCCTACGCCCCATCAAGCACCCTTGGTACAGGAGCCAACTCAGGGTATCCCGTTAAATCGAACAAGGAAGAGCCTTCCGCACCAGCCAATGGGAATGTGAATTATCCCCCTGGCGCTTCTACAACACGGCCTGATGTCGAGAAGCCCACATATCCTCCTGGCGTCCCACCAGGCACATCTCCCGAATCCTCTGGTCTAGGGAGCATTCTCTCAAGTATGTTGGGCCCTGCTACAAGCGCTCCTGGACCCGCACCCCCGGGCCCCAGTTACCCAGCTGGAACTCCCCCAGCCTCTTTACCCGGACCTCCTAAAACGACTCGGCCGACCAACGATGTGGAATCTAACGGCGTACCTGCAAGTCATGTCACACCGGGTGCTGCTGGATACCCGACCATCAATCCTACAATTATGGCATCAGACAGTACAGTGATCGCGCCTCCTACGAACACTCGTCCCGCAAGCGAATCTAAGCTCCCCAGTGGATATGTACCCGGCCCCGGTCTGTCTACAGAATACGGCACTCATCCTACAGAGGTACCGAATGGATCGTCCGGCATCGCGTCCGCCTCGAAACCCCCCACCGAGTATCCGGTCGGGCCAAACACCGTGGTCCCACCGACTCTATCGCCCTCTCGGACAAGTGCTGGACCAGATGAGACTCCCTTCCCTATTTACGTCCCATCCGCTCCGCCAACCTCAATTCCAAATTCTGCGCCATCTCCTTCAGTTCCTCCAACGAGTGTACTTGGTCCATCGCCATCAGCTCCGGAAACGATCCTCCCAACAACGACCAACCCCGGGTCGACCATGTGGCTCCCCTCTACAATCATTGCACAATACTCGGCGAGCGTGCCCGCTGGACACAGTCTTCCACCGCAGCCAACTGGAATCAGCAGTGCTTTGCCCAGAGTCATTTCCAATCCCAATGCTACCAAGCAGCCTGAAGATACCACTTTGATCCAACTCGGCTTCTTGTACCCCTTGAACTACCAATTTGTCGTGGAAAACCCCATGTCATCTGTCCAGATCTTTGAATATCTGCCCATTGGCATTGCCAGTGGCCTGGGATTGAGGAAGGAGCAAATCATGATGCATTCCCTGGTTCCGTTGGACACCACTGCTCGCATGAACTATATCACCACCTTGGCATTGGCATACATTCCCACCAACATGGTCAACACACTTGCCTTGGATCTGCACCTACCAACATCTCCCCTTTACAATAACCCGGATCCCAGTATCAACACTCTGATGAACTACATCAACCCGGCCATTCCTTTGACTCCTGGCTCCACTATGGATGCTGGTGGGTCATCGGGCATGGGTAGCGGTGATTCGCCTGGATCTGGTGACGACTCCGACAAAGACAACGATGAAAACGACGTGTTCGGCGACACCAATCAGCAAAATCAAACTGCTGGAAGGACTGGGGCAACAGCTGGCATTGCCATGGCTGCCATCGGATGCTCCGCAGCGTACGGAGCAGCCATGTTCTTGGTTGCACGGAGATATAAGAGACGCAAGCAAAATCACCGCAGATCAAGCTCTATGGCCGCTGGTGAGATGAGCCAGTCTGGCAGCCCAGCACTCATGGGAGGCGCGTATATGTCAGGTGGACGAAATACTCCTGGGATCAATGGTCGTGACAGAAACAGTAGGGGCAGTGGACGGACTGGTGCCTCTGCACGGACCCAACAGATCTCGGCCCCCATGATGGCCGAGAACTCCCTCGGCTGGAACTGAGTGACCAACCATATACCGGCTCGCCAAATTTTTTTTCAGACCTCCCTCAGATACCCAGCATCACCCGCCGCACCGGAACATCTTCCTCTCGATTGCCTCTACAATACAATACCACGTCATATACAGCCCGCCGCTGGATGATCCACTAGAAATCGTCTCTTCGCATTTTCTTGTCATCAGCCGCTCATTTGCCGTTGGTAAACGCTCCATACCCTACATCTTGAAGGATCTCGCGTCACTTTTTTTCGACCGTGATCTGATGTGGGACTTTTTGTTTTATTTGTCAAGAAAGAGAGCCTGGAGGGACGGAAATGGACTTGGGATTGGGCGGGGTATAGGAGGATTTGTATTTATTATGATCTTGATCCGATCGATGAAAATGGATTCCAGTAAAAAGTCCACCTTTATTGGTCTGGTTGCTTCGTGGTGTGAATGGCGGGAAGTTGTAGTAGACATGGGAGATTTTGTAATGGCAGGTGAATTAATAATGTACATTTGAACTGAACGGGGCGAAGACTTTCTCGGTTACTGTCATGACAGCTCAGGGCAGTGCTGTGGGATAGCTCACACCATGTCCAGTCTACTAATAAACCTTATTTCTAATTGCGAAACGGCCCTCTGCCAAAGCCGAACCTCTTCCTGTCGACTTGGACTCGCACGGGGGCCGTCCCGGATCTGGTAGCGATCGCGCAGGCTCGAGGCTGAGGCTAAGGCGGAGCCTGAGGCTGAGGCGGTTCAGTTATTTACTGTAGTTGCTGTGCCGACCGGCACGAGAAAAACACCCGTCCCAAGCAAGTTCGAGGAGCGCGCGCATCGTCTCAAGTTACAACAACCCCTTCTGGACTCACCAATTGCTATCATATTCTACACAGCTCAGGTTGCCTCGAAAATCGATATCAGCTCGACGCAGATTCAAGTGAAAAAAAATCAAGTCAAATCAGTCACTGGTTCTCCAGCTCAGCTCAGCCCAGCCGCATGAGCTCGACCTGAAGTAAACATTCAGCATTCCTTCAGACGCGCAACCCACAACACCCGTCGCGAGATGGATCACAGCGCCCCCGGGCATCCGCCCATGTACTCGGAAGCTCCGTCCTACAGCGAAGCTACATATGAAGAGGTGCCTAGCTATGGTGACGAGCACATTTCCACCCCCACGGGCCAGCCTAGTAGCTCGTCGCACATCCGCTTGTTGACATCCGTCGATGAGCTGGAGCCGGAGGGACGTCCGTATGTATCACCCTCTCAGAGTCAGAGCCAAGTTCCTGCCCCTCTCAAGGTCAAGCTGCAGAGGAAGCAGAAAGAGCCTGTGCTGGTCACGTCGGCACTCCGGCATCTTGCTACTCCAGGGCGTCTGTCGACGCCAGCGCACCTCACGGCTCTCAAGGAAGAAGAGGAAGCCATCTCCGCAAGCAAGCGCAAGGCTCTGCAGACGGAGACCATGGACCCGCATCTTCTGCCCCCCGTGCCGGCCGGCCCCTCGCGTAGGAGATCGCTGAGGCACCCCATCAAGTCCCCTTTGTCGCAGCTCGAGAACGAGCTCATGCTTCAACGAGACGCCAGCTTACACAAGAATTCATATAGGCACTACACGCCGCAGCGCAGGTCCTACCAGCCGTCCGTCGACTCCGACCGCGCCCCGAGCATCATCGACACGGCGCCGACCATGCCGCCGCCCGGCTCCTCATACATGCCCTACCTGCCGAGCGGGAGGACGAGTCCGACGAGGAGCTGGAGTCCGAGTAGAAGCAGCGCAGACTACGCGAGGCCGCCGCCGCCGAACTGCAATTTCGAGCCGAGTGAGTTGAACGGGAGCTCGAGACCAGGAACGCCCAGTAGTCGGTATGGAGGCAGTCCAAGAAGACCGCTACCACCTGCGCCGCTCTTCTCCGGCCCCGGGGCCGGGGCAAGGAACTCGGCCTTTACGGATGATGCGACCATCTTGATCCCATTGGAGAACGATATCGGAGATGGTGATGATGTGTTCGGGCCGCCTAGTCCTACCAAGAGAAGGTCGGGATTGGGGAGGCGGGATTCGTACATGACGACCGATACGCTGCACAACGACGGTGAGGGGGAGGGGGACGGGGAAGGGGGAGGGGAGGACCAGGACTACGAGCACTACGGCCCGGCGCCGGATGGGAAACAGGAGCGTCGAGGCGCGAGGCAGGCACAGATGGCGAAGAAAGAGGTGAAGCTCATTAACGGCGAGCTGATCCTCGAGTGTAAGATCCCGACGATCCTGTACAGTTTCCTACCGCGAAGAGACGAGGTCGAGTTCACGCATATGCGCTACACGGCCGTCACCTGCGACCCTGACGATTTCGTGTCGAAGGGGTATCAGCTGCGCCAGAACATCGGGTCGACGGCCAGGGAGACGGAGCTGTTCATCTGCGTCACCATGTACAACGAGAACGAGATCGACTTTACGCGGACCATGCACGCGGTGATGAAGAACGTGTCGCACTTCTGCTCGCGCTCGAAATCTCGCACCTGGGGCGAGAACGGGTGGCAGAAGATCGTCGTCTGTGTGATTGCCGACGGGCGACAGAAGGTCAATCCGAGGACGCTGGACGCGCTGGCGGCGATGGGCGTGTACCAGGATGGCATTGCGAAGAACTTGGTCAATCAGAAGGAGGTCCAGGCTCATCTCTACGAGTATACGACGCAGGTGTCGCTCGACTCGGATCTGAAGTTCAAGGGGGCGGAGAAGGGCATCGTGCCTGTGCAGATGGTGTTTTGCATGAAGGAGAAGAATGCGAAGAAGCTGAATTCGCACCGCTGGTTCTTCAATGCTTTTGGCCGCGCCCTGACGCCGAACATCTGTATCCTGCTGGACGTCGGCACGAAACCGGGGGGCAACTCGCTGTACCATCTTTGGAAGGCATTCGACACGGACTCCAACGTCGCAGGCGCCTGTGGAGAGATCAAAGCCATGAAGGGGAAGTACGGCACGGGCCTGCTCAACCCTCTGGTCGCCTCGCAGAACTTCGAGTACAAGCTTTCGAATATCCTCGACAAGCCGCTCGAGTCGGTGTTCGGATATATCACCGTGTTGCCGGGAGCGTTGAGTGCCTACCGGTACCATGCGCTGCAGAATGACCATACGGGCCATGGACCGCTGAGTCAGTACTTCAAAGGAGAGACGCTGCATGGACAGAACGCGGACGTGTTTACGGCGAACATGTACTTGGCCGAGGATCGAATCCTGTGTTGGGAGCTGGTGGCGAAGAGGGATGAGAGATGGGTCTTGAAGTATGTGAAGAGCTGTACGGGGGAGACGGACGTGCCTGGTAAGTTCTGCTCTCTCGCTCCGCTGGCCGAAGGACCCAGACTGACGTGAACCCCTATGTAGACGCTGTCCCCGAATTCATCTCCCAGCGCAGAAGATGGCTCAACGGCGCGTTCTTTGCCGCCGTCTACTCCCTCGTCCATTTCCGCCAGATCTGGAATACAGACCACACCGTGGGCCGGAAAATCCTCCTCCACATCGAGTTCGTCTACCAGTTCATCCAGCTGATCTTCACCTACTTCTCCCTCGCCAACTTCTACCTGACCTTCTACTTCGTCGCCGGCTCCCTCTCGGACCCGACCATCGATCCCTTCGGCCGCAACGTGGGGAAGGTCATCTTTGTCATCCTGCGCTACACATGTATCCTCCTCATCGCAACTCAGTTCATCCTGAGTATGGGCAACCGGCCTCAGGGTGCCAAGAAGCTCTACCTCTACAGCATGATCCTCTACGGCATCATCATGATCTACACCATCTTCGCCTCGTTCTGGATCATCATCAAGCAGTTCCAGGATTCCGCTTTCACGATTGGGAGCAACGCCTTCACGACGCTCTTCGTCTCGCTCGCCTCCACCATCGGCCTCTACTTCCTGATGTCCTTCCTCTACCTCGACCCCTGGCACATGTTCACGTCCTCGGTTCAGTACTTCGTCCTCCTCCCGTCGTACATCTGCACGCTGCAGGTCTACGCCTTCTGCAACACGCACGACATCTCCTGGGGCACCAAGGGCGACAACGTGATCCACACGGACCTCGGGGCCGCGACGGGCCACGGCAAATCGGCCACGGTGGAGCTCGAGATGCCGTCGGAGCAGCTCGACATCGACTCGGGCTACGACGAGGCGCTGCGCAACCTGCGCGACCGGCTCGAGGTGCCCGTGGTGCCCGTGTCGGAGGCGCAGCAGCAGGAGGACTACTACAAGTCGGTGCGCACCTACATGGTGGTGTGCTGGCTCGTCTCGAACGCCATCCTCGCCATGGCCGTCAGCGAGACGTACGGGACGGGCCACGTCGGCGACAACGCCTACCTCAAGATCGTGCTGTGGTCGGTGGCGAGCTTGGCGCTCTTCCGCGCGCTGGGCAGCGGCGCCTTCGGCGTCATCAACTGCGTCGAGGCGTGCGTCGAGGGCCGGGTCAAGTTCAGCATGAAGGCGCCCAAGTGGATGGGCGGCTTCGGGGAGAAGGTCGGCGAGAAGTGGAGGGATGGCGTGAGTAGCATCGGGAGCCGGACGTCGAAGTCTTGAGGCGACGCCTTGGTAGACTGCGTGTACCGGTCTGGTTGTCTTTCGGGGGTGGGTGTGATTCCATTCGGGGGGGAGGGGGGGTAACGAGTTGGGATTTGGATAGGATAGCATGCGTGGATGGATTTTCTTGATGAAAAGGGACTTAATCTGGTGACGAGGGGGGATACACGAGAAACGAGATTGGTTTTAGGAGGGAGAGGGGAGAAAGGGAGGGAGGGAGAAAGGAGCGGATTTAACGTGACGAACACGAGCTACTCTTCTGTCCTTGGACCTGAGACGAGCAGAACGGTCGATCCTCTTCTGCAGTCTCTCTTCCAAGTGCGATATTTGATCCTGGCACGCAGAGATATACATCATGCCTTCGCGTTTGGAGAATCTGGCGTTGCTTTCTTTTTTTTTCCCTGGCGTTGTGGATGGAATGGAGTCCTTCACGGTAGAGAATAATAGATGGGCGGGTGGGCAGGTGTGGATCGGTTGGCAAATGAGTGGGATATGGGGTATGTAGTATGTAGTAGTAGGTAAGAAAGGAAGTAAGTAAGTAAGTAAGTAGTAGGTAACGATTAGTAGGAAATTGAAATTGAGATTGAGATTGAAATCGGGATTGAAATTGGGATTGAGATTGAGATTGGGAGATGGTGTGGATGTGGTTGGTGAGTTACTTATTGAGTGTGAGTGAGTGCGAGAGGCGGAACAAAAGGGGTCAGTCAGATGGAAAAGATCATGTTTGCCCTCCCTTTGAGCGCAAAGAAGACGGAAGCTTTCCTCCTCTCATGTTGTCCGGCTTACATCTGCTATCAAAGTTTCCGGCCGTTCGTTGTTGGTCCTGCCACTGACTCATGGATGATGATGCCCATCTCAATCAACTCCGTCGCTACGGCCACAGCAAATCAGAAGATCCCTCTCGGTCAACTGAAGACCATTGCCTCCTCCAGAAGGGCTTCGGTTCCCAGCGGATTCTGTGGCCGGCCCAGGGGCTTAACGGAGCGTAGGTCGATCTTCTTTCTTTTCTGCACGCGTTTTCGTAGCTAGAAAGATCAATGTCGAGTGCCCTTCGAGCCTTGGTGTATTTATTTATCTACCTATGCAGCTCCTACCTACAGTACCTCAGCGGGGCTCGCTTAATTTTATTTATTCACTGTCAGCAGACAACACACCCAACCTGGTCGAAATCCGGGACGGAATACCAAGCCTGCTGTATTTCCGGATAGCCGGACAGTAATCGGGGTTGTTATATGCAAAGGGTAGTAGGGTGCATCGAGATCCGCAGTATGGTAATCGGAACCCACACTTCCCTTCGATGGACGAGAAAGGGAGGAAGGGTGCGCGCCGAAGAGGCCAAGGTGACGATGAATTACGTGCTTGGGATGAAATCTATCTATGCTGCTCTTAAATCTTCGTCTGGAGGGCAATCGGAAGATATCATGATGAACGAGGCTGTAGGTGCTGCTGTCAGAGGCGACACCGTTGTCAACTATTGATTCCCGAGGAAATGGACGCCGTCCACTCACCTGTCTAGCCAGCGCGGAGGAAGCTCCTAAATTTAGCGTGGCTCTACAGAGCTTGGGAGACGCGAGCAGAGATTAAGAGAACCCTGGATCGGGTTTCCTAGTCTAGATTCGCCGCAAGGTCGATCGATTGCCGATTTGCAGATTCGATGGGCGTGGGTTGATATACATCCATCCGTCTCCGGGGAAATTGGCCAGGCCGACGTAAAGATCGCCTGTTTGATCTTTCTCTTGTGGGCTAATATCCACCAACGCAGGGAATATTTTTCGTTCTGGGAATGCGATCGATGTCAAAGAATTACCCAGGCCTGGAAAGACTGTGTGTATTCTGACGGCCAATCTGAACATGTATATCTGAGCGGTTCGCTAAGTAGAGCGGTACGGTAAACATCCCGTAGAAAGCTAAGGGAAGGAGAGGTGGACCTTGACAACATCACGACTCCTCAGCGTGTCTCATAAGTACATACATAGCCTTTCGTATCCTCTACAGTAGAAGAAGAATCATCCTCTCTTCTCCCACTTTGTTTGGGATCTATAACTGGTGCCCTACGCAGGGAGCCTCTGGACGCCTACAAAAGCTGGCCGAAGAACCCCTCCTGCTCGTGAAATACTCTGATTCAAAAGGAAGTGATTGAAGACCCGGAACCATCTCGCAGTCCACGAGGTCAAACCAGGATCAAATGTCGACAATAATCCTATGGCAGAGACCTGCACACACCAGAGCGAGAACCACCTCTATGAGCCAGAGGAGAAACCATACTCGAGACCACGCCAAACACCATTGGAGAGGCTTCCCGCAGCTGCCTGTGCCCATAGCGCTCAAATATAACGGCGGCTGTACTGCCTAGCTATAGCGCGGAGGGCCGAGACAGCCAGACGGAGGGATGATCAGGCGACAGCAATAGTACATCTGACAGCATCTTGAACACTCTTCACAGACAGATCCTAAAGAATGTCAAGAGCTGAGCCTGACGTGGTATCAAGAGCCAGTATAGTGCACTACTGATGCAAACATTATACCTATGCAGCTGCTATCACTTCTCGCGCAAGACACTGCTCTACACCATTACTCTTGTTTCCTGAATTTGCGTTCAAACTCTCATCGAACCCCAACGCACCGCACCGCACCGCACCGCACCGCCTTGAGATATATACCTTATGCACTCGAACCCACGACGGGCTTTACCGTAGAGCCAAGAGGCGGACATTGAAAATCCACCGGCATCTCCAAGCAAACAGCTACACCGTAGTGCCCCCGCGTATTTATAAAACCATCTCCAACCGACATACGCACGAAGGTTCTCATGGCGCACATACTTCTGTTGGCACTGGCATATGATAGAGCGGCCCATGAGCCTTGTAAGGATCCTTCCTTCGCGAGTCGCTTTCTGAAGGTAACGGATGATACAGAGCGCACGCTCAACGTGGATAGGGGTAAGCAGTGACAGCAGATAGCTGAACGGCAGTATAAGGTTCACGAGATAGATAGGATCGCCTGAAATGGCTGCTATCCGCACGCAAAGTCCCTCTACCTCCACCAAGGAAGGTCCTAGAACGCTACCCCGGACCCTGAGAATTCAAGCCTGACATAGCACTCACTTCAGGTATATCCTTCACATCGACGACGAGGAGAAACCGGATTAGATTAGATCTGAAGATGCGTGAGTTGCAATGCAGTATAGTAGATTCCTTTCAATTTGCGGACATGAGCGGCTGTGAAAGCATGTCCGTCTGTAGGAGAAGCGAGCGAGCGAGCACGAAAAAGCGAAAAAGCGTACTTTTCCGTGCCATGGCCATTTAACACAGAAATGTAGTCACAGCTAGCTAGCTCTGATGCTCAGTGTGCTGCTTGCTGTGCAGGCAGATCGGTCGGTCCATCGAACGGCAAAAGGAAACGACTTGAGAGCGAAGGGTCGATCATATATACCTTTCCCATCACACGAAGAAATGTAAGAATATAACTCATTCGTCATACCTATCTACTGCGCCAAATATATGCCCACCAACACCCCTAATGCATTGAACCGACATGAAGACATGCGCTGATATATCCCAAACACCCGCCTCTTTTCAAAGCCCCGCTCCCAGTTCCCCTAGCATGCAAGCATGCTTATTTATAACATGAGAAGATCTCCGTTCGAGCCGTGTCCCATGGCAGGCTGGTAGACCTGCTCGGGCGCGCTCTGGTTGACCACGTATTGCATCTCGCCTCTCCCATACATCGGGCTACCTCCGAAACCGTCATCGTTGCCACCATTAATGTTCATGGCTGCCATCTGGTGGCTGCCTACGCCGGCGAAAAACTCGTCAGCTGCGTCTACGGCAGCTGCGAGATCTCCATTTTGGGGTGGTGGGAGTGTGGGCTGGCCGCCCATGCCCAAGCCTGAGTGAGACTTCTGACCATCGAGACTGTTGAATGAAGGGAGTGTGTGTTTCTGGAGGGCGGGACTGTCTTGTAGTTTGCGTGGTCGGGCCGAGCGGAATACTTGCTGGACGGGCTTAAGGTACACCGTTGCGAGGGTACCGACGTTGAGACACATCTCTTCTAGGGTCGTTGGATCCAGCTTCTCGGACTCGGCTGTGATGGGCGGCTTTTCGCCCATGACGACTAACTTTGCAGTTGCCATGTCAGATGAGAGTAGACGCCAGTACATGTAGCCTCTGTCCCTCAAATCGGGATTGTCTGTTTCTTCGGTAGCCCATTTGAGAACCTTGGGAACAAGTTCCTGGCCTTTGGTTGGCCGTTGGATAAACAGCTTGACAGTCGCAGTTAGGAGAGCGAGCTGCACTTCGACTGGCTCCTCCGCGAAGGAGAAGAGGAAGTCTTCGAGAAGGACGTCTGAGTTCTCGATGCGAGATGCGTATTGACCGATGACCCAGATCATAGCAGCTTTGGCCTCGGGCTCGTCCAGGGAATCGAGGTTCTCGCAAAGAGTGGAAATGATCGATTCGTACTGGTTTGGATATTTGCGGAAGATATTACGGATCACGACTGTCGCCTCTTGAACAATGTAGGTGACTTTGGTGGCCACCAGCTCAAGCAGCGTGCTGATGCAACGTTTCGCGGAGGGCTCGATTTTGATGGCTAGCTTTCCAATTGCTCGTACAGATTTCCGGACAAAATGGAGGTCGATTTCAGTTGCGTATTCTCTCAACTCCGTCAACACTTCATCGATGTTGTCCTCAGTAGCCAGCATAAAGATCAACTCCAACTTGGTGACTTTGACATATATGGGATCATTGTACTTGCAGAAAAATACTCGGATGTCGTTACGTAGCACCTCAGGTCGCCGTTGCAAAATCAGAAGCGCGTTTCGCAGAGCAAGATATTGGACCTCTGGACCCTTCGCCAAGAGGGTCACCAGCGGAGGCGAAAGCTTGCGGCAAAGAAGTGATATTTGCTTTTGATCCGCAATGTAGTTCATCAGGTAGAGAATTACTCTAATACAGGTCAGTACAACAGCAGAGTTTGAATGCGATAGTCGCGGTGATATTCTCTCTGCTAGTAGCAGTGCCTCGGATGTCTCCTGAGGGACGTATGACATTAAAGCCTCGAGGATATAAGTTTGGCCCCATCTGTGTCAACGATTAGCAGCGGAACCTTCCCGGGAGAAGTTCATACATACTCAGAGCAATCCGGTAGGATCTGCACCATTTTGGAAGCATTTCCATAATCAATCGTAAGCTTGATCGCTTCGCTCCTCTCCCAGATATCCATCAAACTCGCCAAAGCACTCGCCACAACGGTAGGATTGTCGTCTCTCAGCATAGAATTCAGCCTATCTATCAGATCCGAACCTTCCACAAGCTGCCGGTCGTGGTCGTATAACTTTGCAACGCAGAAAGCGGCAGTCTTCCGCACGTATGGGTCTGCGTCTCGTAGTAATTGTTTGGTTTGAGGAACGGTAGCTTCTACATATTCTCGAACATGGATGTATGACAATGTCCGTAATGCAAGTGCTCGTACGAGAGGGTTTGAGTCGTTCATATCCTGAGTATGTCGATCAGCTACTAGCCGAGCAGAGAGTCTCGAAAGTGGTACTGTACATCTTGCAGTGTAGGGAGAGCCTTCAGCGCAACATCCGGCTTAATGCGCGCATAGTTCACCAGAAACAAGAAGCACCTGTGAGAATATCAGCACCCCTTCTCCAAGCAGGGCTTCCTCCCCGAGCCACTTACATCTTCTTGATCTCCAGACTGGGTATCTGCATACAGCCAACAATGTCCGGAAACAGCGCAACCATATCGTTGTTGCTCATGGTCATGTTGGCCACAATCTTCTTGAGGGCAATCTTTTTAGCCGCATGATTCTTATCCTTCTTTCCCCCGCTATTCAGCTCCTGTCGAAGTTCCGCGACTTTGCCCTGTGGAGTACGCAAGTATGGTAAGCCGCCTAGTCCGTAGCCATTTGGGGGGATATAGTGAGGGAGGAACATCGCAATAGGGTAAGCTTCAACACCACCGGGAGAGTTTATACGGAGGATGTCATTCGATTGAAGCAGAAGGTTTGGCGCGACTCCAGCATGATGTTATAGAGAGACTGGAATGCGGTGGCACAGAAGTCCAGAGGTGTTGGAGACAATGGAGGACAAGGCAATAGCAGCGCAGGAGACAGGATGGGACAGTACGTACCCGAGCAAAGAGCTTTGCATCTCCACCACCGGAACTCATATTTTTATTCAGCCCTGATTGACGGTTTTGAACTGGGTAATTATCACTGGTATTGCTACCCCTCCGCTGCCCTCACGGCTTGATCAACGAGGGGATCGATTGTTGTCTGCGGGATATTGCAGAGCCGCCAGATGGGCATGTATCTTCAGCTCCAACAATTTGGGGTACTGTATTGTAGAAGGTGCTCCATGAATCCGGAGGGTCGATTTTGAATAGTTGGCTTCGAGATACAGGGTAGACAACTTTGGAGGATGTGGTTGAAGCTCTGAACTTCCTTACTTAAGTAAGTACCGGGATCTTTTGCTGACGATCATCAGCAATCCGCCGCTACGATCAACCTCACTTGAGCGTCTGGCCACCTCCACCCATCTGGCCATCTCCACAGCGCCCTGTTGACAATTAATCGCATCCCATCTGGGACTTTCGCGCAAAGCAACAATCAAATATGAGTGTCCCTCTACCTCCAAAATGGGTCATCGACCTGAATTCGCCTCCGCCCGCAAAGCCTAGATCCGCAGGAATCCCAGACCCCCCGGGATTTACAGCAGCAGCAGGAACCAAGGTAAAACATTTTATATAAATTTCTACGACCCTCTCCCATCCACAGGAAACCACTCGCAGAGCTAATTCTACAAAAAACCCCCAGAAACAGCAGTCCTCTGTCACCAAAGCCGCCGTCCGGGCGCCCCCAACGACCGAGGAGATGGACACGCTGAAGCTCAAGAAGGCGTGGGAGGTGGCTCTGGCGCCCGTCAAGCAGCTGCCCATGACGGCCATCATGATGTACATGTCGGGCAACTCGCTGCAGATCTTTAGCATCATGATGGTGGTGATGGCGTTCAAGACGCCGTTCATGGGCCTGCTGGCTACAAATCAGGCCTTTGAGCGCTTCGAGAGCGAGGGCACCAAGGGCCAGCTGCTGATGGTGAAGGCGGTGTATGTGGCGATGCAGATCCTGGCGCTGGCTTTGGGGGTGTGGAAGGTGAATGGGATGGGCTTGTTACCGTGAGTTGTGCTTTGAGGGGGAGAGAGACAGGGTGATGGTTCAATGCTAATAGGTTATAGGACGACGAGGTCAGATTGGTTGGCTTGGGAGACGATGAGGGTCCCTACGGAGACAGCCATTCCGGCTTTCTGATGCGGCGGAATGTGATTGAATATGGTTCGGTGTTAGGCGCATCAATTTTAGGGTTGTCATTACGAGCTGAAGTTCGGAAGCCACAAGAGACTTGTATTCATAATGGCTACATATATATCGAACCGACTCGCGAGTCATAAGTATGACTGTCGTGGTATTCATAGGCTACAAGTATCAGACTAGAAGCTTGCTGTACACTGGCCAAACAGACGTATGTGTCCCTTTCTTTTCATATGCCTAGTGTTGCTCGTAACCGCGCCTACTCTTAATTTAGAGTTGCCTGCCTCTTTGATGGACGGCTTCTGGGTCTCGAAGAAACAACATTCACCTCGTGCCTCAATATATGCTGAAGGTAGTTACTCAGCCTACTGGAAACTCCAGAGCCTTGAGCTACAATCATTTTCCTACAAATGATGGAATACCACCCCTCACTGCTTTCGCAATCAGATGCACCGAGCCGAATTCATCAACATCACGGGAGAACATCTATGCCGCTGCCACCATGAGCAATCAGAGCGACAACTACAAAAACACAATTTAAAGCACCAGCACCGTCAACAACATCGCCACTGCCCCCAACAATCGCACCCAAGCTTACGGGTTCAAGATGACATCCGCAGCCTTCTCCGAGACCATGAGAATAGCAGACTGGATGAAGATGCCAGGAATCTGGGGGAAGACGGATGCATCAACCACTCTCAGGTTCTGGACGCCGCGGACTCTGAATTTGGCGTCAAGGACGGCCATGGGATCGGAGTCAGAGCCGAGGGGCGTCGAACACGATGCGTGATGGCCCCAGGCGTTTCTCTTGATGTAAGCACCAATGTCGGCATCCGACTGGACACTCGCACCTGGGGACTCCTCGACGAAGGAATCACCGCCAAGTAGGAAGAAGTCCTTGTAGCTAGATGGAAGAGGCATCAGCACACACGTCTGGGAACTTGGCTGCAGCGGGGATTTGGAAGTGGAAGTAGCCTCTCAACCTACCGTTGCAAGGCATTTCGGGAGATCTTGATTGCCTGGATCATGGCGTTGAGGTCAGCCACATCTTCTCCACGAGTTGTATTTCCAGTGTCAAAGTAGTTGAAGTTGATGATGGGCCTGTCGAGAGGGTCAGCGGAGCTGAGCTGGACTGTGCCGGCGCGGTTGCGGGTGTGAGCCTTCAGAGTGCTCCATCCCAAGTGCTTGTGGTCCTTGACAATGTCGTCAGCCCATTGCGGGAAATATCCTCGAAAGTTCACGGGGCCAGCGAAGATGTAAAGGTCAACTATGAGGGAACTCGATTCAGCAATGTCTTCAGCGTAGGGCGGACTTCGTGGATGGCAAAAAACATACTGTCAGAGTTTGCCGCGAAGTCGGAATTAACAGCCAAGGTTGCCGCAAGACCGTTAGTGGCGTAAGCACCCTTCAATGCGAGAAGGTTGGGGCTGTTCTTATACTTGGTATAGCACATGTCTTGTGCCTTCGCATCAAACGTGCAACCAGCCAAGACATTGAAGTCAGAGCCATGCTTTACAACAACAGGAATCTCGTAGCGGTCCTGCAAGTTTGTGCCAACTCCAGGCAAATGCTTGATGAGAGGGATACCGAACTTGGCCACTGGATGATTGGGAATTCAGCAAATTTGCATTTAAGTGTCAGTCTGGGGAGTAGAATATTCATAGAACAGTGGAAGGGAGAGAAAAGGCTACTGCCCGATTTTTCTTACACTCTTCTTGAGGTCCAATGCCGCTGAGCTTCAACAGTCTTCACGGGTAGTCAGCGCTGCTTTCTTGGGTGGATCTGGATGATTCATGCCGTCACTCAACTCTCGAGGCCTGGTGTTGAACCCCAGAGAGACATCGAGGGAAGAGGGGGAGCTTACTGAGGGGTGTTGAAAGCTCCAGCGGAGATGATGAGGTCCTTGGTGACTGTGGCCGTACCCTTCACTCCGGTACCGCCGCTCAGTGGGCTATAGAACACGGAGGAATCAGCAATTGCCAATTTGGGAATTTTTGGGAAAAAGCTAAGACATTTTTCCAATGACGCACCTGGCTCTATAAAGCTGCTTGCCGTCCAGGAACTCGACCCCAGTAGCCTTAGGCGTGGCACCAGTTGTGTCGAAGATGATCTTGGTAACGAAACAGTTAGTGCGAACAGTCAAGGGGTAACCTTGGGCAACTGTGGAAGCGATGAAGTCGCGAACACCAACTCGAGCACCACCCTCCTGAATGAGGGGGATTTGATAGAGGCCCTCTTTGGAGTCACGTTTAGGGTCGAGTCTGGAATTGGGGTCAGCGAGTAAAGCGTTGGTGATGCCCAGAGTGGCGGTGAGAACGGATGGTCCCTGTCCAATAGCTGCAGCTCCACCAGCAAGATGCTGTGTGAGCTTGAGATCATTTGTCAAGATCGTAGGATCGGTTGGGTTGACGGGAAGCCATCTGGAAAGGTCCCCGAAGTCAGTGTTGCCCCTAGCCAAGACGATGGAAGTTGGATGACTGGATGAAAAAGCTTAGGGGAAAAGAAAGGGATACATACTCGTAGACCTTGTTGAGGTATGTGTTCATTTTGGGTGCGGACCAAGAGTTGTCGCCAACGGTAGCAGCAATACCGTTCCAATCGCTCGCATGAGGAGTGATGAAGATGAGGGCATTGTGAGTGACGCAGCCGCCGAGGGTGCCTGCACGAGGATACAGGATACCGAGAGGCTTTGCTCCAGCTGGTGGTGGTCCGTCTTTGGCAACATGATAATTGTACGGGCTGACCTCCCAGCTGTACTTGAACTTGATAACGGGGGAGTCAGTAATTGCCTTTGAGGATGTTTAAGGCAGAGATGTGACCAGGTCTCGGGATCTAACTGGGTGCGGAGGGAACGACTGTGATTCTCCAATATCTTACATCTTGTTGGGCGCGGGTCTGATCTTGGTAGTGGTTGACAAAGTAGTCCCATCGCAACTTGACATCTTGAGCGACTAGACCTTGGAAGGCGGGGATAGTGGTGTTGTCGTTTCCGGTCTGCAGTCCGGAAATCAGCGAGATTCCGAGGGCGAGTGAAATTTGTTTCAAGCGTCGACTTACTTGATCATCGCCAGCCTCAATTAGCAAAGTCTTGTGTCCAGCGCGAGCAAGACGGCAGGCGAGAGGACCACCACCGGCGCCGGAGCCGACGACGACGTACTCATACTCAGTGACGGCAGCCGGAGCCGCAGACACGAACGTTAAGATAGCTGTAAGCAGCGAAATGGGGAGGAATAGCTTCATGGTGAGAAGCCTGAGACCGGAGAAGAAGTTAGTATAGGGTAACTCGTTGTCCAAGTTTCAATGTGGAAGAGAAGTCGGTTGAATATAGGTACTGCGAGATGCCCGAAATTCCTCGCTTACCTACCCCCGCACTCTAGGCGAACGAAGGTCTAGTAAATAATATATCAAAGGGGACTCTCGTTTCCGCCATTAGCACGACCTTTGCAGATCTTAGTTTTTGTGGAGAGCTTCTTTCCCACTGCATATCATCTGATATGTCTTGGAGCTACTGTCTGCGTCTTGTTATCGCCGACCCTGGCGTCTTTTCTTTCCATTGCCTAAATCGATTCACTTGTTCTGTTTATTTTCTCACTGCGGTAAGTTTATATAAGTTTTCTTACTTCTATTCTGTCACTGAATCATGTCCGGCCTGCCCAGTAAATCTCGTGTCGTAGTACGCGACTCAGCTCCAATATTCCGGCCTGGGCTGCTGCATATCGGGAAGGGAGAGACTGGAGTCGCACAGAGATCCCATCTTATAGCTGCGGAACTCAGCTCTTGGCTATGCAGAGCACCTGCAGCCTCTTCATTCCCCAGCTGCAACTAGCTATATTTATATACATGCATATGATGTAACTTGAAAGAGAGTGATTTCTGCAGCGCAGATAGCCTTGCTTCGCCAGAGCTGCCGAAGACGCTGTAAAGACTTATTTTCTATATTACAACCCATGTGGTAATCAAGTCCGAAACCAAGTCCAGGGTGCCGGGTACAATCCAAAGGGAGAGGAAGAGGTGTTTGCTGATTGGAGAAGAGAGCAAGGCTTCAGCTGTCTTCACTCCACACCAATATGGATCATGCCATCCAACGGGTACCATCAGCTCTTCCTTCCCTGCTCCAAACACTACTTGTTCCCAGACTAGACAAGGGCTCGACCAGCATTTCGTGGAAGCTTCTCGGCCTTTGCGCCTATCAGATGAACTCTTTGAGATCACCACGGCATTGTAAACCAATCGCTACCCTCCTTGCGCTCGCTTTTCGCGTTTTCCCTGGCAGGATGGGTGAGGGCCAGGGGGAAAAGGGGTCGTCTGTCTTGGAATATCAATTCCCTATCTCATCTGTGATACCTCTTGAAGGACCTTTCCTGGACCTCGGCTTTTCGGAACGCAATGGGATGAAAGCTGCGCTCGAAGATATGGCAGCCGTGTGTGCATCTTTTTTTATTTCTCTGCTTCTTTCTCCTCCTTTTCCAGAAGAGAGGATTGGAGGGTTACGATAAATCCATCGATTCGGCTTCGTCACCAGAGAGTTCTGTAGCAGACACGGGGCCCAACGATAATCCTCATCGCCAGCTGTGGTCGAACAACCTCGAGAAGATAGAAATCTTCCGAGGATCGATTTCGGGTTAGGAAACCCGATGTATAACCATATGAGCCTACTCGGCCAGTGTCCAGGGAGCCGGCCGCTCTTGTATGAGCTCACCGTCATAATCATTATCCACGTCCTTTTGACACCCGAGTCACAGCGCATTCCAGGCGCATTCTGGCATTTCGGGGGAAAAAAAAAACAAGGAAGTCTCCGTTCTGAGTGGAGGCGACGCCTTGTCGACTTGCGGCGGCCAAGCGTCAATACTGGAAATGGTGCTGTGCCACTTGGTCGAAAAACACAGGTGGATGACGATCTATGAGGATGGGCTAGCTTTTTCAGAGAGCTGCCGGGCTCGGGCTACGAGCAACGACGAGGTGGATATCCGGAAACTGCAAGCCCCAATACGTTCGGGTAGTTCTCGGGAAGAAATTGATCTAGAACCAAGCCCAATTCTATGCCACACTTATGTTCACAGACAAAAGAAACAAAGCAAGTCTGAAATCTATGCACCGCTCAGTTCGAATGTTGGGTATAATAACAATCAGCAAAGATTCCATCCCTCCCAATCCCCATCAGGGCCATGTATGCATGCAAGTAAGCTAACAGCACCGCTCCCAAAACCCATAAAACACATGAAACAAACCTCCACTCTTCCTCTCGTACAGACAGCTACTCTATGCAGCTTCCGCCATCAGCTGCTCTCCCTCATCTAGCAACTCTGTAATCTTTCCCAGGTTCTGGATCATGCTTAGACCCTGTCCAACGAGCAGCAACTTCTCTGCGTTGGCGGGTAGGCCGAGATATGTAGGTGGCTCGCGCTCTGGTAAGTTCTTAATCCACTCGGTGAAATCTGTGAGAGTGGTTCCACTGGGCACGACCAAGCTGCCATCGACATCCGATGTGCCGTTCCCTGCAACACCCTCCACCAGTTTGTGGCCGATATCGTATGCTGCAGGTGTCATAAAAGAGTTCACAAGTTGATTGAGGCGAGCAAAATCTCCCTCGTCGTCAATCTTTCCTCCATACGTCTCGGTGATCAAGGTGCGGATCATCTCCCAAGGCAAGTTCTGGGGTGCAACATTTGTGCGGCCCATGGCAACTGCCTCGACCCAAGTGTCAATGATGAATGCAGAACATTCATACTATTCATCATTAGCAGCCGCATCTCAAAAGCTAGGCAGGAAAACTCACATCACTGTCGTTGAATTCCCAGAAACCCTTCCAGCCCAGGTTAGGGGCATATCGCAGTCTCTCCTGGACTACAGCGTGCAAGAAAGACAGAAGTAGGTACAGTCTGGTTCGCTCCACCGGATTTTTTGTAGCTCTCGTCGACAGAGAAGTCATCGAATCCTTCATGTTTGCTCTCACTCCAGCAGGTTGCTCGTACATCAAGACGCGGGACGCCCTCAAAAGGTTGACTGGAATCTTGGGACTAGACTCCATGGACAGGAACAGTCTGAAGTTGGCCTGAGGCTTGAGTGAATCCATTCTCTTCTCTAGACTTTGCAGCCAAGTTGGTGCAAGATGTACGTTCTTGACAAGAACCCATGATCCGTTCGCAGCAGCGTTAGCGATGGCTTTGTCTGCGGTTGCTGGGCCTTCATTAGATCCCATGGCAATGTTGGTACACGCTGCCCGAGAGCGCTCAACCAAGTTGTCGACCTTGTAACTGGCGTCGAAGCCAGGGCTTGAACAGAGGGCGATTGGCCGACTCGCAGACACTTGTTCAACGGTATCCTTAAGATCCTCTGTTGTATCAAAGATACCAGGACCGAAGACAGCAGTAACAAATCTTTCGGCAGCCGGCACGAATCGATCAAGGCGAAACAGCTTGACGAGCAGCAGAGACAGGAGTTCCTGATCCCGCTTCTCGACGTTATCCTCCCAAATCTGTGGGACGTATTTCTCGCCCATCTCCTCGAACAGGAAGCGTTCCCAAGCTTCTGGGGAAACCACCTCGAGCTTACCTCTGAGAGCGGCAAGTTTCACTGCTCTCGCGAGGACTTCGTCTTTCTTGTGCGACTCGGTTGAGACGTCTGTGCCCTCAATGCTTTCGTCGAGGATCACATCGATGAGAGTCTTGTCCATCTTGTAGGGAGCGGCTTGCGCGAGAAGCATGGCTAGCGTGATCCTATCCTTTTGTAGAAGACTGAGAGATGTGCGTTGGTAGGTAGTGATGAACAGATCCTCGATGATGATATCTCGGCGGACGTTGTGGTTTGTCTCATTGGTCAATCGCTTGTTTCCGTGTAGTACAGAGTGGAAAATGTCGAGAAAGTACTGCAGCGAGAACTGGTAGAAATGGTTGAGGTAATGTAGCTGCTCAATCACAGCAAATACTGCACTGCAAGATCGTGCGATGATATTGTATTGAAGTGTGATCTCATCAACCTCTGTCATGACGCCTTCGGTGTTGCTCATCTTGATCGAGATCTCGGCAGCTTCCTTCTTGAGAGTCTCAAGAGTCTCAATCACGTTGTCATCATCCAGAATATTGCCTCGCGATTCGTTCAGTGCCTGCAGCAAACGCTTCTCCAACTGTCGAAGATGCACCTTGAATTCACCTTGTAGCTTGATGAGATTGGATCTTCGCTCATCGACATCAGGTCGCTCAGACTTGAGAACCTCGTTGAGTGACTGGGTTTGAAGACTGCTCTGAGTAACGGTGAAATTGACAAACGTAGTACGTGAGCAAATGTCTGGTGCGAACGTCGCGGAAGGATCTCTGGTCGAAAGATAGATCTTGAAAGCTGGTGAAAAATCAATTTCTTGTTTGCCGAGCTGGATGAGAACACGACCGCCAGTCTTTTGGTACTCTTTGTTCAACACATGGTTGAGCACTGGATCCAGGTATTCCGCATCTTGGATTAGAATTGGGTTTCCAAAACGGAGGGAACTCTCCAGTTGCTTGGTAAATGAGTCGTCCAGGAAACTCGTGACGGTGAGGCGTCTATCCTGGCTTTGCTTTTGAAGGAAATCGGTCACTCTGCCAGAGGGATCAATGATCAAAGGGTATCGATTGAAACGCTCCAGGATGATGGCGTTCTCTGTGCACAGATCGTCGACAGGCAATGAGTTCTCTTGCCATCCGAGTCTTTCATCAGCGGTCGAAAGGTATTCGGTGATTGGGTTGTGCTGTTTGAAATCGATGCCAGACATCTGAAGTTGGTGGAGCCAATCGTCCATCATATTCTTTCGAAACTGTTGATCGTAGAGACCACTATATGCAAGGAAAGCGGCTGCAACAAGTACGTCCCCTACAAGAGTAGCGATCTGTGTCTCGAAGGATTTGCTGCCCTCTTCCCAACGTACTCTCTCGGAAGACAAACTGTCCAGCAGTCGAACACTACGATCAACTTTGAATTGGACGCGAGTCATCTCGGTTTTGATGGCTTGAGTCTCGCTGATCAAAGCGGCGTACTCAGTCTTGTACGTTGCGATACTTTGCTCGAGAGTGTTGATAGTGTTCTCGATAGCCTGTGCCTCTGCCTTTGTTTGAAGTGCTTGCTCTTCGAGCATACCCACTTCCTCTCTGAGCGGACCAACACGGTCAAGAATTTCCGAGTAGTTGACTTGTGCCTGGACCCACTGAACTAGCGGACCACACGCTTTACTGGCACGGTTCACCTTCTCGTATGTGAAGTCATCATTGGAAAGGTATTCGTTACGCATCTTGATGCGGAGGTTCTTGGTCATCTGCCTTTCGTTGTCATAGTTGACGATGCTGGCGATGAAGTCGTCTTTTCGAACAATTCCTTGTATGGTCTTCCAGCTGTCGACTTTGTGACCGAGCAAGGTACACACTGAGTCAAGCGCAAGCTTTACACCCGCAGGAGGGTTGCCCATAGATCTCACTTCCGTCAGATGTTGACGCTTGATGTTGCTGACACTCTTCTGTGCTTCCAGAACTGCCGGCTCCGCACTAGCCAAATCATTCAAAACCAACTCTCTTCTCTCGCTAACCTCCACCTCCTGCTTCTCCAAGGCAGCTTGGATCTCCAAGGAAGTTGTCTTCCGCTGCTCAGCCTCTCGCTGATCTGCCACCATACGTTGCAACTTCTCATTAGCTTCGGCGTCCTTTCTTTCCAGTTGATCCTTCTTCTCTGCCAGACTAACACGCAAGTCTCGCACCTTGTCGACTGTATCTCTTAACTTTTCTAAACCGACATTGAGATGGCGTTGTTGCTCTTCCAGGTCTTCGCGCTTCTCATTGTAGAGCTTGACGTATTGCGCCACGAAATCCAAGAAGTGTCTGGGAGTGAGAAATGTAACCCGATTCTGTTGCTTGAGCAGCTTGACGTTGAATCGGTGAAGCGAGTAATGGATGTAGACCATCGAATTAACAACTGCCGCACGATGGGAGGGTGGAAGAACAAGATCACGGTAGGCTACAGGGATGCTGTCGGGAGCTGTGAAATTGGGCCTATCGAGGTCGACACGTTGAGTTAACTCTGTACCAACCTGGAATAATGCTTGATCAGACCAATCTCCGAACCAGTTAAGGACGCAACGATTGAACAGGGCTGGACTGGTTGCAGCCTTAGAAGAAAGGCCATCTTCAGGCGGATTCATGGTAAAAACGACGTGGAGATTCTTGACAATCTGCCCAGTGAACCACTTATACAATTCTTCCTGCGAATCGAGGAGCAGACCTTGGCGTTGAGCACCTTCCTTGCAAGCTGTCATCAGTGATGCGAGCTCATCGCCCTCGAACAGACCTGGCACTTCAGCGTTGGCCAGCAGTGTGTTCATTCTCTCGAGAAACCCAGAGTCAAGAACGTTGGATTCGTCCATGATAAAACAAATCTTCTCTCCCTTGCAACCTGAGCGGCGAAGAACATCTCTAAGATCATCGTCAAAGTCCTCGGCAGAGTACTTGCCATGAACCTTGATCTGAAAAACCTTGAGACCATTCATCCATGCAACGAATCGAGATAGGGTTGTCTTTCCACTCCCACTTACTCCGATCAAGATGAGATGTCCCTGGGGCTGTCGGAAAACACGATCGATACGAAGGACGTGCTCGAGGACATCATTGAACAAGATCAACGGAACATCGACCTCCTCCTCACAGAAAGTCTTCAGTCGGGCTCTGACAAACTCGCGTAATTGCTCTCGGTCCACAGGGACGTAGTTCTTCGACAACCAGTTGGAGAACAAGATCGGGCCACCAAGGGCCTTGTCCTGTTCAATTGTTGGGAAATGGTCTAAAGCGGTACGATTGATGGCATCGTTAGTCCAGTTGCGTTCATCTTCTGCAACGAGACGATCCTGGAACAAGCGAAGTGCCTCGTGGGCCCAGATACGAACCAATCCCTCTACAGAAAGTGTCTCAAGAGGCCGAATAGCCTCGTAGATACCCCGGACCCATCTTGTAAGTTCACGAGGACTGTAGACGTAATGGGGCTGAATCTTTGCGGTGAAACGCTGCTGGGATTCGAGATAGAACTGGACCATAGCTTTGGTGAGAGATTCGGAATACCCTCTAAGAGATGGGATGATCTTAAGAACGGCGCTATTGAATGTACCGTAAATCTGCTGGAGCGACAATTCACCCGGGTAATCGACCATAACAAGTGGAGCATGCCGTAAGAATCGAGCCCCCATGGGTGTTCGACCAGCATCGGTTGGAGGATTGCAAGCACCGACGAACTGGATGCGGTCGAGAGTGACCCATGTCTTGTCTGAGGTACGCCAGAATCCGTTTTGCTCGACAAGTTGTCGCAGGAATGAGATGGCTCTTTGTGTGCCATACTTATCGGGAGCTGGCAAGTTGATTTCGTCGCAGAAGAGCACCAGCCACCGTCCGATTTGCGTTGGCGAAAGAATGACTCCATTTAATGTCTTCTTGTACTCACAGTACTGCTCAAAAGTCTTGATGAGGAGATCTGGTGTTGTGGCGCTAGAGAAATTTAAGCCCACGACTTCCATATTAGGCAACTTGCGGAGAGCGCTGAATAAAGTCATCGTCTTTCCGGAACCCGGAGGACCACACAGAAGGAGAGGCTTGTGTTCAGCAAGCCAGGAGTAAAGAACATCCTCGTGGCGTACAGTATCCAGCGTGGGGATAACAACATCAGTCTGAGTGATTGAGTGAGTGTTGACCTCAATAGTCGGGACCGAGTTTTGCCAGGGTATCCACTCGGCCTTTGGTAAAGTGACATCGTAATCGATTAACGAAGAGTTATCTCCCATGATGGGGGATCCAAAGGTAGCAAGGCCAGCCAAACAATCTCCGAAGCTCTTGCGATCTCCCAAAGGACAATCACCGGTCAGTGACCAGACCAAGGCCAGCAACAGCTTCTTGGCGATGAAAGATTCGACCTGGTCCGGGTCGAGTGGGAAGTCGACGTGCTGATTGTTATACTCGATAATATCGCGGACGCCCTTGTTTAGCAAAGAGAACAGTGTGTTGAGAACTCGAGCGACTGTGAACTCCATAATGTGGTTGAATCCTCGGGCGCGCTCAAGAGCATTCAGGATGAAGTCACCAGTGGTGAGGAAAGCGTCGAGGAGATCCGCAACTTGACCTTGAAGAGCTAGGGCCTTTGCAGCTGTTTGACCAGTCGAGACAGCATCTTCGTCCAGATCTTCGAGCGCCACGGCTCGCAATGTATCTAGGTAATTGCTGACCATCATGTTGGATGTTACAGTATCCTCGCTGAACCACACCATTCCACAACGACTGACAGTGGCTAGAGTGGCATACTTGAGAGTCTCGACTTCGAACATGATGCGAACATTGGAAGGCAGGTTAAGACGCTCCCCATTGGGAAGCGTGAGAAGCTTGTTGTCATCGAGCACACTGTTCAGGTTCTCTACCCATTCGGGATCGACATCACCATCAAATACTATCCAGTGTCTCTTGGCCTCTTCTCCGCGTAGATTGTCCACAATCTTCCGCAGAATGCTTGTGAAAAGACCATCAGTCCACTCCCGAGTAGTTGAATCCAAATTTCCGTATAATGCCTCCTTTGACATGACCTTTGAGTCGATGATGTGGCACACGCCTTCGACGCCTTCTACTTGTTGCAAGGCCTGAAGAAGAAGCTTCCATGCAACAGATTTTCCAGATCCAGAATTTCCAACCATCATGACACCGTGGTGGATGGTCTGGATTTGGTAGAGTTGAAGGATCTTCGTCATCCAGGTTGGGTTCATGACAAGATGCCTCTCGTCTGCAATGGAGTGAATCGCTGCCTTCAATTCCTTGAGAGTGGCTGGCACGTACTGGACGCCAGGGAAGGATTCCGCCTCGATTGATCTCATGATCTCGACGTCACTTTTGATCAACTTGGGAGCAATAGTTTCACGTATGCTCTGGACGATAATTTGAGGTTCCACTTCCTCCTCTGGGCCCAGATCGCCACCTGAATCAGTGAGACGGGCACGCTTGAGTCCACCAGAGCTGACAAGTACACTCTTGAGAGCACGAAGTCCGAAATCGTAATGTGCCTGCTTCGAAAGCTTCGCGGCACAACTGTCAAAGAATGGAACAGTCTGTTTCGAAAGCTGCTTGGCTTGGTTGAAACCTTGAGAGTAAAGCATGACTTCGGCAATGAGCTCTTTGTCGGGCTTAGACATTGCGACACTTCTAAACAGCTTCTTAAGATTGTCTGGAAGGTTGGAACGCCCAGCGTATCCGGGATTCATGGTGATGAAGATGCCGGTGTTAGCGTTGACTCGTAGTTGCCGGCCGACCAGTTCAATTTGCGACTTTTCATCCTCCATGCCTTGCTTGAGACCAAGCTGGATGTTCTGGACCTGCTGAGAAACGGCAGACAAGATACGCTCTTCCAGCCGATTGAACTCATCGAAACAACCCCAAGCTCCAACCTGACAGATACCAAGAAAAATGCGACCCATCGCCTGGAAATCGAAAGTATCATCACAGCAGAAGACGAGTGTAAATCGTCCCAACTGTACACCCAGAGCCTTGACGGACTCGGTCTTACCAGTTCCAGCAGGACCATAAGGAGAGCCACCCAATCGTTGGCAAAGTGCCTGTGTTAAAGTCAAGAAACAACGGTCGGTAAGTGGAGTTCGTACAAGACGTTCGGCAACTCCAAGGTACTCAAATCCGTAATTGAGCGTGGCATTTGCCATTTTGATGTGCAAGCGTTGAAGCCAGTCTCCTTCGGCCTTGTAGACATAACGCATTTGAAGAAGCCAATGGTAATGAGTCGGAGAAGAAGCCTCCATGTTCTTTAGCTTCTCAATAACATCTCGTTGATGGACACATTCCGTTATGAGGTGTTCACATCTCTTTCGTTGAATGGGATCGAGATCACCAAGAACCGTGGCTGCAAGAAGTCGGAGTACCTTGACCTCTTGCTCATAGAGATGCTCAAGAGTAGAGCCACCAGCTTCCAGAGACTTCTCAACAGTGGAGGTCCAAACTGCCTGAGTAGCAAGAACAACAATCTGACTGGGAAACGCAGAAATGTAAGCATTCAAAGAAGCCTGTTCAACCTCTTCGGAGTTGAAAATTGGCTCATATTGTTCAATGGCCTCAGCCAGGAGCTCAGCGAGAGTTGACTTCATGCTGCTCTCAAGCAAGGCTAGCCAGTCGTTGATCTTGGGGGTCTTGATCAGGGAAATCTCCTTCTTCAGTCTGACCTCCTCGCCTTCCTTTGAAGTGAACCCAGAAATGAGATGGTCTTCGTCCATGATCAGTCCGGACAGGCCAGCGAACATCTTCTTGAAGTGCTTCGCAATGCGCAAGGTGTCATTGCTGTTGCCGATGATCTCGAGAAGGTCTTCGTCGCCAACGAAATAAAATCTGGGAAATGAGACTCTCTCACGCTCAAGATACTCTCCTAGAGCCTTCTGAATCTTGTTGAGCAATTCTGCAAGACGTTCAAGAGATTTCTGAACCCCAGAGATGTTGAGAACATCGAGGACAAATGGCTGCTTGTAGACCTTCTTCATGACCGCAAAGAATTCAGAGTTTATGTTCTGGAATCTGGAAGACTCAATAGGTAGCAGATGCTTGATGTCTGCATTTCCAGTGAATACGCCCTCCAAGTACACCCATTGACGCTGAACGTCGATCCATACATCAAAAAGAACGTGAACTCGGTTGAGTTTGTCTTCCCAGGATGATGCCTCCTCTTCGAATTCCTTGTAGTAGGGAGAATGCCTCATAGCTTGCAAAGAGTTGAGGTTCTCGCTGCATTTCGCAAACAGATCATCCCATCCACGGATGAGTCGGCACTTATTCTGGTAGTTGACAAGATCAAGGGAGTAATTGGACCAGATTTCTCGAACTTGCTTCAAGAATTCCTCCAAGGCCATTTCGCCCTGAGCTTGAGCAATAATATCTCGGATGACGACTTCACTGGCAGCGAGATGGAGATCCCAGACATCGCCGAGTGTCATGGAGATTGGTGAGTATCGCTTTCCAGGCTTGAGAGCCTTGAAAATCTTGTTCCAATGGCGTTCCCGGACAGCCTCGGATTTCAGATCTGCAATTATAGGGTTAACTTTAAGGAATTGACGGAGGATATTCTGGATGTGTTCAAAGGCTGCATATTGTCGCATTCGACTGGGCATCTCTTTAGTCATCTTGATCAAACCATCGATACTAGATCTGAGCTTGCGAGGTTGAACCTGAGTCCACAGTGCCTCACGAAGTTCATTGAGACTTTTCCAGATTGTGGACAGCGCGGCCCAAACAGACTTGAAATCTTGGACTTCCTCAAGTATTGCAGTAAGGGTAGTGTCCGGGTTTGCGGGAAGGTCCAATGCTTCCTTGGCTCGAGAAACCATTTCTGAGTCTTCGTGAAGTCTGGTAATGCGGGCTTCGAAAGACATCAATGTCGCCGATGCAACGTCAGGAGCAATTGTTCCCGAGACTGGTTTCTCTTCGTTCCACTGGCCGGTGATTTCGACAATCTTATCACCTACAACCTTGTCTTCGGCCGTGATCTTCGCACGGAGGGCATCTGTCTGATCCTGCACGATCTTTGCCTTCCTAGCAAGGATCTCATTCAGAGCCATCCATTCTGAGTCAACTTGCTCAACATTCAACCAGTCTGCTGGGAATTGGTATCTTTGCCGGACCAAAGTCGTCTGACCCTGTCTGAATATATCCACCTCGGGACCCCAGGCCTTAACCTTACGCTTACATGTTTGTACAATGGTGATGAATTGTACAGCTTGGGCCGTGGATGTTGCTTCCAGAGACTGGACTTCCAAATCCTTACGTGCTTTTTCAATTTCGGAATAAACTTCGCGAACACGTATCCCAAGTCTCACCGCGAACTTCGTCAGGATCTCATGCTGCCACTGGTCGTACTTGGCATTTACCTTCGTCTGAACTTGATCGTAGTCGATGGAGAGGTGGCCAAAAGAACGGCTCACTTCGGTCGTGTCGAAAGTGCTACGTACCTTCCGGATATCTTGAATGCACTGGAGCCATTTGGATAACTGCTCACCGAGTTCTTCGTAGACCTGTTCAGATTGAAGGTCCCAAAGCGACTGGAACTGCAGCCATTTGTCCACGTAGGCATTGACATGGTCCAGTTTGGTCTCGATGCACGTGTAGACTTGAGAAAGGCTATCTGTGCAAGACGCAGGAAGATCTGTGAAACGAGCTTCGGTATCGTTACCGGTCGAAAGACTCATCTCGTATCTGGAAGACTTGACTTTGCGCAGGTTGCAGACAACACCAAGCCATTCGTGTAATTGCAAGAACCAGTTTGCCCGAGCGAAGGCGAGAGGCGGATCTAGGTAGATGACTTGGTTTCGCATCGATACTTCGTGCACAAGTCGTTTCAAGGAAGGGCCTTGTTCTCCAGATAAGCTGGTCGACAAGCTAAGATGCTTTCGACGGCTATCGTCATTAACTCCTTCGGAGCGCTCGCTCTCAAATGCCTCGATCCATGAAGAAATGGCTTGTCGCAAACGAACCAAAAGAGTGACCTTGATTCGTGCATTCATTTCTCTGACCCAATAGCTTAGATTGACATAATTCTCAAGATTCAGCTGATCAACGGCCATTTGGACTATTTCCAGTCGTTGTTGAAACGATGCCGAATCGTAGGGGCATGTCTCCAATTCCCCAAGCGCCTTTTGAATGGTGATGTTGGTTGTGGCTAGTGCCGCTGTCTTAGTCTGCAACAAGGAAACCGCAGCTGCGAACTCTCGCACAAACTGAACGTGCTTGCTCTCGTTTCGCCCACCGATAGCATTGTCCAGCGGACCGTTCAGGTACGAATTCTTGGTGTGTAATTCATATGAATGAACAAATGACTCCCACTTCAATGGAATTCCCTTAATGATCAGATTCTGGACGTCGTTCTGGTAGCCACCAAGGAGAATGGCCACGTCAGACATCTGAGCGATTTGTCGACTCGTCTGGGCCAGCGTGCGGGTGCTTTCCATCAGACTGACTGCATAAGGATAGACCCGCTTGGCTTCCTTGGAAACGTTGTTGATCTGGTGGGGAACAGCGTAATTAAGCCATAAGAGATTGCGTGTTTCCTTGAAGAGTGCGATGACTTGGGAGTCAAAGTTCACGGCCAATTCAAGCGCATTGTTCGCTGCGCGAATCTTGTTAATGTTGAACAATCGGCCAGAAATAGAAATTTGTTTCCGCTGGACATCATGGAGCCAAGCTTCGAAAATTGGGCGGGTGTCCAGTTTCTTGCGGAACAGATTGCTTTCACTCTGCAACTTCTGGCCCTCGGAGTGAAGAGCCCAGTCATGTCCAAGGACATCCTCGACTCTCTTCATGTAACCATTAAGCTGTCTCTCAATTTGGCGAGCCCAGATGATCGCACCCGAGACTGGGGGAAGATCACGAAGCTGTGCCATTGCGTGCGCCTCGGAGTGGCCATACTGTTGCTTGAATCGCTCGTGCAATGACGAGATATCGTGTTTGACATTGTCGATGAGCTGCGTTTGGTACTCGGTAATCGCCCCACGGATCTTGGGCCGAACGAAAAGCGCATTGAATTTCGAAAACACTCTGAACATCTCATTGGCGGTCTTGGCAGTTGCCAGTCGATCGCGTAGGCGTGCAATAATCGAATTCTCAACTCTTGATGTGCGCTCGTTGTAGGTAATTTCTGCTTGTACCCAGACTCGAGTTCCTTCGGGAGTAACATCTAGCAAATCAACGTTGTTCAATGCCGCATAAGCTTGCTGAACCTCCTCTACAGCATCAACGTCACCCATTTCTTCAACAAGGACTACACCATTGCTGTCTCCTTCTCCAAGCTTGGGACCAAGTACGTTGACTATGGTTCTCTGCAGCTGCTCATGGTTGTCACGGAAAGTACTGACATACTTCAGTCGCGCTTGGAGCTCAGCGTGCTTTGGTACTATCTTGATCGGAATGAACTTTTCGTTTCTGCGCCGAGTGACTTCTCGAGCAACGTTTGTGAACTCTTTGACATTCTCATCCCATATCTTCCAAATCTGTTCAGCTGTTGCCATGAGGTTCTGAAATTCCCGATATTCCAAATGCATCAACGATCGGCCGTGTAGCATTGAATGTAATTGAGTATCGAGATCAGCAGAGATGAGTTCAACAAGTGGTAATGCTCTCCTGATTGGGTAAGGGCATATCCTCAGTTTCTTGTTCAGGTGCGCAAAGATCAGATCCACAGCATCTTGGATCTTGGACAAAGAAGTCGCAGAAAGCAGCTCATCCAGTGGGAAGTCTCTCATGAGCTGATTGTATTTCTGCACACGCTCAGTCGTTTCCTTCAATCCGGTATCTGCAGTAAAGCTGATAGTAGCCTGGAAACGTTTTGCGGCCTTCAGGATATCCAGGGTGAGATGCACGCCTTCTGTACGAAGCTGATTATCAATTCCTAGCAATGCCGATTCCAGAGATAACCAAAAGTTGATCTCTTGCGTAGCAGTCCCGCTAGCAGCGTCCCTGTCCATCTTCGTGATTGTCTGTATCGATTTGATCCACCCATTCACAATCGATTGTAGACTATTGAGGAAGGTGCTGTCCTGGAGGAGATTTGGCGGTAAAAATTCCGACGTAGGTTTTATGTTTCGGCTTGCAGCCTCCTCCACAGCATTCTGGATCATTGGGTGCAGTGGCAAAACCAAGTCGGGAATCTCAATGTTTTGTTGAAGATGTAGCAAGCTCAACTCCAACTCGGCCATCCTCTTCTTGGTCATCGGAACCCCGGTCTTGCCATCCGCCTCTGATCTGCCACGAGGTCCGTTCAGACTGTGTTGATTTTTGGTATACGCGTCGAAATATGGCGCCAGCGCAAGGTGGACAATCGAGTGTAGAACCTCGTAGGGACTGACTGCCGATCCGGCCTGTCCATTTGTGCTGCTGTTTAAAGACGCTGCACCTGGTAAATTAAGAATTTGTACTTGAGAAGTAATGGGTATCGTGGGGTCTATTGGGTATGGTCGTTTTAAAAGCGCAATCGAAGCAGTCGTCGATGGAGAGAAGGAAATATCCGTTGCAAGAGTGTAGTTATAAGTTACAGAGTCTGCGGTTACAAATCAGCGCATGCTTCTGAATCTTACTTGCTGGTAGATACACACTTGATTCATCGATTACGCCATCCAGCCCTCCTGCTGAGGCAATATCCTTGGTCACATAGAGTGCCACCTGGTTTTCCGAGGCGAATCGAGTACATCGCTGGATTGTATGTGACCTCGACTCCGGTGCCAGCAGACTGCCAGTATTCTCCAGCTCCTTTCTCGTAGCCCCAAGTGTAATTTCGAGCACACTGGCCAGGTATTCGACAATGATCAGAGGGTCAATCGCAAAAGTATCTGTCTCATTCGGCTTGGGACTGGTCTGGCCCGGGGAGGCAGCCAGGCTCTCCATCATCTTGAATCGGGGAGGGCGGTTTCTTTCAAATGTTGCGGAAAGTATCCATAATCAGTTGCGCTCACTGACGGCCACTGCGGAAAGAGCGGAGTCCGCTCGACTAGTTTGATGATATGGCGGTTGTTTAGTGTTCGTGTTTGTGTTTGTATTTGGGTTGGTCTTGGGGTCAGTGTTGACTTCAATTCGTGTCGCCCCGGATTTCGCGACCACTTTCCCGCCCTTGTTTTGCCTTGGCGTTAGGTTCCATGCAAGTGGATATGAATTCCATTACCGAAGTTTGCCCACGGAAGTAAATGACTTTCCTAGCCATTATCAAGAACATCACCTGGATAATGCTACAGATACGGTAATGGGTCTCAAATATCACGACAAGAAGGTAAGGTGGATGTACGTCGGCGTACACTTATCACTCCGGTTGTGCATTCAGTAGGCTCGGTTGCAACGCACGTCCAATGGCCTCAGTATCAGTTGCTAGTCACGGAAGCCACCCTGGGCGAGGGGGAAAGCAATGTAAATCAAATATTGACCAGAACTTATTGGCATTAAGATCGATCACTCATCATCAATACAGTCGTATGGTATCCTTCCTTATACCCTCGTAACGATTTTGCAATGTACAAGTGGACAGAAACGAATTGCGCCAGCTGATATACACAGAGCAGCACCCGTAGTAGATCTAAATATCCAGGTCGCTTCTGAAAGAGGAGGTATGGAGAGTTCGCCGGATCGAGGCCTTGCAGAGAGGAGAGGGGAAGGCAGCCGCAGGTGTGTGGTGCAGGCAAAATTGTTTAATCGAGTCCTCTGTCAGATCCTGGGCCACTTGTAAAAGGACCAACTTTGAGTTCTGAGTCTGCCGCAATCATCTCTGCCAGTATGTCGAGGACTGCCTTGGGCACTGGAGTGGTGGTTAGCAAGTGCGCCATACATCGAGCAAGGGCAAATGGCTAAGAGAGCGAAAAGAAAGCCGTTGGGGTATGCTCCATAGCATAAGAGACTTGCCTGTCTTGTCATAAATCGCAATCAGATCGCCCGGTGTTGGGTAGACTTTCAAGGCCTTGTAGAAGCAAAGAGCAGCCTCAATGTTGTCGGTTCCTGCGACAGTTAGAATTGCATGTAATTTGACAAGGCAGATGTCCATACCTTCTCCGGCCAAACCCTCTGCTCTGGCGACTTCTTGTAGGAAGTATGCTTCCCTGTCCTCCAAATCTGAAGGAAATCCTTCTTCCTTTGCTTCCTCAAGTGCCTCCCGGATAGCCTGCCTTTGCCGGAGTGTGTGAGCCTCTGCTTCCTCCTTAGCAGCCTTAGCCTGTCTTTTCGAATCCTTCTTCAGTTGCTTTCTGAATTGGGGGTCATTTCTGCGCTTGTAGTCGAAGTACACAGCATATGCTAGATAGAAATAGTCAGATTGCGGTCGGGGGAATTGCTTAGGGGACTCACCAACAAAGCCAGTCGCGAAGGTGCCGACTGCGGCGGCGACTATGGTTGATGTTTGCACCATTTTTTAATTGGATCTGTGGCTCCCTGGTGGTGTTGATGCCACAGGAGGAAAAATGATGGAGGACTTGTTGACCGAGAAGCTTGGTTGAGCTCGGAGCGATTTTTTGACCCGGCTACCCTGCAGTCGTAGTAATTAATCCCTGCTTACTTAGCCGCAAGCAGTTTCACGGCGGACGGCTAGCCACTTCAACGACACTGGCTCACTCAGCAGATATGATCACTTGTATTGTCCAAATCTAAACCAACAACATGTCGGAAGGAAAGGAAAAGAGCAAAGGGATATCCCTCAGGACCAAAAGAAATAAGAGGCCTGCCATAAGCGCCCCGAAACAGATTTCAGGCCCTTTACAACAGATAGGTGCTGCACCCCGAAGCAATGGGGGACAGCCCGGACTTAGTCCAGCACAGCAGCGCCCACCAGTCGGCGGCCAGGTGAGAATACTCCTAATAATGCCTGATTGCTGAATAGAGCATCGCAAGAGGTGGGGGGTTTTTTTGGCTGACAAATTACCCATCTAGGCTGCCGACCTAGTCAAACGGCGATACTCTACACGATTCAATAATGCTCCCAGTGATTACAATGCTGCTGCCCCTCCAGTACCTTCTCTACCTAAATTACCACGTCAGATTGCTCCACAAGATCGAGGGGGGAGGGGACCATCTCCAGGAAGAGGCCCAGGACTGAATGTCGACGTCAAGGCGTTGCGGGACCCCAATCTTCGTCCGGACCAGTACATATCAGGGCTACTAAGTGATGCATCGGAGCAAGATATCAACGAGTACCAGCAAGCCCTAGAAAAGCTGAGGAACAGGGCTTCTACAGACCTCCAGCAGAACGTCTACCAGAATCGAACCCAGTTTATCAAGATCAGTAAGGAGGCTGAGAAACTTAAGGGGGAGATGCGTGCACTCAAGAACCTGATGTCTGACTTGAAGACGAATACGACTGCTCTTAGAGCCGCGTCATCAAAAGGGCCAGTTTCATCAAATGATTTCGACTCGGGGTACCCTTCCACGTTGAGCCGTCGAGACAGGAGGAGTTCCGTAGCGGATCGTAGCGCAATGTGGAATTCTCAACTACAGGTCAGCGAAGCCTGTTTGCTGTCATGATCATAGGCTAACTGGTTATAGGCATTGTGGAAGACTGTTGAAGGGTCTCAAAAGTTTCTCCCGGCTGTTCCAGGTCGACACGTGGTTCAGAATGCCGGTCTTTGGATCGAGCTGGATAACGCGACATGGAAGTCCCGCAGGGCTATGCAGATCATTTTGCTGAACGACCATTTGCTCATTGCATCGAGAAAGAAGCGTAAGGTCGAAGGAAACGGAGCTGATCAGCGGCAAGCCCCTTCCAAGCTTGTGGCAGATCGCTGCTGGCCCTTGCTGGATATTGAGATGGTTGATCTGGCTGGCACCAGCGAATCGGCAAGTGGCCGTAACAAGGTGGCCGATGCCATCATGATTCGGGGGGTTGGCCAAGAGTCTTTTACTTACCGAACTGAAAAGCCTGATGACAACGAGAAGCAGTCCCTCATGATGAACTTTAGGAAGGCGCTAGAAGAAATGCGCAAAGGACTGCGAACGGAAATGGAATCCAGCAACAAAGCTAAGGAGACCATCAACTATTTTGCGTCACGAGATCCTGGATTGCTGAAGAAGACTGAGCTGCTGGAGACCCTGTCGGACATCAAAGACATGCTTATCGAAGTGGAGGGTAAGCAGCAGAACCTTCGCTGGGTTGAGAGTCAGATAGATGAGCTCGACATCGATATCGCTTTGCGACGTTTTGATGAGGCAGTGCAACGTGTGGAGAAGCTCAATGCCCTTGCAAAGAGCCTGAAGAACAACATTGTGGCCCAAGACTTTATCAGCTTCAAGGCTGAGGAGAGGTCGAGTAAGCTCGCAGGACTCATCACTCGCGAACTTGTTGACACTCATAACGAGCCGAAGAAGACGAAAAGGAACGTCAACTGGCTTGCTCGTTTAGGCTTCGAAGACCGTGCGAGAGAAGCGTATCTAGAAGCTCGAAGCACCATAATCCAGAAAAGAACGAGGTCAGCTCAGTCCAGGCACCTATTCAAATTCTTGCTAAAATTTATGCAGACAATGTATCTTCGAGGGGAATCTCCACCAGTATATATGGGAAGTCTCTTTCGTATATTTCACGATCATCCGCAACACAGTGTCTACATTCCAGACATGTTTTCAAGCGGCGGTCATGAGCGCATGTGTGAAATGGGCCAAGGAACAGGTCGATGATTTTAACGTTATTCTTGCAAGGCAGTTGAGTGGGACTGAACGAGGTGGGCCCCTCTGGACGGAATGTATGAACCAGGCGAAAGAACACGCCAAGATGTTATCTGAAGTTGGCCTGGACTTCAAGAGTCTGATAGGGCGTGGGAGCTCAGATTTGGACCCAAAGGGACCGATAGGCTTGGGCCTGGTGTAATTTTATTAAAAATACAGTGATATTCTCAGTCAGTACACCCAGTACACATTATAAAGTAGCCTAAATTGTGCTGCTGAACCGCGTGAATACTCTGCTTTTTCATGACTCCGGAACTCAGTCTTGCCTGCCGCGTCGACGTAAATAAGCGAAAACGTCGAACTACTTCATTTCGCCAGCCTCAAACTAAGTCCGATAAGTATTCCCCATCCCCATCACCACCATCTCCGTAATACCCCGTCGCAAATAATCCGCAGTCCCAACCTTGCTACCCTGCCACCGCGGGGCGCGACATATTCGTCGAACACGACCATCCAGCCTTGTCTGGGAGCCTCACCGCGTTTCGTCATCCGAGCTCGAGCTCCCCAGCCCTTAATACGACTCCTCACTACATCCACCACGAAGATCGCACACTATGGATACCAATATGGAGGATGTTGGCAGAGCGCCAGAGCCCACTCAACTGTCCCCCGTCTCGGAGCCTACGACGATACCCACACTCGATGGATGGATCGAGAGCTTGATGAAGTGCAAGCAACTGGCTGAGGCCGACGTCGAAAGACTCTGCGCAAAGGTATGTATCCTTCGCAGACCTCGGTGCTATCAGCGCGTGGTCAAGCATACTCTGCAACTCTCCGAGTCAGCCTCTAACAGCGTGTTTTACAGGCTCGAGATGTTCTATCGCTGGAGTCGAATGTGCAGCCCGTGGTAAGCAACCTGGATCCCTATCTTGCCTGCGGAGAACTCACATTTATACAGAAATGCCCTGTCACCGTCTGCGGGGATATTCATGGCCAATTTCACGATTTGATGGAGCTGTTTAGAATTGGTGGTCCCAACCCAGATACCAACTACCTCTTCATGGGTACGGGCCCCCTTTTATCAGAGACCGCCGGAGACTGACCATTTGTAGGCGACTATGTTGATCGTGGATACTATTCCGTTGAGACCGTCACCCTGCTCGTTGCCCTCAAAATCCGATACCCCCAAAGAATCACTATCCTCCGTGGAAATCACGAATCCCGCCAAATCACGCAAGTCTACGGCTTCTACGATGAATGTCTCCGCAAGTATGGCAACGCCAGCGTATGGAAGCACTTCACTGACCTCTTCGATTACCTCCCCTTGACCGCCCTCATCGACAACCAAATCTTCTGCCTTCACGGAGGTCTCTCCCCAAGTATCGATACCCTCGATAACATCAGAGCTCTTGACCGCATACAAGAAGTACCACATGAGGGTCCTATGTGCGATCTCCTGTGGTCGGATCCAGATGACAGATGCGGATGGGGAATATCGCCCAGAGGAGCGGGGTACACATTCGGACAGGATATCTCGGAGGCATTCAATCACAACAACGGCTTGACTCTGGTTGCGCGAGCACACCAGTTGGTTATGGAGGGTTACAACTGGTCTCAAGATAGAAACGTCGTCACTATCTTCTCTGGTAGGTCCTGGCTAGTTAAAGGGAGGAGCACGGCTGATATTTGCAGCTCCCAACTACTGTTACAGATGTGGCAACCAAGCTGCTATCATGGAAATCGACGAGCACCTCAAGTACACCTTGTGAGTAACCTGGACACGCCCATACTGAGCCTTGTTGACATATCTTAGCTTGCAATTCGACCCTTGCCCGAGAGCAGGCGACCCCTTGGTTTCTCGACGTAAGCTTCACTTTCCACATATGAGGCATCCAGCACTGACTCTCGACAGGAACCCCGGACTACTTCCTCTAGGTTATCGAAGAAATCCGATTGAGTTTGACGAGCATGCTGCACGTGGTTTTCTGTCAGAGAGCGTGCGAAACATGGTCAGAAGTATACTCTGGGGTCGGGGAGTGAGCTCGGGCCCATTTCAGCGCGGGAACATCTGTAGACTTGCATTAGAGAGTGAGAAGAATGCGAAAACGATTGACATGACAACTTGGGATGGCTGTGCTACCGTACTCGGCCTGAGATGTGGAAACTTGGCCAGCATCTTTGGCTGCATCTTTGGCTGCATCCAAGACTTTGATAAGCTTTGCCTCGGCCTGAGTGAAAATCACCCTGTTACAGTCTTCTTGCGTACCACACACTGCCCCTTTTTATCATTATCATCATCATCAACATCAACATCATCATCATCATCATCATGATCATCATCATCATCGTAAACACGAACACGAACACCACCAAACGCCTCTAGAGCCAACTAACCCGCGATGCCCGATGCCCGACATCCGCACGTATCTCATTGGTCCCGCTCGAACGCCCAAGCACCCAGCAGCCAAAACCCGGCTCTGCGTCTTCTCAAACGCCCAAAGCGCTGGTCGTCAAACCAAGCACTCACTTTCCTCCCGCCTGGTGGGATGGGGATGGGGACCATGTGGTGTGGTGTGGTGTGGTGGTTGAGCCCGGTTGGCTGAGACGAAGGTGTATCTCAATCTCACTTACTTGTTAAAGGGAGATGTCGGTCGCTCGTTGCCTTCGTCCTAGCATTCTTCTACATCAAGGCATCAAGATATCAAGATGGCTGCTTTGCCAGGAGCTGTAAGTAATCATTCATTCATTCATTCGTTCCCCATGAGATGTCTATGGTCGGTCAATTGACACCCATGACCACAGAGCCAAAGCATGCCCCAGAGCAAACCCTACGCACCGCAAGTCGCAGGTCTTGGGCTCATTCCCACCAAGAGCCTTGATGATCCCATCACATCCATCTTCCTGGCCCTCTTCTTGGTGGGCGCCATCGCTCATTTGCTAATTTTGCGAGTCAACCTCAGCAGAGGCAAGAAATTTCTCATGTCCGGTCTCCTCTTTGCCTTCTGCATGGCCAGAATCGTGACCTGCACCATGCGGCTCGTCTGGACTTCGAATATCACGAACGTCAGTATCGCTATCGCTGCCCAGATCTTCGTCGCCGCCGGCGTAATATTGCTCTTCATCATCAACCTGATATTCACGCAGCGGGTCCTCCGCGCCTCCCACCCAACCTGGGCCTGGACGAAAGCATTCTCCCTTACTTTTAAGCTCTACTACGTCTCCATCGTCCTCATGCTCATCGCTCTCATTTTTTGCACCGTCCAAAGCTTCTACACCCTCGACTCCAACATCCGCCGCATTGACCGCGACGTGCAGCTCGTAGGCTCGACCTACTTCGCTGCTACTGCGTTCCTGCCTCTTCCACTCCTGGCGCTCAGCTTCCTCCTTCCTAGGCCCGGGGTTGAGAAGTTCGGCGAGGGCCGCTTCAGAACCAAAATCTACATCCTGCTATTCTCGTCCTTCATACTCGCTCTCGGCGCTGCTTTCAGGGCAGGTATCGCTTACGTTCCTCGTCCGAGAAATGATCCAGCGTGGTACCACTCCAAGGCTTGTTTTTACGTCTTCAATTTCACGATTGAGATTATAGTTGTGGCGCTCTTTGCTGTTATCAGGGTCGACAAGCGGTTTCACGTGCCGGATGGGAGTCGGGGCCCGGGAGATTATGCTGGGAGGAAGGGGAGGGGAGGGAATATGTGGACTGAAGAGGAGAATGTCGACGCATCTGAGCATCAGAGGGGCTTCCTTGATCGGATCAATACCGAGGAGGAGACTTTTGGGTTCGAGATTCAGAGCGGCGTATATGCCGAAGTGAGACGCGAGACGAGAATTGTCGAGATAGAGAGGCCAAAGGGACTGGGAGGAAAGATGGACGTAAGATTTAGCCAGGTCCCGACGTTGCGACTTATGAACCAAGTTCCGACACTGAGGCCTACGAGCGAGACTATCGATGCACCGGCTTCGATAACCAAGATGGAAGAACCTATCACGAAATCCGATATATCACTACACTGAACGACATGGTCGGGCATGGATCAGAGAAGAATGTCTTGAGCAGACATTTTGGCGCCCTTGTACAGTACGACGTCTCAGCATCGAGTTTCAGCGTTTCAGAATGCCAAGAAGGTAATACCATTTCGAAGATCGCCAGTGACATCTGTTTTCCATTCGTCGGACGGTTATCGGTCTGCTTTTATATTTACATTTCCTGTAATTTTACTTATCATAATTTCACCACCTCTTCTTTTCCAAAATTCAGACCGGCTTTGACCGGGGTGTGGAGAAGAGAAATTGGATGCCTCTGACTGGATTAGGTACGTCTCTTACCGGGCACTGCCTAATGCAGCCAGCGGGCATTGGATTCCGCTTTGGGCAACAAGCGAAGACAGGGGCCGGGGGGGTTGAGAAGCAGGCAGAAAACCTCGTACGAACATCACCCTTCCTGTGCTTTTTTTCTTCCTTTTCCTTTTCTGATATATAGTGACAGTCCTTTTATCTCAACACTCCATCGTCTTTACGCATTTTGTCACGACGGCCGACGTCGTCTAGATGTGCGTACGGCTAACTAGCTACCTGCCAGCCAGCCTAAATACCCACCATCGTCTACTTAGGGGCTACATCGCTCAATAGCAACGCTGCGAGAAGATTCAAGAGAATATACGAGAGAAATAATGGTGATTTGAAGGAAGGAGGAGGAGGAGCTGGGGGTGGTGGATTACTTACGACTGGCTCCTAGTCGGCTTGAATACCTAGCGTTGAAGGCCGGCCGAAATGAATAGGGAGGAAGGAAGAAGGAAAAGGATCAGCTACTTACAGCATGGAATGAGATTCAAAATATCTCAGAAGTGACGAGATCGTGTCTTATCCGCTAAAACCGCTAGTATGATCTTACTTGATAGCAAACCAAGCAAGAAGATGATGGTGGTGCAATTGGGATTCTAATAGAGGGTGTTTCTTTCGGTCTTCGTGTGAGTAAGATATCAGTAAATACTAAGCCTTTTTCATTGTAGGTGGTACTGGCCTCGTTGTTCGTGACGAGAGAAGGAAAGAATGAAGGAAGGAAAGGAAAGGAGCCACTGTATTGGTATTGGTATTTAGACCACGGCCGGTCCATGGGCCATGCAGATCGCAAGGGCTTTGAGAACAACACTGCTACACTTATACTGTGTTCACGTTTGTTTGGGGTAGGCGAGTGAGAGGGAGATTGGAAGAGCTGGCCATTTTCGGAAGGATGGATGGCTAGATAGGTAGGCTGCTTTGCGAGACTATTGTATGTCGTTTGATAAGGGGTGGAGTCGGGCTGGATGTAGAATTGATAGAGGAGCTTGAATTGGTAACAACTGTCAAGTTCTTCCTATCCTTCGTTTTTTAAAGTGTTTTTTTTTCACGTTAGGTAAGCTCCAGAGATAGCGTAGGGCACGTAGAGATAGATCTAAGAGGCTTGAACAGCCTCTTGGGATCCGAGAAAGGCTGGCAGGTACTATGCTTAGGTGTGGCTCAGCCTCCCTGACTTTATCATCCAATAAGATCCATGACGCGACCATGCCTCGTAGTTTTATGCCAGTCAGGCTCTTATGAACCATAGCCTCGATATTTCGAAATTGAGCACTCAGTCGGTAATCAGGAGGCCTTGACATCCAAAGCTGATACTGGCGAGATATGTTCTCTGCCGGGTGGAGTTCGCAGCTGTCGAATCAAGGATATAAAAAGGCCACAGGTTCTTCATATTCCGTCGTCGAGAGCGACGAGTATCTGGAGTCGAAGGTTTGGAACTTAATTCGGGATCGGGGGCCTTGTGGTGGTGATTTCTCGCCGGAACTCACCCGCGAGAGATCCTTGAGGAGGATGAGGGTTGGAGAATGAGAAGGCTGAAGCTAGATAGCCAGGCCTGCTTAGGTCCGTTTGTATGCGAGAGAAAGTCTTTCTTGCAGATGACAGCCAAGACGTTGTCAACAATAAGAATGGGTGTTCAAGAAACGATCTGGGAAGTGAGAGAGACGAGGAATGCTTTTGGTCTTGGTCATGATGTCTTCGCTGCAGAGGCTCTTATAAAAAGCGAAAGACTGGCTCAAGGCTGCCTTCATTTGGTGAAGCATGCATGACACACTCAACCAGCTCCAGCTCTCCCTTTTATAAATCAGGGACCCACCCGCTTGTAGCCATTCGCGACGCTGACCAAAATTAGTGAACGCGGCGAGAATGAAAACAATATTTTGGTCAAAACACGCTGTGACGGTGAATTGCGTGAGGCAATCCCTTACCTGTTCCACAAGCCCTCTGAAAAAATTTCCACGGTAGTATAGTTACGAATACCACGCAAGTATAACATCCAGTAGCGTGGGTGGCATAGTGGTTGTCACCTTCAGGTCAAGCTGGTGTGGAGGACTTGTAACGATTTGGGGCCGAGTGGTTTAGATTCACCAAACCACACACGACAAAAAAATTCGGATCAAAATGAAAACCCATTACACAGGCTTTTCTTCTCCCACCGTCGCGGTGGGAGTTTGTTTTGCCCTTTTTTCTTTTTTTTTTAAGGGGAAAAAAAATCGTGTGGGGTCGTCGTCGAGATTGTGCTCAAGAGAAGGGTTCAACTATTCCGACGTTAGAGGCGTATCATGACATATACTACCTTGCCAGACTGCTCAATCGCCAAGAAATTTCTTTATTGCGATTTTATTCCGATTATGTTTGTCGTTGAATCAGAATTTGTGTTGAAAAGATGGCTCCTGAAGCGGACATATTCGCCGCTTACGAATTTGGCCAGCCTCGAGGACGATTTTGTTTACAAGTGAGAGACGGTATCGAGAAAATGGATTTCAGAAACAGATATGTAATAAAATACAATCTAGACGGTGTGCACAGCGAGGCTTAGTTTCTAGCTCCTCGATAGCGGGTGCCAGTTGGGCGAAGCAGCGATAGCTGAGCTCCACCATCTTGCCCCAAACAACCGCGGAACACATATATTTTTTCAAGTGAGTCCTCAAGGGAAAACGGAGGAACATATGCCCGTTACGCTGGTGGCTTTTTGAACCCGGCGTGAGGATACATTACTGTAAAGACTTGCCGAATGCTATCAGGCTTGAATACCTGGTATTGGCCCTATCGGATAGATCATTTAGCCCACTTCAACAGGATATCCGTTTTGGGGGATAACGAGTGCAAGCCGCTAGTATCGATGATTCGATATCATATAAGCGCACCTGGCCTGTATACTAACCTTAGAAGTTGCTACCGGAGTGGATGTGTGAAAGGAACAAGGCACGTTAGTACGTCTTAGCGTACACCAACGATAATTGAGAGTATTTAAATTTCTTTCCCTCCCTCAAAACTCTCCCACTTCTCCTGCAGATAAAATACCGCCATTGCTATCGTCGTCGTCGTCGTCGTCTTCGTCGTCGAGAATGCTGCTCCTCGCTTACATCAATCACGCTTACCGAATGTAGCCTAGACTCCGATCAAGTGGGTACTATTCCAATATCACCCAATTAAGGCGTGGCAGCTCTAACAATCCTGTTCTTTGATATTGACGCACCACCGCCCCCCTCCCCCCCCCATCGCGAGAACGACAATATAGCATGTCGCTGCCACAAGACGGCTCGCGGGCGTCCTTCTCCAACGCGAATGGTGGCCGGCAACATCAACACATCTTCCAGGCCCAGCCCCAAATCGGTCTACCGTCGCCTACCTCCGCACCACATCTACAAAAACATCCACAGCAGCAGTTTGTCGGCTTCAACCGACCGACCCATATCCGTCCTCAGATCCAGCAGCAAGGGCAGATTCCCCAGCACAAATCGCCATACATTACCCCATACGCGCAGAACAATGGACAAGTTGGAGTTCCCAGACAGAATGGTGGCATCGGAGTCTCTGCGGAGCAGCAAATTGCCCAAGGGGTCTTGAGCAATGCTTCCGCAGCCTCGGGATCCAGCACTCCGCTGCAACGACGAGGAGGACCTCCTCCCTTGGGGACCACGATCCATATGCCCCCTCATGGCACGCCCCAAACTCAACCCATGAGCGTTAAGCATGCCATGAACCCTGCCTCGAATATCCAGCAAATACAGCGCCAGTCTCAGAATACCTCGCCTGCTCTCCAGAACCTGGGTGCGCATGGTCCTGTTTTGACCGATTCACCGGCGAACTCGAATCTCGGAAATCAACCTCAGGACGGCTCACCAGATGTCAACGCTCAGGACATGTCTATGATTGATCCCCAGCTTGCAATCGATCAGCACCTCACCGAACAAGCTAACAATTCCATGATGGTTGGTGATGCTCCGCGGGAAGTCGTCCAAGGTGAGATGCTATCACCCCCTCCTGCTGGCAGTTTTCCAACCTTTGATGCCCTCTTTTCCTTTGCCCAAGCCCACGCTCTGGCCCACGGCTATGCCTTTGTCATCGGTCGCTCCAAGCGTGATAACAGAGGCCTCAAGAAGGTTTTCTTGATATGTGATCGTGGTGGAACCAACAAGGAGAAAGTGCCAGGTGAGCAGCGTCAACGGAAGACCAAGTCTCGGAAATGCGGTTGTGAATTTGGTGTGTTCGGATTGGAACAGAAGACAGCCTGGTTTCTGAGAGGTCGGATCGATGGCGAGCATTTGTCTCATAACCACCCTCCTAGTGAAAGCCCAACAGAGCATCCTGGTGCAAGAAAACTGGATCCGAGAGCTATTGCTGCTGTAAAAGCTCTTGAGTCAAACGGTACGATGCCTACCATTCAAAAATATTTAGATAGAGCTTTGCTAACAAATTCAAGGCGTCTCCGTCAAAGATACTCTTGCGCACTTACACCGTGAAAATCCCAACGTCCGCTACCTTCCCCGTGACATCTACAACGCCCGGGCGGCTATCAAGCGCGACCCTTCCCGCGTGGAAGCTACAGCAATGGAGTCTTTGCCTACATTCTACAAGAAGCCACCCTTGACACACGAGGAGAAACTGCGTGCCGAACTGCGAACAGAAGTAGCGAACGCAAAGGCTGAAGTCGAAAAAATCAAAGAGGATCGGCGAATTGAGATCGAGGAATTGAAGGAGCAGATAAGGTCAAAGGATAGGCAGATCAAAAAGTTTGAAATGTTCATTGACATTTGCAATGAACGGGTTATGGTGCAGCGGAATCTGCTGACGGATGGCGCTGAAGAAGAGACTCCGTCCGGCTAGGGCTTTACGAATGGCGTGAAAAATTGTGTGTGGAGTTCAAGGTACCTGATTGCTCTCCAATCATGAGGAAAGAAGGTTTCCTGGCTTACGACGAAATGTTTGCTCTTTGAGGTTGCTTTGCCTGCAATTACTACTTGCTGAAATTTTGGGCGGGCGGGCGTCTCGGAAGAGGGTATGGGCGTGGAGTTATGAGCTTTGAGTTGCTTTTGGGTTGCTGGCGCTCGCTGCATTCCGGGAGTCGTGTATACCTACCGGGTCCCGTTTGCCAGAAGGCAGAGGTTTCTTGATGCCAAGAACAAACCACCATGAGCACGTAAATACGTCAGTTCAATTGAAGGATCAAGTCTAAACAAGGCCTTGCAACGAACAATAAGAGATGGTTGACGCCCTGGTATGCAGTGCAAGTGAAAGGGGACCTTCTCGGCTAGGGAAGGGCTTCCGGAGCGACCACAGAAACATGAATGCCGGAGTATCGATACAGAAAGAATATTGATGGCTGGCGATTGTGGTGGTATAGTATGACGATAAGGTATGGTATCTTTTTTTTTTTAGCGCCTTCGGATTGCGGGTCTATAGAGTCGTGGTGGCGGTTAAGTATGGTGGCTAGTCTATATCCCGTCAAGTGCTGCTGTCACAAGCAATGGCCAGAGGATGCGCCTCCAGTTTCTTTATGGCCATTCAGTTCTTCTTCAGGACGAATATGTCAAATTCATAAAGACTGATTTCCTCCTACAGGATCAGACATGACTTTCATTAATGCCAACCCCCCCCCCCCCCCCCCCAACCCACCGAGATTAGGACGTGTCAAATCTCCATAACCACACCCTGCTTCTCCGTAAGCGCAACCTTGTTCTTCCCTTTCCTATAGACTCTCTCATCCCTGGGATCGAAGCCCCCCTTGCCCCAAGTCGCCCAGTCCGGAGTCTCAGGCCCCATGTAATCCTCCGGCCTGAACGGCTCTTTACTCTCCAAACACTGGAAGAACTTCACGTAGTCGATTCTCGTGTGCCACTTCCCCCCAACCCGGAAGCGCTCACTAGCAAGCAGGATGCAGCAGCTATGTGCATGCTCAGCTGCAATTCCATAGCCGAGCCCGCGTCTAGCTAGAGCGGCGTTCAGAGCTTCGACGAAGGCGCACACCTCTTCGTAGAATGGGACATTTTGCATCGTGAGCCCTGCACCTGCGGAAGACGATGTGCCGCAATACGTCACACCCTTGACTTCCACAAAGCAGGGGAGGCCCTTCTCAACCAGATCCGCGTAGCCCTCAGCTTCATCCTCGATGTTAAAGCCCTTCACAAGCGTCAGGCGGAACACGGTGCGCTGCTCGAAGCGTCTCTCCTTCAGAATATCCAGACATCGCTGGAAGCGCTCCCAGAAGTCGCGGTGCAGCGGCCTGTCAATTTTCCGCAGCGACTCACGGTTCGAGGCATCGATCGATACGTACAGTTGCGTCACGGGTTTGAGCGCCGCGAGCTGATCGGGATGCTGCGCGTTACAGACTAGGAAGGATGAGATATGCTCTTTGTGCAGCATAGCCGTGAACTCGTTGATGTGCGGGTAGAAGATTGGCTCTCCTACCAACGAGAGAGCGCAATGACGAATGCGCATTGCTTCTGCGAAGCGCTCTGCTCGGACACCGGGGACGCCGCGCATCATTTTGATCTTTTGGTAATGTCCTGCCTTGACGCCGTCGAAGATTAGATCTGGGGCGTCGACTTTCCAGCGCCAGGTTGTGCCGACTGGGTTGGTGCCGTGGCGCCAGCAGAAGACGCATTTGTTGGAGCAGGAGAGAGAGGGCGTCGTCTCCATGCATTGGTGCGAGGCGATGCCGTAGAAGGAGTATTTGTAGCAGGAGCCTCTACCGCGGAGGGCCGATTTGGTCCAGCGGCAGATCTTGACTCCTGAATGAGATCCGACTATGGAGTAGCCTTGCTTGGTGAGAGCCGTGTAGGTGGGCGAGTTTTTGGGAACCATCTCTTTGATAACTGGAGTTGGTTTTGATTGCGGATTTTTGCCGTAGGTTGTGAAGTCCACTTCCAGGGGTTCGTCGTCGAGGTCAGCTCCTGGAATAGAGGCTTGCTTGTTCATGGCGCTTCCAATGTCCTCTAGGTCGTTCAAGGCGTCTTTCTTCTGAGCCTTGGTCTTTCGTTGAGCTATCTTCTGGTCGTCAAATAGCACGTCGTCCTCGTCATCAACATCCTCCATATCACTTTCCACAGCATCTCCACTTCCCACAACCCCCTCACCTAAAGACCCTGTAGCTGCGATATGCCCAAGGACATCCTCGACACCTTCCTTCCACTCTGCCAATCGCTCTGTAGCATCACTCTTCGAGTCCCCCATTCCTAGCGGAAAAGCTCTCTTTTTCCCCGTCAACTTCGCCATCCACTTATCCACATCCCTAGCTTGCGAGCAAAATCCCTCTTCCTCAGTCGGCCAGCCATCTCTATCCCCAAATCCAAAGACAGAGTATCCCAATATCGTCGACAGAGGCGCGGTATCTATCCTGAAATCATTGTGCGTCTCCTGCAAATGCTCAAGGAAATTGTCGAGTACGGTATCAATGTTGTACGTAGGGAGCAGCAGTAAATAAAAGTACTGAGCTCCCGAATCATTCTTGGGCGGGTTGATAAAGTACTCATCATAGTCTATGTATGATAGGTCGAGTATTACTGGCTCCAAGAAAGTAGTGGAAGTTGTCTCTGCAATCTTCCTCGTACTTTGCGCAATTTCTTCGGTGAATGCCTTCGCGATCTTCTCGGTAGTACCAGTCAGGGACGAGAAGAATACCAGCACTCGGATCTTCTGTTTCCTTGGCTTTATGTCCTCCTGCGACGATTTTCTCCTCTTCAGGCCGCCCACAATCCTTCTGGGAGCCTTTTCTACGGCTGCGACTGCTTTCTTTTCGGGTGGAGTTGACTTCCCATTCAGAGCTGGCAGCGCTGGGGAAATAGGCGGCGTATCTGGGATTTTGTATCTGGGGCATCGTATATGTAGATACGTCCGAGCAACTATGAGGACTGTTACCGTTGACAGGATGATGGGAATTCGGTGGATGTGCCATAATGCGATTAAATCTAGTCGAAATGTTTAGCATTGGTTTCAATCCCAGTTTTGAGAGATATGTTAACTTACCAGCAACCTCGAAAGGCAGCAGAGGTCGAAAGAATTTATCTAGAGGCATCACTCGGTGTTGATCTCTATTTGTTTGCAATGGTATGAACTCGAGCGGATGGAGGGGAATTGTTCTTAGGTGGGACTATTCGGACTATAGTCGGCCCGGATAAAGGGTCTCCTTGGCTGGAATTTTTTTTTTTTCTGTTCAGCTTTGAAGTCAAGAAATAAATGTATCATCTTTCACCAATAGAAATAACCATATCTCAAACATATTTGACCAAGGGATATGAAAAACTACAATCCGATTCGTGAAAAATTCCAAAGAAACTCTCTCAGCGTTCAGACTCACGATATAATTATTTGCATCAAGAAGCTATAGTCTTGACATTTGATGTTCGCAATTGCCGTATATGATGCCCATGATTAACTACTCATCGCATCACACAAAACGCGTCAGTACTAAATACTCTATCAAGTGATAGCGAAGTCAGTCATACTCCAGTAGCCAGGTCAATTCATTCAACTATCCGGATTTTCTAGGAGTTTAAACAGCGGAACTGATAGGTACGTAGGTCGCCGCAACATTTTCTAAGAGTTTAAAGAGCACAAATGATAGACCAGCTGCAGGGTTCGGAGCCAACAAAGCAAAACTGAAGTTTCGTAAGCGAAGAAAATCTGTCGAACTGTGAAATGCCAGTATTTTACAAATAGAGTACCTGGCTTATAGCGGTTTTGACGTTGTGGTGATACAGTCTTGCCAAAGCGGCGTTGGATAGATCGTTGTGTACTTCTGGAGGGTGTATGAATTGGGGGGGGCTGAGGTTAGCTTCACGACTACACTCACTTGGATAGTAGCTGATAGACTGATGAGATACGTGGTCTCTATCCACCTCAGCATTTTGACAAATATCAGGATCCTGCTTTACTACTCCGTTCTACAATTCTGACACGACAGAAGATAGTAGGTGATCACAATCAAAACACCTGATGACCTGAATTAACTCGGAGCGAGCTAAGATTACGTGGTTTAAATGGCCCAAACGCGTTAAACAGACAGGCCTTTAGAGGTGTGATCTTTACCTGCGTTTGGCTTACTACGCCGGAAATTCACTTCCTCTTACCGCATCAAGCTAAGCGAGCGATGACCTAACCGAGCTATAAACAAACTCGACTCGGGTCCCTAAGAAAATAGAGATATTTTTCTGACATATCAAAATTCACTAGAGCGTAGCATATGAACATACTCTTTTATTCGTTTATGAAGAATGTAGAACATCATTATATTTCGGCTTGAGAGAAAGAGGTGAAAGAAGGCCACGGCGTGTCCCCCCCCCCCCTTTCCAAAAAATTAGGGAAAAGGCATATAGAAAACTCCCCAGCAGAAGCCAAAAAAAGACTCTATATACCCTAGACCCTTTGACGGTGGTTTACCTTCGCATTCGGCTCTGTCTGTTAAAGGTCGCTCCCGCCCGACAAAGCTCCTGCTTCGACACAAACACAAGGCTAAGGCTTTTCCGCCCTTCAGAACCTGCCTGGATCCTTTGAGCGTTGAAATTTAGTCGCGTTTGAGCGTCTGTAATCCAGCGTTTCTATTCAGTCGCGCCTACATCTAAATGCTTTCACAATCCAGAATCCAAATTCCATCATCGGCTGTAAACATCTTCTGGATGAGTTTTGCTATTTCTCCCTATTTCTTTAGGAAGGGGTTTGTTTCTCTTACCCCACCTCCCCCCTCAGCTTCATCACCATCCCTCACTAAGGTGGAATAGAGCTCGAACCCATCCATCACTGACCGACTGCACAGTACTAGCGATGTTATAATACATAGACAATAAAACTAAGTGAGCTTCATGAATATTTTCCATGAAACACTTAACGAGTATATAGCTTATAATTAATTGATTTGAATGATTATTAAAACTTTCAATTTGTAAAACGCTTAACATTCTTATAGAAAAAATCGATTACTATAACACTTTAGTACTTAATATGCTACCTTTCTATTTCGACTACAGCTTAATTATACATATTGACAATTATAAATGATCAAACAACGACTTATCTAAATAATCCTACGCTGCCTGTAAATACGATTTTCATCGTGCTCGACCTGTTTTCGAATCGCTTTTTATCGGCTGCGATATCGAAAAACATTTCAAACGACTTTTCTCTTCAAGTGCTAGCTAGCTATTAACAGTGCTCGATCGAATCAAGATCGGAAAAAGAAAGGTGGCCAGTAGTCTCTCAATAAATCAATCCTTCACTTTCAAAATCAAGCTTCAACTTTTCGGGTCGTATAAATCAATGCATTGATTACCTTGCATAGAATTATACTTATCTTCGTTCGTATTAAATCCTTTGCATCGAAACAGCTTGCGCTATAATAGCATATTTGAGTTGTATATCGATAAGTTAAAAAGGGGAAAAAAAACGCGATTCGTGAAAATTCGCGGTTTTATGCATTATCTATTCGGCCCTATTGACAACACCGAAGAAGACGTCCTCGGTAATAAACAGTACCTCGAACGATTGCCCGAACGTAGTACGGCAAATCCCTTTTTTTTTCTTCACAAGAAATCCAGGTATACAGGCAGTCTACACACACACACATATGTACGTACGTACACCCACCAATTTCCTCCCTCCATTAACACATACACCGCTCACCAACCTTCCAAATACAATTCAAAGAGCCAAATACTTGTTCATAAGGTAGATAGATATATACACATATCCAGCAAGCTCGCAGATATTCTTACCCTTTGTACTCTTTGAAGGCGACTTAATCGTGAAGAAATCGAAGATTTAGCCGTTGAGAGGTGTGGGGCGATGTGGACTCTGAGATTTAATCATATTGGAGCTTGGAGATGAGGAAGGGAGGGGGAGAGGGGGGAGGTTAAGCCGCGCGATAGATTGTAAATAAATTATGTTCGCGTGATAGATTCTAAACAAAGCATATTAGTAGTAGCAGGAGCCCAGATTGAGCATCAAGGTAGAGGGCATTCTCTGCATGCATTCGCGTAAGACCATGACAGGTATCAATCAGCACCTGATGTTTGGAAAACCACATTCTATTATCTATTCGTTACATTCATGACATCGTGCTCGAATCATCACCCTCAAAAGCTCTTACATACACAGCAAAGCAGAAGAGAAAGAAATCCCAAATATTTCAAAAAGAGAGCTGCTCGGTCCAAGGGAAGAGTAGGAAATTCCCCAGCCAAGCTGATGACTCATCAATTCCCATCACCCTTCCAGAAAACGATCCGTGAGGTGACCCTGTGCAAATTGAGCTAGCAAAGCAAATTATGCCTGTCAAAATGAGCACAGAAGAGACGAGCCCAAGAGGGCAAAAAAGTCTGAGTGGGATAGCTGCGAGAAGAAAAGAACAAGGGAGAAAAATTGGGGGAGCAAATGAAATCAGAGAGCAACATGTAATCAGAAAACCCATCAGTCATCAGATCATCTGATGATAAGGGTGCGACCTCCGACGGTTCGGCGGTCGGGGGTCGATCCAGTGTGCAGGCCTCCCAAATTTCGCTCTCCTGCCCTGCGTTGCTCGTACCGTCGAACCATCTCGTGGACGTCTCCTCCGGCCTCTTCTTCTTCGTCTATGTTGAGAGCTGCTATTCGGTTGGTGCTGGCAGACATCTTGGTAAACTTCTTGCCGCCTTGAACCTTCTTGCCGGAAAACCTCTTGCGGGAAGCGACTGTGAAACCGTCATCATCTTCAAGTTTCTTTGATCCAGCTGGCCATGCAGTCTTTGCATTTGGCTTTGGTGTGGTGGTCTTGAGTTCTAACTCCTGGGTCGGATTCTCCTGCTCGGCAAGCTCGCTGCCATCAAGATCGATCTCGTCATCTGGAAAGTCTTCGAAAGTAGGAACAGTAATCTTCTGACCTGTGGCCCAATCTAGATGCTCTCTTATCCTCAAGATTGCTGCGTAAGCCTGTCTACCTGCCCATCTTCTAAAGCCCTCGGCCCGCATCTCCGTTTCAGATTCCTCTCTCTCGATGATGGTCATATCCTCCTTGACTGCTGCAACAAGTTTAGCAACCAGGTCTTTTCGCGCCTTGGAGCTCTTAGAGGGGTCAACATCGATACCAAGGCGGAAGAAGATCTGAGGATCAAGGCCACTGAAGGGATCAAGCATCTCGGCGTTCAATTGGGTAGCGTATTTGCGAGAGGAACTACCTTTGCACTGATACTTGAGAGCAGTGGTTGTTTTCAAGACATTCTTTCTTTGGCGAGGGGTCAGATCCTTGAGAGGGGCGGTGTAGCTTTTTGAAGGTATGCCCGGTGACTGAACGGCAAGAGACTCGAACTCCATGGTCATGCTCTCCTCGGTGTACTCAATCTCCTCATTATCATCCACACCAGCGCTTTCCTCAATAACAGGCTTCTTGTGGTCATAGACATATGTTCCATGCCAGGCGCCTTTGCTCTCGTGGACTGTCAGATGTATTGCTTCGCTGACGAAGTCCGTCTCATCTTTCGGGAAAGCTTCGACATACTTCCGGTCTCTAGCACTCCCATTACCCGTTTTCTTCGCTTTCTTCCGTGCACGCCTTGTAATCTTGACTTGGTTAGTTCCGTCGACACTTACTACTTCGGAGGCCGTGTCAGTAAGGTTGCTAGAGGTGGTGGTGGTATTCGTAGAGGTGGAGCTCCGTCGTGCCTTGAGGCCGGTTGATTTATCAGGTGGGAGGACTGTAGCCGTATGATCAAGTGTCGCTATCTCCCTTATTATCTTCAGGATTTCCTTGTGTCTGCTGTGGTGCAACTCATCGGACGAGTTGCAACTGTTCCGGTGTTAGCGATACACCTCTAATTCTCTGTTTCAGTAGACACTCACCCAAAGCATTCATGGGATTTGCCTGGACGCATAAGCAAATCAGAAGTGAATAAAAATAGACTGGGGCGACCAGAATAAAATGATACAATCTTACCAACGAAATGCAACTGCTGGTGGAACCTATAGCACGGCTCAACATGCTTGCCAATGCAAGACGTTTTAGCTCGAGAATCTGTTGAGGTTTAGCGGAGGTCCCAATGGTTTGCATTGGAAGCAAACGGTACTTACTGTGAAGAGGTGTAGAGCAGACGCCACAGTGATGCTCGAGACCTGGAGAGTCTCCCCACTTGTAGATATTCTTGCCCTTGTAGAGACGAGTCGTCGGGTCAAGGGTAGCCCAGTTCATCGTGCCGTATGGTGCCGTTGGTATTCCTTGGGATGGATGTGGGATCGGGAAGATAACGGTCGGTCGAGGCAAGAAAAACCCGGTCGCCGGTCTGTGTTGACAATGTAAGCAAGCGGTACGAGCAGTATATGAAAAGGAAGAGATCGGAGAGGTGGGAGAGATCAAAGAGATCACACCAAGCTCCCCAAGACCGAAAGCCTCAACTGCAGCCGCACCGTGCTCCGAAGTCACCTTCTAAGGCCATAGAGACCATTGCAAACGCGGAGAGCACGGAGCAGCGCGCGGGAGAAGGAGGTTGGCGCAGAGGACTTACATCTCGCCGGATGGCTCGTGTGGGAGCCACTGATACAGGCTCAAGAAGTGGAATGTCGATCTGCGATGCGGTGCAGTGCGGTGCGGTATGGCGCAGCGTTGGGCGTATGGTATGGTACGGTGGGGGTGTAGAGACGTATTGGAGTTGCAAAAGAGTGTGTTGTGTGGTAAGGACTGGAGGAGGAGTGCTCCGAAAAGGATTTATCTAGATGGATGTTCTGGCGGAGAGAAAGAAGATGAGAGATGTTATGTGAACTTGCTATCGCACTAACCCGAGCGGTGAACGGCGTCTGTCACCACTTTCGGATTCAGCTTGGAGAATTAGGAAGGGACGGCAGAATCAGAACTCGACTGAGAACCGCCGACATCGAATAACTTTGCCTGTGCTGCGAGCATGCAATACCAATAGAATTCTCGAGCAAGGCAATGATTGAAACGCAGAAAGAAGTATATGAAGGCTCGGGCTCGGGCTCGGGCTGGTCTGGGTTTGTGGGCCGTGGCTCCTGTTTGCAAAGGCCTACACCGCTGCGAGAACATTCTTTGTTGAGACGAAACGGATAGAGGCATCTTTTCACAACAGTTGCCTGCCAACTCACCTTCTCGGCCCAACTCACCATCTCGAACCGATCCTATCACACAGCAGCATTTATCAACCCAAGGTTTTTTGTACTACTCAACAGAAGAGGATGCACACACACACACACACACACACACACACACACACACATATATATAAGCCACGCTCTGAGGCCACCCCTGGCGATACCGACTCATACCCGCCAATAACTCAAAAACTTTTACCCTGTTGGGAAGAATGACAATGTTGGATTGCCATGAACTGGGAGCCAGGCTACAACAGTGTTGGGCCAGGGAACCACAGACCACAGACCACACACCACAGCAAGCGAGTGCCCAGTCTACACGTCGCGGACCAGTCGAGCTCCGGCCCAGGCATATGGATAATTGCGCTGATACCAATTGATACTGGAAGCTGTCAGCATTATCTTGCACCCACCCATCTGTCCAAGTAAGCATTGCACATGGGTCAACTCACAAGGTCTTGCGTCCAGCAATGCGTGGGTGCGTAGCCCAAGAGCCACCGAGGACGATGTTATGCTTGCCGTCGAAGAAGTCGGCTACGAAGGCATCAGTACGATCAGGCCAGAGGGGCTCAGTCATTTATAGTGTTCAGAATGCCAAACGTACCCGTGTAGGCTGGATAAAGCTTCATTGGTTCGAACCCATCATGCCTTAAAAGCTCCGAGCTGGTCCATTCCCACACACCCCCCATTTCAGCCTGGCCGGCAAGTTTATCACCGTTGGAAGTCACGCCAATAGGATGCCAATGCTTGAATCCAACATTGGCGTTCGCTAGGTCAGTAAAGAGCTCCGAGCCCTCACCTGGCCAAGCACCACGCGATGGAGGGCTTTCCTCTACGCCCTCGTTGACGAGATGGCTTGCACTGAGGTCAGCATGGTTTTGTGTAGGAGAGAGGGTAAATACCCATTGACAGCGGGGACCGTCTTGACAAGGTGCTGCTCTGCTTCTTTGAGTCGCAGACCATCAACGTGGCTGTAGATGCTGCGAGCCTCCTCGAGAGTCGGGATTCTCCCACCCATCCATTTGGCGCAACCAGCAAGCTCATCATAGGAAGCGAAGACGGGCCAGTGCAGTGCAAACATCAGTGGGACGAGGCCATAAACAGTGCGGACGAACTTGCCATCCAAATATTCCTTCGTGAGGGGTGTCGAAGTAATGGCATGGCCATTCGAGTTACCGTTTGAGTAAACATTGGAGACACCGTTGGTATGTCCATTTGTGACACTTTCGGTCCAGGAAGCTGGTATTTTGGAAGCATGAGTCTGCTCCAGGTACCGAGCGTACTACGCTCCAATGAGTATAGGATTGAAAAATGAGAATTGGAGGCCAACTTACATCTTCATTGGTGATAGCTCTTGCTTGAGCCTTGAACGCCGGTACTACAACACTTCGGGGAGGTTTTTCGCAGTCCCTGTAAAGAGTCGTTAAAAATGTCGTGAAATTTTGTCATCCGATAATATTTACCATCCAAAATGTCGATCCCCGCCAGAATTATCCTCTGGGTCGTCCAACCCTATCGTAATTCTCTGTTCCGGAATTTCGAACCACTCATTACCGACCCTCGCAGCTTCGTCCGCAGCTGCCAGTTCCTCGAAGTTAGGCTTGAACTTGGTCGGTGGCAGAGTCTTGTCACTCTGGAGCAGCATATACAGAAGAGTCTCCAAATGCATGATCTCATGCTCGAACCCGATCCACAGAGCTCTCCCTACATCTCGAGGAATGCTCTCTGAAGCCGTGATCTTCTCAATCTTGGCTCGGACTTGATCCTGGTACCCAAGGATATCTTGGAGGGGAGGCCACTCTTCCGGAACCTCCGAGTGGTCATGGCACCGCTCCGGGTTGTCGACATCTGGGTCAATACCCCTCTCGAAGATCTCCTTGAAGTATCCTGGCTCACATCGAGGCTGCTTCGTGACCTTTTCAAGCTGGATATCAGTGAAGGTCGGGATATGGCCTAGATAGAAGATACAGGCATTGCGAAGCTTAATTGGTTTCTCATTGAGTTCGGTTTTGGGAATCATGTTTTGGGTGATCAAGTCCCAAACAGTCCATAGTCCCTTCCAGTCCTTCCTAGTCGGGACTGTTGACGCGGCATATAGTGAGGGATCGGTTTTGAACGCCATGTTCCGCTTCAGCAAATGGAGGCCTGAAATGTGAGATTTAAATATCAGCAAGTTTGCTCACAGTGATGAAACAATAAGGCAAAAATGTTGGCAGCACAGCGTGTGACGAGAGATAGATGCACGGCGAGGATCGACGACCAACACCGGAACTGACTCGTGTGCATCACACATATTGACAATAATTTGGACCCCCACATCCTGGATGCTGAGGGTGGCACACAAGTGGTGATGCGATTGCATTCCAGCCATTTGGCCCAGGGGACCCGCTGGCACAATAAAGAGCCTCGTTACTTCACACCGCTTATTCATACCTAGGCCTCCCGCTTCCCGTCGCACGATATTTCGGTCCCAAGAAAAAGCCATAACGGGATGCGAATTAGGAACAGTTCGGTAACTTACTATAAGAATCAGATGAGGCTGACATGCGATCCACCTCGATTAATCCCGAAGCCTTCCAAAGCTGGGCGGATCCCTCAGGAGAATATTTCAAGCTTTCCTCGATTTGGACTCTCTCTCCAGCTTTTATTTGCACGCCTTTGACGGAGACGTCGTGGACTGGAGAGCAGAATGCCTGATGGCGGCCACCTTCTGCATCAAACACATATTCGCCAATGACTTTCCAGTCATTGGGCTCGAAAATTTCTTCGTTGTAGATCCCGTTTGCGTTGGTCAGGCCGTTGAGAATAAATCTGCCGAAGTGTCAGCTGTAATTGACGGGGAAAAAAAGGCGTTGTTCTGAGTTTTTACTTATGCGTTTTTCCTTCTCGATCTGCGAAAAGAGTTAGTATTGGGTTTTTCGCAAACTTATGGGTACTGATGCTCATTCACCGTTGTAAGCATGACTGGAGCAAAAGTTAGCCAGGTGGCTGCAAATCCAATGCAATGCCAGTGCACTTACTAGACTTTGGCAGGATCCTCGGTAGCATCCAGCCCAACGAGCATTAAGTCAGAGTCCTGCATGACTTCTGCAAAGCCCTTCAAGAACTCAGCTCCTCCTGCTCGAGAGAAGTTGCCTACATCTCATCAGACTTGCAATCTTTTGTCTTTGAGGAGAGCCTACCAATGCTGGATCCCAACGACATGACACATTTTGGACGAGTAATATTCTCTGGTATTTTCAACCAGTCCAGTCCATCGTCGTAGGTGCCATGCAGACCATGACACGTGACGTGCTTGAACGCAGGAACTTGTTCCAGAGTCCGATAGAGCTCTTTTAGGGAGAGATCCAGAGCATAGTAGTCGATATCCTTGCCGGCCTGGTCAAGAGCTTGCAGCAAAATACTTACCTTTCGAAGATTTCTGTCATGTGTTAGTGCCGACACATTGAGGACATCCATCGAGCAGCAACCAACCCGCTACCCAGCTCGACTACCATGGAGCCAGGAGGAATTGCCTCTGCAATGTTGCAAGCAGATCTTTGGAGAACGTCAATCTCAGCATTCGTGAGATAGTATTCTTCCAAATATGTGATCTACTACTTCTCAGTCATGGTCTCTTTTATCGATTTTTTATTTACTGTTGTGTGTTGTTTGTTTTTGTTTTTGATTCTGAAAGGAGGGAGATCACCTCTTCAAACAATTGCAGTCCTCGTTCATCGTACAGCAATAATGTCGGGAGTCTTTTCGGACCCTCTTGTGGCTTCAATGACTTGACAATTTCGTCCTTGAGGCTCATCTCCACCGCATTGTGGCGGATGTCAATGATGTCTATCTTTGGCGCCATTCCGGAAAGTGCGATTGCTGGATTTTCGGGAATCAATTGGTATGTATTTGGGGAGTGTTGTGGCGTCGATGTATCTGTATCGATCTGTATCTTAGACAGACAGCACTTGCAGGAGCGGGTGACGAGAGGGATGTAATACGGTAGTAGTATTCTGAGATTTGAAATAGCTACCTACTTAATAATAAGGAAGCTCGAAGTGGGGCCTATGCATACAAGTCACAGTTGGGGAGCAACTAGTTGTAATTGGTATAATGCCCGTCGAATACGATATAGGGATTCCCGGGGGTCACTCGACAAAGCGGTGGCTCTTCGAAAAGCTTGAGCCGAGGTTTGCCCTCAAGCGTCAATGCAATATGTAGTACAATATGCAGAGCAGAGCTGAGCTTGCCCCGCAGTCAGCAAGAGAAACGAACCACTAGAGGTCGAGGACTAACCCAAGAAGAGGCCCCCACGTCTGTTGTCGTTGAGGTGACCTCATCATTATTAGCCAATTCACAGCTCCGATCCCTCACTCACGGTCGCGCCCGAGACCCGCCGAATAGGAAGGAAGGCAAGCAGGCAGGCAGGCTCTTGGGCTGGGAAAAGAAAACAAACACGCGAATGTTCATCGAGTTCTGACGGAAGCCCGGGTAGGCCGGGTGGGATGGAACCGAGGGTGATTGTTCTGTTCTATCCGTAGACTGTATTGCTTGGCTTGGTGTTCCAGGGCATGTCGAGCTGTGAGGGCGGCTGTGAGGTTGAAACTAAGTTTGCCGGACAGCCAGATGTGACAAAGGGACATGTGCGTAGGCAGGCAAGGTCGGGAATCATAGAATCCAGCCCGGGCCTCGCATATGGAGAGAGGGAGATGGAGAGCCATAGCCATAGCCATAGCCATACCCACAGCCATAGCTATCCGGAGTAGCCATGACTATCACAAAATGACATGACAGAGATCTGCGTAGAAGAAAGTGCTCAGTTAGCTTAAACGAAGCCCCAATCTTGTCTCCCGAAAAAGCTCAGTGCAGCTACCTGCAGTAAGGGCGAGAGGGATCATCCATGCATTGAACAGTTGGATGACGCCGTTCTGTACTTTGTCCATATCCATATACTTTTCGAGTCCTGGCGAGGGGAAGGTCATGGGCGTTGCAGCTACCTAGCCCCCATGTTGGGGGCGACGTTGGAAGTCATCCCCTCTACTCCGTAGTTGACTAATAATATGATTGTTCGGAATCGGAAAATCTGAAGTTCACCCTTTATATGTGGGTAGGTAGGTTGTCAGTGTTGTTGCGATTGTAAATAAACGAGGGATCGAGTCGATTCAGTTTCGAAGATTTGAATCGAGTCTCTATAATTCACCCTTTATCACGCTGCCGAGGCTCCAGATCCATAATTCCTTATACCGCTGAACCTGGTTTGAACCTTTTATTGAAGCTTAAAAGCTTAGATTTCAAATCTAAGTATAGTTTTTATCGCAACTGTACAGTAGATAAACTCCTACGTAGTACTACGTAGTAGTACTACTATGTATTACTAGGTAGTAGTGGTACTCGGTACAAGATTTTACAATCGCCTGGGCCACCCTTCCCCTTATCCTCCCTCCCCTCCCCCTCCGCCCCCCACCACACATGGATCAAAGCTGCCTAGAAGCTTTGCAATTTGCATATCGATATCAAGGATATTCCTTTCACCAAAAATAGCGCCAAAATAGCACTGCTGCGGCGTATTCACGGCGTTACTGGTTTCCACGGAGGTCAGCCGAATCACAATCCATTGATGCGAAATGGGTTACCCACCAAACAGAACCGAGTTGCGAGACGATTCCAAATCAAGGCGATTACGATGATTCGATTCACGAATCAATGCTTGCCATTCAAATTGAATCGGGTTTTCGGAGTTTACCAGACGCCCCCCCTCCCCCTAACAACATCTATGGCCAAATCACATATCGTAGATCATCCGATTCCCTAGCAGCATTCGGAGACGACGTCGACGACCTCTTCATTGCAGGTGTACATGTATTCCAATTACATAAAATGACATCTTAAGGATGAGGAACCTTGAACTTATGCTGCGGGAAAGACTCAGAGTCTTGACACATACATTCAACGATGATGCTATGTGATATCTAATACTTGATTACTGTACGGAGGAGGTGAGACTAGCTGCTTTGTCGATTACATGATCACTAGTCACACTTTATAACCGAATCATCGCAAGTAGAGCATATCTGTGTCTTCCTTCACTAAAACTGCATCTAAAACGTGATTCCAAGATTCAGTCTGTGTAGGAAAGTATTAAAATCCATCTTACGCCAAGTTCGGAGAGTGATACGTAAACATGGCACGTGACGTTGATGCGCGGGCGCGTCCCACTTCCACTTTGTTGATTTCGGCAACGGAGCTTTGTTTACGACATTGCCTGCCATTTGCGACAACCACAATCCGGACTTCTGCAACTCCTCCCTCTTGGTACCGCCCACCCCCTCACCATGTCATACAATCAGCGCACGAGCATCTTGCCCAATATGCAGCAAAAGAACCGCAACAAAAAGAAGGAGGACGATGTTGACGCATTCACGCTGGTACGAAATCCCCCCTTTCAGTTCCCACTCGGGCGCATACTGACAGCACCTACAGCCCGACATGGAAATCGCAGGCTGCATCAAAGATATCGGCAAGGGTTTCTCCGGCATCGAGTTCAATTTCACCGTGGGAGACCTCCAGAAGCCCAACCCGCAACAGATCCAAATGATCTTCGAATGGTTCGCTGAGCTCGTCATGAACGCGACTCGAGAGACAGTCGACCCGGTGATGCGCGCAGCAGCAGAGGACGTGTGCGGAGAGTACATGGAGATTATCCCGGCCGAGACGCGAAACCTGATGGGCTTCTACGCCAGCCTGCGCAAGCTGATGATTGAGTGTGGCATCACGGATTTCTCGTTCCAGGATTTATATAAGCCGACACACGATCGCTTGGTCAAGATCTTCTCCTATCTCATCAATTTTGTGCGCTTCAGAGAAAGTCAGACCCATGTCTTTGTGGAGTATTTCGACAAGGCGGAAAGAACGAAGATGAGGATCGAGAACCTCTACATGGAGAACCAGGATATGGAGGCCCGTGTGGACGAGATGAAGCGGAATAAGAAGGCGGTGGAGGCGCATGTGGCGGAGAAAGTCAGGCGGAATGAAGAGTTGAAGAGGAGGCTTTTGGAGTTGCGACAGAGCCAGGAGAAGGTCACGCGGAGGTTCGAGAATGCGAAGGCGAGTAAGAGTGAGATGACGAGGATTCTGGAGGAGAAGACCGCTGCGACTCTCGTGTTGAGACAAGAGAGTGCCAAACTGCGACCTTATGTTCTCCAATCCCCTGCGGCACTTCAGGCATCCCTGACTGATTTGGCAAATGCTTTGAATGCCGAGAAGAGCCAAATCGACGCGAAGGACCGACGAGCACGAGCTCTACAGACATCTACGGACACTTTCTCCGTCGTAATCACGGATGTGGCTTCATGCATAAAGCTGTTGGACGAGATCTCAGCGGAGTTGTCCAAGGAAGATGAAGAGAATGTACGGATAGCCAAACAGAGAGATGCCCTAGGTGAACGAGGGAACAACGTCCGAGAAGTCGAGAGAACCGAAGGACTCTTGCAACGCCAATTGTCGAAATGGGTAGAGCGGACAGAGAAGCTGAGGGAGGGCAGTAAAGAGAAGGCGATGAGTGCCAAGGAGAGGATGGAGGAGCTGCGGGCAGTTCATAGAAAGCTGACAGATGAGCGTGCTGAGAAGGGTCGTGAGATGGAGAGAAGGAAAGTAAGGATTGAGCAGACGGAGAAGAAGGTATGGTTTCGCTTATGATATCCTCTTTTTGGAGAGGGACTGACAGATGTAGATGGCGGACTTGAAGGAGAACATCGAGAACGAGATTCACAGCTCCCACGACGAGTTTTTGAAGATGGAGTCCCATATCAAGCTGTACATCAAAGAGATGGAGCAGGCACTTTGAGCTGTTTCTGGTCTTGCATTCGTTTTTGTTTGGCTAGGACGGTCGGACTCTGGGGTGTTTGGCTTGCTTGTGGCAAAGGCGTTTGGTATACCTGTTGATATAGCGTCATAACGACCGCGAATCATTGGATTTTTGACCGAATTATTACTCGAAACTTTTTACAAGTAATAGTTTTCCTTTACTTAATTCAGAAACAAACGCCCCACTCCCCTCTCTTGAATCTGAACCATCTCCCAAGCACCCTCCCAACCTCTACAGTCCTTCCACTCCAACCCCCATCCTCATTCTCCAGCCCAGCCCGCCTCAAACTTCCGTTCAACATCGGCATCCTCTCCTCCCCATTCCCAACCTCATCCTCATCTCCTTGCCTCTCTTCCACAACCACAATCCTCCTACCAGCCCTTCTACCAGCTTCCACCAGCCCGGCAACGCTATTTCCCAATCCCTGAGCACTCCACTCACTCGTATCCCGATGCAAAGACACCAGTCCATACACAACCAGCAACGGCGCCCCATTGCCCTGCGACTCGAAACGCGGTCGACTCAGAGGCTCTGCTTCTGCTTCCAGCGCAGGCGGAGGGAAGACAGACAGATAGGCACGCAGGTGTGAGACAGTAGCTACGAAAACCAGTTTGATGGATCTCGACGTCGCGATCTGGTGCAATGTCGCTACTAGCAGCGGATGTCTCTGCTTCTCCCCTCCGTCTCGGTCTACATCTCTCTCATCCACGGTACCATCTCGTTTCGCGTCAGGAGGTTCCGTGTCAGGCGGGATGGAGGACGAGCGCTGCTGCTGCTGCGGCGCCTGCTGTTGAGGCGGAGGGGGGGGTGGTTGGCGCTGCACGGTGTTTGGGATGCATCTTTGCAGGGAGAGGAGGAAGGAGGCGCGTGGTTGGCAGATTATGAGGGTTGTTGGGTGGGAGTTGTGCGTGAGGATGTAGGAGAGGAGTTCGGAGGGGAGGGCGGGCGTGAGGGCCAGTGGGGAGGGTGTTCGTTGCATTGTTGACGTTGAAGCTGGGGATGATGTTGGAGGGGTAGATACAGCATCGTATCGGATTGTTAAGTTAGGGACTTGAAGGAGTTAGTGCTGGATATTAATTGTAATCAAAGTGAAATTCAAAGAAGTCCACTGTCTCCAGTATTTGAAGACATTCGGAGGGCACCTCATTTGGATATTTGCAAAAGTCCATCCATGTTCCCGTTGATGACTGGTGTTGGTTGAGGGAAAGAGTGTTCGTTCCACACCAAACGAGAGCTGCCCATCATCGGTCCGCCCCACCCAAAGCTCCCGGAGCGAGACAGGGCCTTCTCTCTATGCGACTTCGCTGCGACATCCACATCTGCCCATGGAGTCGATGTCCCGGATATCCAGCTTGCTGGAGAGTGGTATGGCACTTCCTCTATCTCATAAATCCGAGGGAATATATTAGAGAAAGACGGCTAACATTGTACTTCAGCAAGAGAACTCACTCTCGATGCAGCCCAGGGAGCCAGGAGCTCACGCTCCTCCGCGGTCAAGACGCTGCCAACGGCACAGATCAAGAAGCTTCTCGATAGCAGGAATGAGCGCGAGGTGCTGGAGGGACTCAGAAAGGTCATTTCCGTACGTGCCTGGTGGTCAACGTCCACCCCGAGCTTACACATCCTCAAACTCCCCCCTCCCCCCACCCATTCAAACACACGAGATACTGTATATACTGACACAACGTCCGCACAGATGATGTACCGAGCCATGCCCACACTCCCTTTCTTCTCCTCCGTCGTCAAGAACGTAGCCTCCCCGAACATCGAGATAAAAAAGCTCGTCTACATCTACCTCCTCGCGCACGCCGAATCCGAGCCCGACCTGGCCCTGCTCTCCATAAACACGATCCAGAAGTCCCTCTCCGACCAGTCCCCCACCATCCGTGCCCTCGCCCTGAAAACCATGTCCGGCATACGCGTTCCTGTGATCTCGCAAATCGTATCCCTAGCGATCAAGAAAGGACTAGGCGATATGAGTCCGCATGTGCGTAAGGCAGCTGCGCTAGCAGTGCCGAAGTGCTATAGTTTGGATCCGGGGACTAGAGGACAGCTGGTTGGGTATTTGAGTGTTTTGTTGGGAGATAAGCAGTATTTTGTAGCTGGGGCTGCGGTGATGGCGTTCCTGGAAGTTTGTCCAGAGAGATTAGACTTGGTGCATCCGCATTACAGAGGGCTGGTAAAGAAGGTGGTGGATATGGATGAGTGGAGTCAGTTGGCGACGTTGAGGCTTATGACGGTGTATGCACGGAAATGTTTCCCGAGAAGGATGAAAAGGGTCACGAAGAAGATTAATGGGAGTAGAGAGACGAAGGGGTTTTATGATGATGACGAAGAGGAAGAAGAGCAGGAGGAGGAGACGGGTGAGGTGGTGCAAGTTTTGGATCCGGATCTCGAGTTTCTGCTGAAGAGTATCAAGCCGCTTCTGCAGAGTCGAAATTCAGCGGTTGTGGTAGCTGTTGCGAGGGCATACGTTAATCTCGGCACGCAAGAGTACATCGAACTTTCGATCGGACCTCTAGTAGCGTTACTACGGGGACCTCAGGATATTCAGCACATGGCACTCTTCAACATCGTCTCAGTTTGTCTCACGCGGCCGGAAGCTTTCGTCAAATACGCATGCCGTTTCCTAGTCCACACTACGGATCCACCACAAGTCTGGGAGCTGAAGTTGGAACTCCTTACGCTGATATTCCCGCACTGCGACGCTTACCTGAAGAGTCTCGTTCTGAATGAGCTGGAGCAGTTTTCGCAAACCTCGGATAAAGAGCTTGTCCGGGGAGCAGTAAGAGCTATTGGGCGCTGTGCTCAGAGCGATGCTCGAACTTCTGCTCGATGCCTGCGCCTTCTCCTAAAACAAATCACCAGTCTGGATGGAAACTTGGTAGCCGAATCTTTGACTGTCATCAGACATTTGATCCAGCAAGATCCCGCTTCGCATACTAATACCGTTATCCGATTAGCCAAGAACCTCGACACAGCAACGAATGCTCGAGCGCGAGCATCGATTATCTGGCTCGTTGGCGAATTTGCTGGTAATGACGGCGAGGATAACATCGCCGCTGATGTGCTCCGAATCCTGGCCAAAGGCTTCGCAGATGAAGCCGAACCAGCGAAGCTTCAAATAGTCCTCCTAGCAGCAAAAGTCTACCTTCACCACCTCAACCGTACATCACCAGAACCACACCAACCTACCGTCACAACGCCAATAGTATCACCCAACTACTCGACAGGAGACAACGAGGGCTTCGCGGAACTCGACGGGCCATCACAAACCTCTTTCTCGCCACCGCCTCCTGAGCCAGAGCACCCAATAGTGCTGCTCTGGAATTACATTCTCCTCCTCGCTCGATATGATACTTCCTACGACCTCCGAGACCGCACCCGCCTGTACAAATCCCTGCTAATGGTCCCCTCATCGACCCAACTCGCAAGCCTCATGCTGCTCGCTCCCAAACCCGTCCCCCACTCTCCCAGCCCATCAGAAAGCCGAACAGGCTTTACGCTCGGCTCAGCAAGTCTCGTTGTCGGTGACGCAGGCGGCCTTCACGGTCTGCGCGGCTACGAAGCCCTGCCAGACTGGGTGAAAGCCGGCTTCGAGCCAGACCCCTTACTGCGGGAAACCGATGCGTCGAAAGTCGAGTATGAGTCGAACCGTGTGGTACCTGCTGGCGAGCGTCTGGATTCTGCGGTGAAGGAGTCGAGGATGGGGACGTCGCCGGCGGGGATGAATGGGTCTGGGGGTGTTTCGTCTTCTGCTCCGGGCAAAGAGAAGACGTTGGATGATTGGTTGGCGGAGGACGACATCGAGGAGGAGGAAAGCGAGGAGGAGGAGGAGGAGGAGGAGGAGGGGGAGGAAAGCGAGGAAGAGAGCGAGGATGAATCGAATGAGGAGGTCGATGATGACGAAAGCAGTGAGGAGGATAAGAACGAACATGATAGACTCGTCGAGTAGCGAGATATCAAGCACAGAAATTCAAGAATTACAACGCGGTAGAAATCTGGACTTTTGAGGCAATTACGCACAAACACGCACCGAAAGTAAAGTACGTTAAGGTAGGTAGGTACGCACCGAACAATGTCAAGTCACAGAAATTTGAGATGCAAAGTCACAAAGGTACAAGAATTCCACGCAAAAGAAGGCAGCATTAGAATTTAGACTAGGAGCTCGAATTCCTGGCTCATTGTTATTAATCTGCCTATGGAACAAACAGAAAGTGTCTGTAATCAATCAACCTGTCGCGATTGACGTAGGCATAGACAAAGGGATCATGTGTCCCTTGAGAGAACTTCTAAGCCCTACCAATCCAATTCGCAAATTTGTAATTCGCAATGCGAGAATGCAGCAGAATCATAATACGAGAAAGATCAAAAGTACGCCTGACAAAATGCAAAGGTTTTACAAGACGAGATGAAACCAACAGCCATCAGCCTTCAGTTAAAGAAAGGTCAAACTGCAACACTAAGTGCGGTCTGCTTGGAGAAATTACTCCTCAGGTATCGATCGGACCACCACGAATCTACCACCGGCGGCTGCAAAATCAGGTTAGCTAATGCCATGTTCCTTCAGACTCCCTCAGACTGACCCGTACGCCTCGGCAACGACTGGTTGTGGTCCCTTCTTCCTGCGAGCATTCACAATCGACTGACTGAGTTTCCGCTTCTCTCCAGGCTTTGCCTCGCCATATGATCTCCGGCCCTCCAATTTATCCAGAATCATCGCAGATGTAGGGCTCAAAGGGGTTCCCGTCGAGTCGGAAGGTACGGATCCTAGGTCACTTCCCTCTCGAGCCATTTTTGGGGGCGAGAAGTCTATCTCATGCTTGATTGGAGTATCGTTGGCGGGCTCTTCAGAGAGAGGTTCTCGTGCGCTATCCTGGACGGTCAGATCTTGTGGTACAGGGCCATTGCCATTAGAGCCGCGTGCGCTCATGTATCCTGAATCCTGGCGATGCGGAGCTTTGCCGTTGGGTCCGTCGCCGAACGATTGTTCAGTTCCTTGAGGGGAACCATCTGTTTGAGGGATGTTATTCGGGAGACCTTGGGTGTTCGTAACTGGCAACCCGTGGTTGAACACGGGCTGGTGGCCAACGTTTTGGTACTGGTTCTGAGGGCACTGTGCATTTTGAGATGGCCCATAGTTGGCAGGGCTGGTTTGTGGTTGTGCACTGTATGGACCATGAACTTGAGGCGCATTACCAAAAGACGGTTTTTGTGGTTGCCCATACTGCCCATGCTGTGGAGCGTACTGCTGCAGGCCTTGTTGAGGACCATACTTTGGAGAACCCTGTTGCTGGTATTGTGGGGCCTGGACATTTGCGTATGTGTTGCCGACAGGACCGTGTTGAGGATTACCATACTGTGGACCCGGATTTGGTGTCTGATGGGGGAAGCCTTGAGAAAAACCAACAGAATGACCGTGATTGTAAGGGTGATTCTGAGGGGGTCCCCATTGAGGATGTCCTGGCTGAGGGAAGTTGTTTGGAGGTCCGTAGTGATTGGTTTGACCGTTGCTATAAGGAATAGCAGCTGTTTGTACTGGCCCAGGCCCTTGGTGAGCATTTTGTCCACCGAAGTGGGGAGGTCTATTTTGATACGGTATATTTGCGGCATGACCATACGGTGGGTTTCCTTGTGGATAGCCTACAGGAGGTGGATTTGGGGTCTGATTATGGCCAAATCCTCCATTCGCCGGCGGTCCATATGGAGCCTGGCCACCGGGTTGGTTGTTCATAGGGCCGTGTGAGTGGGGCATTGGACCATTCTGGTGATTCATTGGAGGACCATATTGAATTTGCGCCGAAGGTACCTTGTTTTGATTTATCTGCATACCGGTTTGGTTGTTTATTGGTAGATTATTTTGAGGTTGCATATGAGGACCGTTGTGAGGGTTCATTGCAGGACCATGCTGAACAGGGTGGGCCTTTTGGTAATTCGTTGGAACAGTCTGAGTCTGCATAGTCGTATCGACTCCCCTGGAAGTACCATTGGCTACTTGAGAGTTGGGAGGAATGGGAGTCGCGTGTGATGGTTGAGACGACGGAGCGCGTGGGACCTCCTCCAGATCGTTCATGTAAGCAGGAACTGGCTCTTTTCGGACAGGTTTCGGTGATCCGGTGACGCCCAAAGACGCCAGAAGTGCTTCTTTTGGGTCCTGAGGCGTGCTGGCACATTCTCCAGGCAGTGGAGCCCATGCATCGTCGCCGGTATCAAGAAAGGGAGTACTACTGCGATGAATAACTGGAGTCGTAGCATTGGGTGCTCGCATGACAATATCTTGATCATCTTCCACATCTTCGTTCTTCTGGCGCTTGACAACTTCATCTTGCTCTGTGACATCATCAATTCTAGCACGTTTCCGAGAGTTATTCCATCTCTCGTTCTCATTCTCGTTCTCATTCTCGTTCTCATTTTCCTCTTCCAAGAATTCGTCCGTCTCCGCATGGTGGATAGTAATCCAGACGCCAAGCTCATCAAGAGGAATAGCAGGACAGTGGGGATCGATTTCTGCAAATGCCGGGTCTTCTTGCAGGTATGACCACTGCGGTGACGTTCGAATGGGGCGGAGAAATTCATCTAGATTGTCCTTCCTCGCATATCGGGAGATCGAGGGTACCGTCGTTGACCAGGCTTGAAGAAGAGGCACGGGAGTTGACTTGGGAGTGTATGTGTCCGATAAAGGCTGAGCCAATGCAACAGTCTCAATAGCCCTAGGCTCCTGGAATATGTATTTGAATTCCCAATTGAACATGGCTTCGGCTCCATCTTCTTCTCCAACTTCACCACCCTCTGTCTTCTCTGGGCCATCATGTTCTTGGCTAGTGGCGGAGCTTGGCACGGTTTTCGAGTCATTCTTTGCAGCATCATCGTGCCCATAACGCCCATAAGGAGTACTAGCACCACTAGATATGAGTGTCTCAAAATCTTGTGTTTCTTCGGGTTCCATGACAATAGTAGCGTGAGATTGTCGGCGCGAAGATTGCTGGACACTGCTGTGGCGAGAATTCGGCGTCTGGGAGTGATGGGATTGCGACCGACGACCACGTTGAGCAGACTGTGATCGCTGTTTCTGCATCTGATCTACTGGGTGGCCCTGGTATTCACGCTGCATAGAGTTAGAACGCTGTACAGAATTACCTCGTTGCGCAGGGTTGTTTCTTTGTACGCTGTTGCTTCGCGGCACGTAGCTGGGTTGTTGCGGCGCCTGGTGATAAGGCTGGGCAGCAGGATGAGGAGGGTTCCATTGCGGTAGAGGCGGTTGGTGCTGTGCCGGCGGTGTTTGGTAATTCCCAGCGTAGCCAGCGTTTTGAGGTGGGTAGGGATTAGGAGGCTGTTGGTAAGGTAGTGAAATTGGCGGGCCAAACTGCTGGGGAGGAGGACCTTGGTAGCCTGGATTGTTGTACGGAGGTGCTACAGTTTGCGGAGCATACTGGTTGTACTGGGGGGGTGGTGGCTGTGGTGTTGGTGGGTAGCCAGGATGGGGGTACTGCTGAGGAGCACCATAAGGCTGTTGTGGCGGTTGGCCGTAGGAGTACTGTGGGACCGGAGGACCATACTGAGGAGGAGGGGCAGGCTGTTGGTATGGAGGAGGATACTGAACTGGACCACCGTGGGGTGCAGGCCCAGGTGGATATTGCTGCTGAGCTGGTGGGTACTGAGCCGGTGGGTACTGAGCCGGATAAGGCTGGTAGGGAACCGGATGGACAGCCCTGCGACGGTTAACAGAGACCCCCATGGCGGTCGATATTTTCGTGACAACTTGGACGAGAAAGGGGGAAGGGGAAAGTTGTGCGGAGATGGAGGTGGAAAAGATTTAGAAGCAGGCTCGGAAAGAAGTCGGGAAATGGAGTTCAACTTCAAATACACGCTTAATCATAGGCGACGGCCCACCTAGTGTTTGCCGAAGTTTCGCCAGCCATTTCTTCAAAACCAAAAAGATTGAATGCACGCAGAGTAGCAGTATAACAAACAGTATAGCAGAGTAGCAGAGTGTTCACTTACCCAGGAGCGTTTTTTGTCGCTTTGGGACAGGCCACCAGAAAGTGTCCTTCTACACCACAATTAAAGCAAACAGGCGGAGGATTCGTAGGGCGTCGCTGGACTGGTGGAGGTGGAGGTTGAGGTGAAGGTTGAGATTGAGGTGGAGGTGGTTGTCTGCCCTGATTCTGCTGCATCATAGGCGGATCACCCCGAGGCCAGCCCACAGCTGACATAGTTGAATGCAACAGGATTTGATATTAACAATGCGCAAAGGACACGGATTGCTGGAGGGAGATGTAGACTTGTAGAAGTGGAGGTTTGAGTATAGGTGTAGGCGTAGGTGGAAGTGCGTATGTAGAGTATCAGGATGACCTAGTGTTGGCTGAATCATCAAGAGGCTCTGCCCCTGATCTAGTAGAAACTATAGAGAACAGAGGTTTCGGAGGATGCCGGTCTGTGTAAAGCCATAAAGCTTTCTAACAGCTCTTGACATGTAAATAGCTGTCGATGTCCAACTAAAGGCCAAGGGCTGGGCCAAGTGCGACAACGAACGAAATCTACTGACGCAGCAGCAAAGACACAAGCAAGAAGCCGACTCAAGCAATAGAGTAACTTCAAACACAGCGCGACGGTGACAAGACAATTCAAGTAAATGAACGGATTGGAGGGATGAAGGAAATGCGATGCAGGTCAACGTGAAAAAGTGATAGGAGGTGGAGTGAAGTGAACCAGGTAAGTAACGTGAGAACAAATTGGTTCATGGAAAATAGTAAGACCGAGCTCCGGGCAGGGGCCCTTGAGGCGATGACAAACGACCGACGGACGGCGCCTCAGACCTTGGTGGAGTTCACTTTTCAAGCCTTGAATGCCCTCAAAAACTCGCCTTCTGGCCCTAGAGATACCCGTCACGCGTCAATTCGTACTATGACCTGAAGCCGATGTTTAAGCGACCATGTTTTTGTCCCAGCATTTATTACTGAAAGACTCCGCTCCTCCAAGCTCGCTCTCCCCGTCAACACCAGAGCTTCCTCGCCGTTACCACTGTTGATAGTCCTTGGATTCTGGTACTGCTTATCTGAACCCAAACTACAATATGCCAGGCCTGCCAAGTAAGTTCGAGTATCTGTAACCGACGCTCGCTTCTTGAAGCTTTGCTTACTGCTCACCCTCTAGCCTCAGTCGACCTCGATGCATGCATAGCAAGCCTTTACAAGAAGGAACTCCTCGCCGAGTCTGTCATTGAGGCAATATGTGCGAAGACTAAGGAACTGCTGATGCAGGAGAGCAACGTGGTCCATGTGCAAGCTCCGGTAACGGTGGTGGGAGACATTCACGGCCAGTTCTTCGACTTGATTGAGATCTTCAAGATTGGCGGATGGTGTCCTGATACAAACTACCTGTTTCTTGGTGCGACACACAGCTCCCCGGGTTCTGCAAAACCAACTGACTCTGGCAGGCGATTATGTGGACCGAGGCATGTTCAGTGTGGAGACGATTTCCCTTCTTGTTTGTCTGAAGCTACGATACCCACACCGCGTTACTTTGATAAGGGGCAACCATGAGTCAAGAGGAGTTACACAGTCATATGGGTTCTATACCGAGTGTGCGAGGAAGTACGGCAACGCCAATGTCTGGCACTACTTCACGGATATGTTTGATTTTCTGACATTGAGCGTCGTCATCAACGATCAGATTTTCTGCGTACATGGAGGTATGCTTTGCACCTATAGTCCTGGAGTTACGATATCAGCTAGCTGACAGTCTCCAGGTCTCTCCCCATCAATACACTCCATAGACCAGATCAAAATCATCGACCGCTTTCGCGAAATCCCCCACGAAGGTCCCATGGCCGATCTCGTCTGGTCCGACCCCGACCCCGAGCGCGACGAGTTCTCCCTATCCCCTCGCGGCGCAGGCTATACATTCGGCGCGCAGGTCGTCAGAAAGTTCCTCGAGGTAAACAACATGTCGCACATCCTGCGTGCGCACCAGCTCTGCCAGGAAGGCTACCAAGTTCTGTACGATGATAGACTCAGCACTGTCTGGAGTGCGCCGAACTATTGCTACAGGTGTGGTAATATGGCGAGTGTGTTAGAGGTCAGCGATACCGGGGAGAGGTTCTTTAATGTTTTTGCCGCGGCGCCCGAGAACGATGTGCATAAGGATATGCAGCAGGCAGATAAAATTGCGGATGGGTCAAGCTTGCCGGACTACTTCTTGTAGATTTTATGGCAATACTGTATTTTATATGAGAAACGCATAGATGAGTCTACGATTTCGAGGCTTTGGAAAGGGCATCCGGAAGCTGTATGTGAAGTGACAGCTTGTGCAAGAACTGACTCTTTTTATAAAAGAGAGCCACATTGCAGAATCATGCATATGAACACAATTAAAGACTTCTGTTTCCAAAACCCTTTTCTCCCTAGTCTATTGAGTACCCTGTCCTTTTTGATGCCTCCCTCACAGGACCTTGCAAGCATTTTGTTTTCCACTACTCCCACATCATTTTTTTTTATCCTAACCAAACTCTTACTTTGTTATCGAATCCTGTCCGTTTCTCCTATTTTGATTATCGGATTACTATAGGCAAAAGTAATTCTTGATCAACACTCCATGATAGCTGTTCTGTAACCCCCACATTTCACTTAGTCTGTCATCAGCGAATAGCAAATGTCACAAGACATACTTCTGGATGCGCTCACGAGTCACATTTGCCTGAACGAGCCTCATGCTGGCATTAACGGTACATAGTTCCTTTTTAGACTTCTCTTTTCCTACACAAGGAGAGATCCACTATGTGTGAGAATTGAATCCATAGGCGAATATTGTCAGCTCTTCTATCATCGAAAATAGCGGACAAAATTCTTCCGCTGTCAAGACTAGGAAGCATGAAAATTGGCGCGATATGCTGACCTTCGAAGTCATGCCTATCTACCTCTCGTAGGAGCTTGACATAATCTTTGTCATGCTGTGTATTGCTGCCGTCCCGGAAACTTCCTTCTCAAACACCCCAGTATTTTATAGTAAGGCGTGTACGCTGTGCTCTCAAGTTTGGAATTCCGGCCTTCGGTACCGGGTTGGTTCTTATGGTGTCTGTTGGTACACAGGTTGATAGTACTATCAGGTCTTGGTTGGTTGGGTTGTAGATGTCTGGTATTGCTATACTGGTAGTGGCGGTCCCTTAAGGGGACCGCGGGTGCACGTGCCATCCTCACGTGCCAGGTCCACCACCACTCTCGTCGTTCCTTCCATTCCTATCTGCCGCATTGGCCCTTGTACTCCGACAGTGTCCTTCTAGCTCTTTGAGGATTCTCTTGGCGCTGTACTTTGATTTAGTGCGGTTTTTTCGATGTAGCCTTGGTTGAGCTCAGGGCAACTTTAATGAAGAATTTGATGAAGGATTTGGTCGCAAGCTCTATCTGAAAACCTGCATTCTCCTTGAACCTCATTGCAGGATATTTATGCAAGTTCACAAGCTCTGGTCTGACGGCTACTAAAGCTTAAATCAGACACGAGCGGCAGTGAAATTCCGTATGTGATTTAATATAAGACGTCATTGAAATTGTGACATTTTGCTATGAGATTTTCCCTTTTCATAAAGCTTGAACAGTTGGGCGGAATCACCTACGAGACTTTCTTGCAGTGGTTCAGCCAAGAATCAAATTGGGAGTGACGAGGGTCATGACTCTGCCTAGCCACCTCACAGCTGCATTCTTGCAGGACCGCTACTCTGGAAATACGAATTTCAATTCGGTTATGAAGAGAGAGATCTTGATGTAATTACATCACTTTCGACCTCATTTTCAAGAACTCCGTCCTCCAAGGCTCTGCGTTTCGCGACTTCCTGTTTGTTTTTGAGGCTTTGCATCTTGTAGGGATATTCTCGCTGCCAGTCCTGATCTTGCTGTCGACAACCTCACTGCAAAATTTCTTGCCTTACCGCGCAGAACAAACCAGCCAGAGTGATGTGGCCATATACCTCTCAAACCAAGCTCCCCCATGTAAGTACTCGAGCTTTCATCAGAAACGCTCAAATTCCTCATAGTGCTGGGTCCCCAGGGAATCGGACAATTCCATGAAAATATTACCCACGGATGAGGGGCTTAAAAGTCTGAAGATGATTTGTACTTCAGCCGAGTGACGTTTCGCGGGTGAAGTGCAAAGCCGCTATCTACTGAGTTTCTCTCTTTAGTTGGGTAGTGTTGTGGTGAGCCCTCAGCATTCTGAGGGGTCTTTAAATTTCCCGAAATTTGGATTGAGGTCCATCAAGAGTCCTCAATTCGTGCTATACTTACGTTCTGCTTGCCTATTTATCATGCTATCCACCACTTGCTATCCTGTAAGATTGAACGGCCATCAGAGCAGGATTCTTACCAATCCCTTAAAACAGAAGTCCAAAACCTCTCACTATTCTTATATTATTTATATTGCCGTGCCCCTCAACCAACTATTGATTTCATACAAAGGAGCTCTGAAAGCCATCTCTGGATAAGTCCTTTCCACTCCTAGATGGTACGTCTGGCGTTTGGCAAGGAAAATTGGATGAGAAGCGGGGAATAAATCCCAGTCGACTGCTGAAAACGGCAACAAGTGGTAAGTTTTTGGGTTCTCGGACCTATATATCCATCAGACCATCTCACGAATCAAATCATCGAGAAAGACATGCGCGGAAGCTATTTACACTTTTTCAAGCCATCAGATTTCGATTATAGTCTCCAGGCTACGCCTTATGTACCATAGGCACATCTTGGTATATCAAGACCCCACAGTTATTCTGGTACTACTGGCCTTGCAGCTACTGTTCCTCTGCTGTCATATAGTTTGACCACTACCACCTGTCACAATTCCCCTCCGCGGCTCAAGAATTGGATAATCAAACTTTCGAGAATACGTGAAACAAATACATCCCCTTCTAGCCGTTTGACCCCACACAGCCACATGTTTGTTTACATCAGCCAGCCTAGCCGAGCGGGCTTGGCAAACATTCACCGCGAAGCGAGCCAGCACCCCACAGAATATTTTTGCCTGTGTTATATACCCCAATCCCAAGATTCCGTTCACCAGCATGGTAGTTCACTTGGCAACAAGGTAGCTCTGTGTGATGTAATGGGCAGGTGTTGTTGGACCACAATCCCGCACCTACAGACGGGTTTTCTGAATGGGGTCTTCCATCCACTTGGGGCACTCACTTGGACACGGGAGACTCACCCCCGTTAATTCTTTTTGCTTTTTGAAACTTTTTACTTTTTTTTTTTTTTTTTTTTTTTCGGGAGGAGCTCCCGTTTTTCATAAAAAGAGGATTGGTTACCTAGTTCGGAGTCCTGGGGGTTGATTTTGCTCGGTGTGGCAGTTTTTTCAGGAATTGTGTATGTAGTAGTAGACCTGTCACCCCGAGCCGTTGGTTTCGCAGCGCGATTCTTCGTTTTTGATTTCACTCATTGGGTTTACAGGCTACCTATCAACTATCTCTTGTAAGATATATATTTTTTTTTGCAGAAAAAGCTACTCCCAGTGATGAATTACTGTCAAGGGGCGCTCCTGTTGCCTGGGCGCGAGTTCTCAAGGCCTCCCGCCCTTCGATCCTTTTGGATCCTCTTGATTCAGTCAATGTACTTCTAACGCGTGCCCCAGGAACCATTCGTGCCTTGCAATCCGTAAAAATTATGTGGATGTGCTTGTTTCGCTTTGCTTGCCTAGCTTTTACACTCATGAGATTCAATTTCGAAGCTTCTGGAAATATCCACCTGCCTTTGATGCTCTCACGACTTAGCAGGCGATGAAATACCACACTTGCTATCGCATAAATTTTTGCTGTCAATTAGTCATCACGCCTCATCATTTGCGGCTTCCGTTTGTTTGTCTACGTCCCCTATCTGGCATCTAAAATGATACACGATTGGTCGCAACGAGGAGTTTGAGCTTGAGAACTTCACTCCTCTCGAGTCGTGATCTCTATAAAATTTGCGTACGATTTTTGATCCTTCACCACCGAAAGTTCAATCGGCTTAAATAACGCCTGTCCATCCATACGCTGGCTGGAAGGTGAATTCCGCTTCTAAGCTGTAGGTGATGGTAAATTCCGGCGTACATATTTCTTTGCAAGCGCGGGTAATTGCCGTTAGACAAATTCAAGCCCCTATACCAGCGTGCTCTACTCGGAAAAATACCCAAAGTGCTTGCGCGAATCTTTGGCGGGAATGGAATGGACTGCCAGAGCTGGTTTCCGAAAAGATGGTCCGCGATTTTACTTCGGCATAGTTGAGCTTTTCGAAGCCTCTGTTTACTATAGACGCCGAAAGCTTCAAGATATCGTGAGCGAGATCCTTGAACGCTACCAAATTGTTGTTGCCAGAGAGCTTCTTATCGTCAATCGTTTGCATTCGCATGCTTCAGAGCTCAGATATGTTGGAACGCGTTGGTAGGTTCATGGGGAAATTCGAAGCTTGGCTACGAGATGGCGCTCGCTGAGAACTTCGATGTCCCCAACGTCCTTGGATCTGATTATAGCGAATGTTTTCGCGCTTGTGTACCTCGTGATACGGAAAGAGAGCTGTGCTATATAGCTTTCAGACTATATCCCAGCATCTCTTTGCGCTGCTACTTACTTCGCTGTTTGAGTGGAAAAGAGGTAGCCCAAGCCTTTTTTGGTGGTTTCAGGCTAGACCTATCACATTCACCCACTACTTCTCGGCGTTGTTCCTTTACTTTTACTTTTTCTTTTCTTCCAAGGGCCGGGTTGACTCGGTCAAGGTTTAAAGCCGGCTCAAGTTGCCGCTCAAAAGAGTCAATTTCAACATACCAAAAACTATACACTCTTATAAACAATAAAGAGCTTGGCCGAGCGTTTTTTTCTTCTTTTCGTTTCGCTGTTCACAGCGACTCGCTGTATGGTAGAGAGTTCCAAGTGCAAAATTCTAAGGCCTCCTGGTTGCGAGCTTCTCCAGATATTGGTTCAATTCTTGTAAGATATTTCGGGTGTTGACAGTCGGAGGAGCGTTTAGTAGATGTTGCATCAGAGTTTTAGCGACTGAGAAGTTTACTTTGGCAGTGTAAACTAGATCTTTTTTCTTTGATTCTAGTATAGAGCTCTGCATCGCTCGCATCAATTTCTTTCTCGCGGTCTTAGATGCTTTGGTTGGCTCCTTGCCCTTTTCGTCGTTCTACTCATCAGCATTTGCGCTCATCAGCTTCAAAGCGCGCTCAGAGTAATATGTGAATTTTTCATGCCAGTCTAATGCTTAATAGAATATCTTTTTGATTGTTTCTAAGCATTTATTTATCGTCATTTAGCTGCTTGCGTTGCTCCTCGCTGTGCCTTCCACCCATTCTCTACTCACCGCCACCCCCCAAACCCCCAAACCCCCCAATCCTAAGCCTTCATTAGAGACTCCAGCAGAGCCGTAACTTAAATCTAAGATATATCTATGAAGAACCAAGAAGTATTGTTGTCTTACTCGTGCGTAAATTAAGAGTGCAAATGGAGAGGAGAAATGGTTTCTGGAAGATTGGACACTCGACATCCCAAATCTTGATCTTTAGCACCAGGTAGCAAGAGGAAGTAGCAAGCATGAGAATTTGGGGAGTCCTATGTCATTCGTTTCACGTCTCATGTGCCGCCCATCCTTCACCACTCTATAGATCATCAATAATTCCATACGTAAAACAGTCTTTCCACTGCAGCGAACCGTCCATCCAGCGAACGTACATCCAAAGCCAGTTAAGAGGATCGCGAAACTTTTATTCAAGAGCAAGAGTGTAAGTTATCTACCAGTCCTTAGCGATGTCAAAGGCCCACTCAAACTCCAGATGCTTCTTCTTGTCGTCATCTACGAACGTGCTGATGGCGGTGTAGTGACCGCGTGCGAGCATGCCGGATGGAGCTTCTTCTTCGGCAACTTTTTAGGCGTGAGTTTTGACGAGCGGCGTAAAGACGAAGGATAGGAGAACTTACAAGCTTTAGTGTAGACTGGAATCTTATCTGTGTTTGGTGCATAAGATCCCTGGTTCGATAATTAGTTCCAGGGTGTTCCGGATTTCAAATCTGAAAAGCAAGAGAGATACGAACAATCATCTCCTGGTCCTTGCTAACTCTAATACCCTTCCGCTTCACAATCTGCACGTAATGCAGACCCGATAAGATCTCGTGCTGGACCTTGAATTTAGCAGTCATGTGGAATTTGGCACCCTCCTTGATCTTGAAAGGCTTGTCTTTGAGGGTCTTCTCGGCGTCCTTGGCAGAAAGGTCAATGGTGACGGGGGGTTGACCCTCGGAGTCCATGGAGAGTGAGAGGATGATACAGTGGCGGGAGTCGTTGGGGTCGGAGAGGTCTTTGCCGCCGCCGCCGAGACCGAGTGATTGCTTGTAGCGTTGCATAGCTTCATCGTCGGCGTCTGATTTGATCGGTTGCATTAGAAATATCTTCTCCGCAGTGTTCTGTATTTCGAAAAGAAAAATGTAGGCAGGGGTATATATACAATTGGTGGTTGGACAGAGGTACAAAAAGTTCGAACCTAGACAGGTTTTTTTCTTGTTTTTTGCAATGACAAAGCAAGTCTCGTGCTAGGCAATGAGTTACAGTGCCTGATTTGACATCAGGTTGTCGTTTGGGTATTTGCAGTAGAGATATCCTACCACGTACTGAAAGTGATCGCGCGTTTCAGAAAACAGAAGCTTGCAAAGTATATTCATGATTGAACAACAGGATGTCTACACGAAGACCGTCGGATACAAGGACTCTGATTTATAGAAAGCAGTAAACACGAGGGTTCCAAGATAGTTGAAGCCACTCAAAGAAGAATTGATACGGGTTTTGGTGATAGGTGAGGAGAGCCGCGTAGGATAAAAGCAGAGCTCAAAAGATGAAATGCGAGTAAAAAGGAAATAACCGCGAAACAAGCTGAAAGTCTAAGAGAGCCCGGATTTGGAAGATTGTTGGACATACCAAGCTGGTTGTATTCGTCCATAGTCTTCTTCTCTCCCACCTTGAACCCCTCAGTCTGATCTGGGAGCAGATCATGGTCATGACTCGTGGATGCCATGACTGCGGTTGGGATGGGATTGAGGTGTGTTTGTACTGATTTTGTTGTAGTTGTTGTTGTTGGTGGTGGTGGTGGTGTTGTTGTTGTTGTAGTCGTCGTCGTCGTCGTCGTCGTGGGAAGGTATCGGAACTTCGAAGTCGGTGTTGTGACGAGGGGATGATCTGGAGAGTGGAATCTGGCTAGACCTGACGTATTATTGTTTGGTAATCCGTAACGGGGGGTTTTGTTTTAGAAGGCTAGACCCTGGGGCAATGAGGCGGTGACGAGTGAGTGAGGGCACGTGATGATTCCAATGAGCAGCGTCATTGGCCTCGGGGGTATGAGTAGGAGATGTCTTGATGCGAAAGAGCAGAAGGGCATATGGAACATAGAAATGTGTAATATGCAGTATACAGAAGAAAGGTGTTACGGGGTACCTGATGCAGAAGTGTATATATCACGTGATCACACGCTCAGGTGCAATGCTTCCTGCTCAGCGAGGCCATGAATGGAGCCGGATAGCGGAAAAGAATACTGGACAGAGATCATATTTACTGACTCATGCTCCATTTACACAGTACCGGTATTTGCTAGGCAATGTTCGCCTTCCTGAGCACGGAACTTGTCGCCAGATCCACTGCCCCAGGTACGTCCGTAGAACCGAAGCTCTTTGCTCCTGTCCCATGCAGGGATACCTTCCTACGTACCTTATTACTCTGTACACTTACGGACTTCCTCCCCAGCTCAGCCATAGGTACGGTACCGGTATTCTAAAACACAGCACTACGACATTTCTGGAATCCTCTCCTCTATCCTATCGCACCGCATTCCTCCTGCGCGATTGTGGATTCGCATCTTATCGCATCACAGCCTTCTGTCTCGCCTATTCTTCTCAACTTTCGCGATTAGCGTTGCGACGTCCATCGGCGCGACAACTCTCGATACGATACTGTAGCCTTTTGCGCGTACAGTTGGAGCGAGGTCGGCATCAGCCTACAGAGGTTACAGGTACAGCTGTCGTAACGTCCAAGGTAAGTCGGATTGCAGAATCTGTATGAACAGTGGATGCGGGTGCAACGTTTGAGGGGAGTTGATTGCTAACTTGAGGGGCATCGTAGTCGCGTTCAATCGTTCAAAGATAGTCACCCCGGAATCCTTCGCGGCGGAAACGACTCTCGAGACTCCTTGACCTCAATATCCTCTTCCTACCTATATCTCGGCAGTAACGTACATAATGGCACCTTCTCGCAAGCTTCCCGGGCGTATCAATCCCCTCATGACAGAGGCCGTTCCCGAATGTAAGACGCGACACGTTAATTCGCGACAACTGGGACATTATTAACAAGCGGCAGATTCCGTCCTGGTATCGCGCCGCCGTCTGGGGCAGACCGACCTCGCAGTCAAGGCTGGTCAAGTTGGAACTTCCAACTCCACGAAGCCGAAGAACCTGGGTACCTTCGACTACGCGCATCTGCGTGCACCTCTGCCCAAAGGCATCATGTCTGGCATCTTCAAGCCATCGCCAGCCTCATACTTCCTGATGCGTCGAAGCCATGACGGCTATATCAGTGCGACCGGCATGTTCAAGGCTACCTTCCCATATGCTGAGCTTGCGGAAGAGGAGCAGGAACGGAAGTACATCAAGAGTTTGGAGACAACAAGTACGGATGAAACAGCTGGCAATGTATGGATCCCGCCTGTACATGCTTTAGAGCTTGCCGAGGAGTACCAGATCCTGCCCTGGATCAAGGCGCTATTGGACAATGCCCCGATCGAGGTAAACCCAACGAAGGATGCCACGCCCAAAACTATTTCCCCGCCCCCAAAATTCCTCATGCCACAAGACGGCTTGGTCGCGCCTACACCAAGCCGTATTGGCCGGCCCCGAAGAGCTGCATCACCCAGCAAGTTCGCATCGCCAAAGAAAACCGCTGGTTCGACTAGGCCAAAAAGGTCAAAAGCTGGGTCTGTGGCAGGGTCCGTGGCAGGCTCCACCAGGTCAGAGTCCGTCGAGCCCACGATTAAATCCGCCAGCGAGAATCTGCAGGAGGCGTTGAAGGCTGCTGCTTCTCAGGCTGCATCTGATATAGGGGCACCTGAGCCAAAGGAAGAGCTTGGGAATGTTAAGGAGGATGAAGAGGTCAATGACGACCATGTTGTCCGAGTCAACGTAGACACAGACGTCGAAGTCAATGGCGACACTGAAACTACCCACACTAACGTTGAGGTTGAGATGCCTGCTGGGTTCGCCGAGATGCCACTACCCGAAGACACTGAAGCTATGATTGCGAAGGCCAAAGAGATGGTCGAGGCGGCAATGGCAAGCGAAAACACTAACCTGCCCGAACGAATCAAAGCCAAACGGAACATCGAGGAGGTAGAGGAAGATGATGACGATGGCAACGCCGGCGTGACCGCGCCAGCAAAGAAAGCGAAGACAGAGGCGGTCAAGGCAGAGCTCAAGATGGAGCGGGTCAAGACCAGAGCCTTGCTTGGTATCAGTGCCACATTGGTCTTTGGGTGAGCTGCACTCTCTCTCTCTAGTTCTATCTGCACCTGCTAACATATTCTTCTTTTAGCGCCGCTGTCCAATTCGCCTTCGGCGTAATTTAGTGTCTAGTGTCTGTCTGTCTGTGTGTAGATGATAATTTCGTTTGTCCCCAAATCACGGATTGGCGTTGTGTTTATGAGCTGGTGAGGCATAATGTGCTCCGGTATCGCTGGATACCCCCCTATCTGGACTGATGCTGTTTTGGTACATACAGCCTTAAACATGAGAACTTGGAGAAGCTCCCCGTTACAATTAGGCATTGTTTTTAGTCGTTTTTAATTGCAAAGTCGAGATCTGAAAGCTGTAATAGTCGACCGAGGAATCTGATGACATCACGTGAGAGGATGTCGCTTCCTCACTCCTTCCCATTTAGTTTACCCCCTTCACACATCAACGTCTCAACTTTAAGATGGCTTTGGCTGCCCCCTCATTCTGCCACTTTTTTATCACATCAAATTCCGTCGGTGTGTTTTTTCTTCCGCCACCGTCGATATATACATCATGGCGACTGGCCCTGCTACGCGTGCGAAGAGTAACAAGAGCAACGAGCGGCCGTTCGGCGTATCCTCTACAGATCTCAACAGGGCGCTCAATGTCTATACTCCATCGCGATCGTTGCCGCCCCAGTATCAAGAGCGCTTGCGAGCACTGAATCAGAGGAACAAGGTCATCCTCAAGACCACTCCTATCATACGCACGCAATCTTCAACGGGAGCTGATTGTCATGATACACCCTACCCTTCACCAGACAAGCACCCAGATATTGAGCGTCGAGATGACGAGCCACCTGCAAATCCCTGTGATAAATATTCAGCAGAGCCTGATGCTTGCAGTTCTCGTCGCCTTGAAGGTGAGCATAATAGCCCGCCGCTGTTTTTGTCTCAAGAGAGTCAGCCGCTAGAGGACTATATTCGCAAAAGCCGGCGATTGAGAGCTTCTGGCTCTGAGCAGTAAGTCCTCTCTGCCTTGCTTGCCCACCGCGAATCACCATTCCAGCATCGGCATTATACAAGAGTCAGCACCTGACCATAGACAGGGAATTACCTCTTGACCAGTTCGAATTAGAGCTATTGCGTATGGGTGATGGTGATGAAGCCGACTCCATTCCTTCCGCTACCCTCTTCCCGAAAAGGCTACAAGATTCGGACAGTCGCAGATCAAGACAAAACACACATGGTGGTTCTCAGTACATAAACGAAGGCAGCAATCAAGACCCTGACCAAGAGGCGCCACCACCTAAAAAGTGGCAAAAAAGGAGAGGGGTAGCCAGTGTCGGAACTTACAATGCGAACATTCAAGAGTTGAAAGGTGTGAGGGTAACGAAGGCCGGCGAAACGGATAAACGCCCAAGCTTTCAGAAGTCTAAGAAGAGTCATGACTCAAATGATAAGAACAGCACCTCTCAGAGAGCCTCCTTGAAAATCAAACAGCCACGTCGTGTTCCAGCTGGTGAGCTTGTGATAGCAGAGGCGCGATTGGAAGAGTCGGACCCGGAGTTATCTAGCAGTAAGTTCCTGGGGTATATTCGAGACTTCTTTCTAAACTCACCGTGCCACAGATCCACCCTTAGAGCTTTCTCAGGATCCCACTTCTCAGATCCGGGGTAGTGATACAGATGATGATGATGATGATAGACCGGACACTCGCAGAGAACCTGCGTTTCTGACAATGAAAATCAAGCCACGAAAAAGAATTGGATGTATAGATACCTCCAAATTCAAAATGCCAAAACCCAGACTCCTGGATCAGCCTAAGCGAATACCTTCCTACTCTGATGGCTTTGATGGAAAAGAGGGGGAGCCCATTGGAAGATTGATGCCCGTCAAGCAGTCATTCCGAAGAAAGCAGAATGGCTTCAGAATGACCATCAAATTTGGAACGCTCCAGCTGGTCAGTGAAAAGCCGGAAGAGGAGCAATCCGAGAAGCCACGTCCACGCCGCAAGAAAAAGAAAAAAGTACCCGATAACCACGATCAAACCCGGAAGAACGCAGCCAACGTAGAGCCCGAAGATGACCAGATGATTCTCGATATTCAAGCATGGGAGCCAGAAAATCGTCAGGAAGTTAATCACCCACAGGCCTCGGGAAATGCCCCTTCGGAGAATGTAGCGCAAGATCCAAAGACACCAACAGCTACAACAAACCAAAGCAACATTTCATCAACACCTACTGGTCACACATCACCATTGAAACGTAAATCACAGGGAAAGTTACGCGCAAGTAGCATTAATGGTGGTCCGCAATTGGAGCCACAAAATGTTTCTCGACAGTCTGATGTTGAACGCCAAAAAGATACAAAATTTCTTGAGCCATCAAAGCCAGCTTCGCTCCCAGAGAGATCTCAACAGCAAATCCAGGATGATCTGATCGTCTCGCAAGAAATTAGCCAGGTCACCATGAAGCGACCAAGCGTAGACAATACTGGTGAAGGTCATCATGTGGGAGGATACGATGACCATGCTAATGGTGCTAGAGATTATGAAGAGGAAGAAGAAAGCTCCGACAAGCCCTGTCTTACACCTTCCCCTAGCCCCCCTGAAGACGAAGAGATGGATGCAAAAGATGAGCCGAAAACACTTTCGCCCTCAATTACATTCCTACATCATGATAATCAGATTTCCTCGCAAGAATCTGGCAGTGTTGACGACGAAGAGACTGGAGAGTTTATTGGCCAAGATGACAATATTTTTGTTGCAGAGGACAGTGCAGTCAGCCAAGAAGAAGAGATGACTGGCAGCCTGCTTCCCACTGTACGCGAGATGGAAGAGCTTACGAAAAAGATGGTGATGGAACTCAATCAAGAAACGGAGTCTGTACTGGCCAAGCAGAGGAAGAGCCGGCTGCCATCAAAGCATCAAGCCTCCGGGATGGCTCTAGCGTCGAAGAAGACCAGCAGACTATCTCAAATGAGCCAGAGTGCCTTCAAGACTCCGATAAAGGTCGTCCACCTTCCTGAGATTAGCAATCGAAAGCATGTCATGCCAAAATGCCAGCAACAGGAGCCTCCGACCTCAGATGGCCCTGACAGTTCGTGGCGTCCGCGTGTCCCTAATACGCGAGGAGCAGAGATGGAGGAGCAAGAAGAGATTGTGGACATCCAAACTCCTTCGCCAGTACGTAAGCAAGTCGAAAATGATCGTCGTAGATCTCTCCGAAAAAGATCGACGAGTATTCGCCAGCCTCTGAGAACCGCGAAGGATCGTCCAGAAAGCCAGATCATGACTCAAGATATCTTACCGGCCATCACACATGACAGCCAAGGTGGCTCACTTGAGCTTGGAAGCACGCAGAAATTTGTTGCTCGTCGTTCTTTTGCATCTGAAATACCCGAGACACAGGTTGAGAATCAGCCAGAGGAGCAAGCCAAACACACAGTCTTGGTGCCAGAGAACAGCTACTTCTCACAGGCATCGCAACACCTGAGCGAGTCAGCTCAGCGAGCTAGCCACACGCTGTCCATGCCTGTACGCGTGCACTTTGCTCATCAGCTGAAGGAGGAGGAACATGGCGAAAGAATGATGGCAGAAAGCGTGACCTATTCTGCGGCCTTTCAACACACTGCCAGCTCGCCTACGAAGACACCAACAAGCTCGCGACCCAGTATTATGCACCCTCAATCGAGCCAGACGAGTCTAAAGGACTTGACCCGAAAAGCCAGTCTCGGCATGGGTACCGTTCTTAGCAAGAAGAGGAGGCTGACGTCCATCAATTCGCTACTTTCACAGTTTAGATAAGAGAAAGGGATGGGCAGTACGTTAATGGTGCAAAATTTGCAGGATCTGTCTGCGTGAGATTCGCCATGTGATGGGAGAGGGGGAAATATGGTTTGCTGGGGGGTATGCTCATTTTGGTGAAGTGAAAGATTTGGCTTTTTTGGTAAGAAATGGGTGAGATATTTGGTCATTGCAGGATGTGTGCCATGTGTGCTGCATATATTCTTGGGAGATGTATTGCGGACTTATCATAAATAAATACCTATTTACTTCGGCAAACTTATTTCGCTATCAATCACCTGTAATCGTCGGAGACTGAAAGGCTGAAAGGAGGCCCACCTAAGCGAGCCGACGATTAACGCATAATGCTATAACAAGAGCTCTCCCCAACGATCTCATAATAAGGTAGATAGGTGTATCCCATACGGCAACTCGATTGTTGCTGGTCACGGAGTAGAAAGAAAGCTGACTAGTCATGTAAGGCTGGTAGATAGGTGGTAGGTAGGTGAAACTAAAAAAGACAGCTGTTTTTTGGCTTTGAACTTACAGTAAGTACCACGGGGGAGGGTTGGAGGGGGGAATGGTGCTGGTGGTGTTCTTGGTCGGCTTCACCATTTTATGCATATCCAATTGAATCTGAAATTCGCAGCTGATGAATGACTGGTTAAGGAGGTTAGTGCGAATATATATGTCCCTCGTGGCGTCCTCTTTCCCCGGGCTGGACCAGCTTAACGGCGACCTCATGGGTTGGGAGTTATCTTTTTTCTCATTTTGGGCAAGCTTTTCCAGGTTCCAGGCTTCTGGATCTTGACGTCCCTTCTCGGACAGAACGGAATGTAAGGAGACTAAGAGGGTGAAGTTCGTTCGTATCGGATATGGCGGGATTGCAATGAGCAGTTTGGTGTTGTCGTCCGGGAGAGTGCTATCACTGCTGTATATATATATATATATATTTCCTCTGGTAATTTGCGCAAGTTGATGGAAGATGTTGAGAAGTCACGGGATCGCTGATGCTAATACATTTAATTGTAGGGGCTGGTTTGCTTGAATCTGGGATGTAGGTTGGTACCTAGGTACCGTACACGACGAAAACTCCTTTCCAAGCCACGTGATCGGATCCACCTCGCATTCTTTCCCACTGTGGAGAAGGTCTGTTTTATATACTGGAGTGCTCCCAGAAAAGCGTGTGGGATTTATTAGGCCCACATCTTTCATATATTCACTTGCTATTTTTTTTTACTGCATGTAAGGTCAAGGTTGGGCGAGGATTGAAAGGACTCGTCACCACTCTGAAACACGCTCGAAAGTCGGGAGATTTTTTTCTGCGCTTTCGAATGTCTGGAGATGTTTGTGAAAATAAAACTGTCGTGTTGGAGAATCTTGGCATGGCTAAGGACTAGCTAGACCCGATGGATGGACCACCACTTGAAATGTTTTTCGAGCTGAGGACCAATAGATACTGTGAGGTAATAGAAATGGCAGCAAGAGGTAAATTGACAGCGTTGCAAGTGTCCTGCAACTGTTCCAATCAGCTTCTTCCTCTCCTCCTTCTTCCCTCTCAAGTCTGGTGGTAGTGAGTGCTCCGATGTCCCTGCTCTCAAGTTTTGGTAGATTCGCAGTCTCTCCTCCTCTCCGGTTATCAGGTACGAAGTCCTGACGTAGAAAGAAAGGCTTCATTTTATCGATGTAGAAGTGTCTCGGAATCCGTTTCCCCTTGATTTGCTCCACCGTGTAAGAACTTCCATGTTCGCTTCCCAGTCCCGACACTCTGAATGGCCCTCTCCAAGACGGGCGAAGTTTTTGCGCAGCTGTGGTATGGTCGTAAAGCATCACTAAAGATCCTGGTAGCAGGCTTCTGACTCTTTGAGCGAACGGTTCCTATATAAGCCGGATCGGGAATCATTAGCGAGAATGCACAATACAATACGTCTCGGCTTTTGACACGAAGTCCAATGATTGCTCTTATCGATACATCTTGGTGTGAGAGATTAGAGAGTATATTTATAGATTGGATAATTCATTCTTAGCGAGTTCAATGGTTGGGAGCTGGTTTGGTTCCTCGGGCTCGGCTGGCAGTAAATTTGGTAGTCAGATACTCTTTCCATGGCATATACCAGTGCTCAGACGTCTACTCAAGTCATGGACGAGTGGCCAGGCAGATCTCTTCATTGCCACGAACCAGACGCAGGCACACCGGCCTGAATATGGATGGCAAAAGTGGATCGAGGTTCAGATAAGGAAGAACATCGCAGAGTGCCAAATACATGCTGATACCCATACATTCTCTGGGGTAACGAGAAGGCGATAAGCAAGAACGGCTACTATCCAAGGTGTAATGATTTAGTACTGAAGTTCCTGTTTGTTGTACACTTGGCCTGGAGACTGGTAATAGTAAGCTTCCGGTGGAAAGGCGCAGCAAGATCCAGGAGGGTATCCATCGGCGTGTAAGAGGGTAAATGATAGGAGGAAATCAAACGACAGAGGTGTAGTAGAGACCGCAGGTTAACAGGCAGCGCACTGATCATTAGCCAGGTTAGCTAGAAGCTAGAAGTCCAAACTTGTAATGCAGTATTGACAAGGTGCCGCTAGGTCTTTACCCAGAACTTCGTGGGCTGCGGTATCTCTCTTGAGGATTGGGATAGCGGTGAGTACGACTCAATGTCTCTTGGTCGTGATTAAGGCCGTGAGTTGTAAGGATATATATCTCAAGACCTATGTTTGAGTCAAAACCTATACTCAAGTCAAAATTGAATTCTTTCCTCGGCTCGGTAACGTGCCACGGCATTAACTACAGCGAGAAACACCCTGCAGTTGACTTGAGTGGTAGCCGTAGCGGATCGGAATAAAATACCACGCATAAAGCCTTGTACGGAAGTAATAAAATCTTCGGAAGAAAGTGATGAGTGAAACAAGAACGATGTGATGCTATCAGCAAGCTCCAAGAAGTCACTGTTCCCCGTCACAGTCCCTGCCTCATACGCAAGTTTGATACTCGATTAGCACGAGCCCTAAAGATAAGTAGTAGGAGAAGAAGTATGAAAATACACTGCGGATATCGATATCGCCATTCGGCCTTACTCGCAGAGGCTGTTGCAGCTAACACGATGCCAAACCCAGGGGCTGGTACTGCTGTCTGTCCATCGATGGTGATGGGCAAGGACAGTGGTACGACCGGCTTCAGGACAGTGCTATTAGAATCGAATATAAATTTGCGCTTCGAATCGCTCATTATATCGCGCTGCGTATCCAGGCTAGCTAGCTAGTCGAAGTCAGGTCAGGCTCGTGACTTGTGGCGTGCTTGAAAGGAGATCTAGTCCACTCCCGCTAAGTGCCCAAAAAAGAAGCGAAAAAAAAAAAATACCTACTCTATAATACTAAACGCCAGGTGATCTTCCATCGATCGGTGTTCCGGGGCGGTGGCTCAGCGGCTTGCTTGCTTGCTTGCCGCCTCATTCACCGGTCGATAATTATAATGGTGTATATCCTATTATAATGTATAATACGGCAAAATACGGTACGAGTCTATTAAGTTGGACTTGTAAGCTGGAACCTCATAACATCTCGTTGTTATGGGCTTCCGGCAATGACAGAAAATCGAAAAATGTTTATAATGTTGTGTATATCCCATTATAGCACCAAATAACCCATTAAGTTGAGTTTGTAAGCTGGAACCTTGTAACATCCCGTTGTTACGAGTTTCCAGCTGAGTTTTGCTATTTTGGTTTTTATGATTTTTGCATCTCTTTGCAGCACTCTTCCTTCTTGTGGATCGTAGGACTTGTATACTCACGCGATTTGAGGAAGTCACGAGGCGGATGAAGATGAAAATGAAAATGTAGCAGCTAGATCGGTGATATTTATATTATATCGATGAAACAAGAACAGTAAACAGCTGCCATCCGCAATTTGCCACAGACCGTCATCTTCGTCCATTTACGCATGTATACAGGAAGTGGCGTTTGTATGCGGACGGCAGACTCTGGAATTCGTAGCGGATTCTGGGCCAACGTGTTGCCAGGGCACTATCTGATCTATACAAACAGTATGCCTTAATCGTTTTTCCGGGTTCATAACTCCAATAAGTTGTTTGAATATGTTTGCAAAACGCCTCTTTCCATTACACAGCTATCATATTAGCCCTCCTCCCGCCCAGCACGGCCATCATCAAGTCCCTCAAGTCCCAACTCCACCACATCCTCCTCCTCCTCCCTCTTCCTCTTCCTCTCATCCTCGTCATCCAACTCGAGCTCATCTCCCAACAACCCCTCACCCTCTTCACTACTTCTCTCCTCGCCCCTCTCTCTTCTTCTTTCCCTCCCCACATCCTGCTCTTTCTCCTCCCCCTCCTCCCTACGCCCAATAATCACATTCCCCGCGACCAGTAGCGCCGCCCCCAAGAACCACAACGGCGGCAGGCTCTCCGAGAAGATGACCCAGCCCAGCACGGCCGTGAGCATGAAGTTGGCGGACGTGTTGAGGATGGAGACTTGGGTCGTGGAGGTCCCGCGCGCGAGGGCCTTGGTGAAGAGGGTCCACATTATGCCGTTGAAGATAAGGTTGAGGGCGAAGAAGAGCTACGGGTGTGTTAGGTTGGTTGTGTTTGTTGTTACGCGAGAGCGGGAAAAAGGGACGTACGGCTCTAACAATGACCTCGACACCACCTTCTACATTTGCTAACCCAACTAGATTTGCGACCCAGGTTGCGAAACTGGTTGTTAATTCCGTTGTCGTTCTGGAAGTCCAGTCAGTACAGTCCCAAAGAAAAGTAGCAACGGTGCATCCTCTCCCCCATAGCCGCCGGTAACGCCAGTCCTCATACCCGTCCCGTCCAATAATAATTCCATCGATTTCCTCATCCTCTCTCAATCCACCTTCTCTCCCAAGCTCCCGGTTCATCCCCCGCCAAAAAACCCAAAGAGAGAAAGAAAAAAAAGTACTCACAACTTCGCAAACACCCCGTTGAAAGCCGCACACCCCCCGCTCGCGATAGCAAGGACAATCCACTGCGATTTGCTGCTCAAGTTCTCCATGTCGCCTTTTCCTTGATCCTGTCCTGGTCCTGGTCCTTCTCTGTCCTCGCCCCCTTCTCCCGACAACTTCGAGCCCGGCTGGTGAGACAGCGAAGGGTGAGGTTCGATTAAACGTGCGTCCGGCTTGGCGGGACTGCGGCTCTGTGTAGGGAGGAGGGGGGTTTGCGCGTCGGGTCCGGATGATGTGGCGAACATTGGGGATGCCGAAGATGACGAGCTTCGGGCCGGGGTGGAGGTCGAAGTGGAAGAGGAGGGGGCTTTGGGGGCTCGTTGACGGAGGGTTGGCGACATGCTGCTGGGTGGGCTTTTTGACAGCATAGTGAGAGAGGAGGTGTGAGATGTAGCTGAAACAACGATGGGGGGTACCGGTAGGTGAAGCTCTGAGAGCGGTTATCAAAGGATGGTGCGTGGAAGCGTTTACTTTCGTGAGCTTGGAATTGAGGCCTGAGCAGGACTTGCATGTTTTCGGAGTATAATTGTCGAATATACGAATACGCGATTGAGAATTCCTTACAGAACACAGTCAAGGACATCAACGAATATCGAGGCATGCAGGTACCAAAAGTATCGAGGCTGTAAAACGCATAATTTCATGCCAGTAGAGAGATACTTCGTCCTACCCATTCAATGTATTTGCTCTTGCACTCTTAGAGCTGCTATAGCTGGGTATAAATTTGATTAAAATTACGTCGTACGGAACTTTGAGTGATTGCTTCAAAGTCTTGCATTCAAAAATTGAGCGATTCCCTTAACCGAGAAAGTCATCTCGGCCCCAGCATCCCAGCCCGTGCATAACGCCTCTGTCCATAAACACCATCTCTGAGCCCTTATCATCCTGCCTGCCGTAGGCCCCCATGCAGTAAAGGCAACGCATATCGAGTTCCAGCTTGCCTCAGTCGTTTTAATAAGTTCGCAGCTATTGTCGCAAAGCCAGGACTTCAGTGTCCAGCCCCATCGCAATATCTGGCTCATCGTCACCACTCGCAGTATCAAACCGCCAACTAAAGCCCACTATTGGGGATCCCCGGGCCTCTTGCTATTGCAGCTCACGATCTTGACCTTGTCTGCTTGCACCGTCTGGCTCGAGTTCTCCATCTTGAACGTAACGTCTTTGATCAAGAAAGTCCAGACCTCGTCGCAGAAGCGGTAGGTATCGAGATGGCCCTTTCTTATATTAGCCCTTCCCTTCCGATTCCTTTGCCGTCCCATGCCGTCCCGTCCCCACTCATCACTCTCCTCAGCCATGCAGGCATACCTTAAAAGTCAAGCGCGCCTTCACCTTATCGGCCAGCACCTCCGTGATGCTGCGATCGAAGTTCGCCAGGATCTTCATTGCGAGCTGTGGCTCGATACGGCGATCGCTAATCAGGTCGTCCAAGGTATCCGTCAGCGCCATACCAATGCTGCGCGGAGAGTGTCAGTCCCTAAGTGTAGCAAAAGCACTGGTAGAGCAAAGCAAAGGGTGCAGTACCTGCTACGGCGGTAGAGCTCGTAAAAGGACTGTCCGGGGGTCGCCATATTTGCTGCCGTGTTCTGTGCGAGGCAAAGCAGCGTTTGTGAGGACAGTTGATGTTGTTGTCGCGGAAAAAGGTATTATATAGTCCGTACATGAGTGCTGACGTAATGGTGGCGCTAAGCAATATGTCGATTAGCGCGCTGGAGCTTGGTGATTGATTGTGTCTACCAACTTCATGTCTTGATAAATTTATGATCCAACCACACGACACCCATTCAATTGCGCCGCCAACATGAGTCTCAAATATGGAATGGGCGGTGCGACCACTGCACTGGCAGTAGTGGGAGCGTGTAAGCTAACTCGAGTCTATGGGAAGTGCTGAGACGGAGACTGACGGGATCCAGACATGCTCTTCACTGGCGACGGCGAAGCTTTCAACGTGCGTACCATAATGGCAAATAGTTGGAAGAATAGAGGTTGACACTTTGAACAGTTCGGGCAATTCTTAGAAGACGTATCGCCGTATGCGTGGGCAGATACGGGCATCGGATTGTGCATTGGTCTATCCGTAGTAGGAGCAGCATGGTACGCCTCCCTCCCTCGACCTCCTCCAGCAGGAATCCGGAGCTTAGCTGACGAGGGAGCAGGGGAATTTTCATTACTGGCTCCTCGATTCTAGGTGGTGGAGTTAAAGCCCCCCGCATTAGGACGAAGAACCTGATCTCCATCATCTTCTGCGAGGTCGTCGCCATCTACGGCGTCATCATGGCCATTGTGTTCTCGTCGAAAATCCACTACATGGAACCGGACGTCATATACTCGGGCAGTAACTACTATACTGGATATGCGTTGTTCTGGTCGGGGTTGACGGTGGGGTTGTGCAATCTGATCTGTGGTGTATCGGTCGGTATCAACGGAAGTGGTGCCGCGTTGGCTGATGCTGCTGATCCAAGCTTGTGGGTAGCAGCTCCTCGATTAACTGGTGCTTCACTGATATAAGCTACAGGTTCGTCAAGATCCTGGTCATCGAAATTTTCAGCTCCGTCCTAGGTCTATTCGGTTTGATTATCGGACTACTGGTCTCTAGTAAAGCAGCAGAACTCGGGGACTAAGGGACACAGTAGCAACTAGCAACGGCAATATCAATAGTAGTGAACACAGGGAGACAAGGCTGTGGTTGTATGTGTATATCGTCCAAGCGGCATGGGATGAGGATTGGCGTTCAGGTAAAGAAGAAGGATCTATGACTTTGCATTGTTATAGTTTATTGCCGCTAGACTGCATGTATCATATTTCCTCTGCAATCAACAGGTTGATGCTTCAGACTCCAGGCCCCCCATAGATACCTGCCCATGTCTAGGTATGAAACCGTGTAACGTTATTAAAGACGGGCTTTGGATCCAATCTCAATCCACGATGCCACTACAACCCAAGCGACGCTGGTATATCCACTCCTAAACCATCATAATGAGCCAAAATCTCCGACCACTATGGCGGTAATTCCCCATATCCCCATCCATTGCCAATGGATTAATCTACGCTTGACCCGGGAGTTCTAACTTTACGCTAGCATAGACTCCGAGGACAGCATATATCAGCCGACTGGGGGACTTGAAGGTTGTAGCAGAAGATGGAGGAGTTACTGCCTTCCTGAGTCGCGTACTGACATCCATATCCAGGAAAGCACGTAACTCTTCTATCTCAATGTCTTCCAGGGGCTCTAGAACCACTTCTGCTCCCTCATCATCGTCGATGAAATCGACTGTAAAAAAGTCCGTCCCGAAGTCCCCTTCATACGTACCACCGTCAAGATTTGCTCCTGCCACCCCTTCCGTTCGAAAGATTCGAAGCTCGTCCTCGCAAGACCAGTACATGAAGTCATTATATGGCATGCCTCTTTGTCTGTATCCGGAGCTTCTACCATGTCAGCGTCGACATTCCTATGGGGTGTGGTAGTGGCGACATACTTCCAGATCTCCTCCTCGCTGAGAGCCCCACGAACCACGGGAATGTATAATCTATCTCCAGGAAGCAAGCCCCGATTGTCCAACAAATAATTATCATAACTTCCAGCAGGCAATCCGTCTGCAGCAGGCAATCCGTCTGCAGCAGGAGTCGTCCATTGACCCCCCATATTTCTCATGTACTCGGCGAGCTTGCTAGGGAATTCAAGTGTTCGAACTGCAAGGTTTTCGTCCTCGACGAGTTGGTTTGAGAGGCCAAAGAGTTTGATGAGACTGGCTTTCAAGGGGTGCATGAAGACGTAGGCGGTTCATGTGACTCTGGTATTGAGACTGCCGACCTTGGGACAGTTTGGTAAAGAAAGAAATGGACTTCGCATATTGAGGTGTGAAAGAGCGTACACATTTAATCCAAGGGATATGATCACATTGCTCTTTCAGTAGCGACAGGATATAGGACTTAGATGAGGTCAGAGCTGCCAGGTGTTCTCGAGACATTCCGTTGAAGGGGTTAGGAACAATATAAGACGGAGGAAGCCCTCCAAAACCTACGAAACAATGTCCTTCAGAGCAAGAGGTGAAGCATGCACTGCGAAGGACGCCACAGTATCTCTCGGAGACAGAGCTGTAATATGCACTACGAGAGACGCAACATCCGCTGTCCCTTTGAATGGATATTTTCTCCTTGTCGGAAACTTCGCCATAGGCGTACTTTGCCCAGTAGCTGTCGCTTTCCCTGGCTTGCAATCTGGTTCGCACTTAGACCAGAATCCTGTCATGCCAGTCCAGGCCATATTGCTACTAGTGGCGTTGCCAAACTCGAAAGTTGAAGTACGCTTGAGATAAGAGAGTCAATAATTGCCAATCTGAGATGGAATTGAGACTAGGGTTAACTCCTAATACGCACTGAATTCAGCGCATGGATGCAGCTCTCGTATCATACCGGCCCTGTACAAGGCCAAAGGGCAATATGCAGTAATCTCGATGACTCGGTGGGAACATTTCGCGTACAGGCTGTGAGCGAACTCGCACATAATGTAAGGACTCCGCTGATTGTCCTTTGATGATAAATGCTTTGAGTGTTCCGTTGTATCGAACCTTGGTTTACAGGACTTAGAAGTTGAGAAGTGGGGTTCCCTGTATCAAGGCTACTGCTTTCCATATCTGCATGTTCGTCCATGTGTTTGTTGCTTGCTACTTCCCATTTCAAAGTACATCAAACTCGCTCTTGAGCTTGCCCATCAGCAGAGCCTCAATCTTCGTCCCCTGGCTCAGCGTCTCTTTCCCGGCCGGCAAGCACAACAAAGCGTTCGCGCTCTTCAGACTTCCCACCCTTGAGCTCCGCTGTCCACCGGTACTGCTAGCATGCATGAGGCCATCTTTTCCCAAGACAACAATGACACGATGATATTCTGATCTTTGAGGATCGAGGCGGAACTCGTGGTCAAGCGTGACTTGGATCTTCGGCATGCCAGCTGGGGATACACCAGACGTGTGATGCAGAGAAGGCAACACAAACAGGTGAAAAGTCACCATGCAGGAAACTGGATTTCCAGGCAGGGAAAAAATAACCTTTGAGACTCGTTCACCAGCATTACTCTTCACTGGTACCGTAGCAAATGTCGTCGGCTTCCCAGGCTTCATCGAGACTCGTCCGAAATGTATCGTACCCCCAAGCGAGCGCTCAATCGTCGGTTTCAACAAATCAAGCTCGCCCATTGATACCCCACCGGATGTAATGACAAAATCAACTTTGCGAAGCGCATCACGTAGACTGCCCTCTAGATCTCCCGGTCTGTCTCGAGCAATACCGAGATCCACTACTTCGAATCCCCAGCCTCGCACCGCAGACATGATCGTAGGTCTATTGCAGTCTCGGACTTCGCCAAGATTTAGGCCGCCAGGTCTGCTGTGATCTACGATTTCGTCTCCCGTTGATAAGACGCCGACGATGGGCCGCTTATAGACTTTGACTTCTGCCCTACCAACTGATGCAAGTAATCCAAGTTCGCCCCCGATGGCTGAAATTTCTTCTCCTTTAAGGAGAATGACTTCCCCTTTCTTGATGTCACTTCCCACTTCTCGTATATTCTCGCCGTGCTTGACACCCTCTGCTAGAATCTCAATCTCATGCTCTTCCTCGCCGTCCTCTGTCATGGTCTTGAGAACCGTGTCTTCGACCATTACCACAGAAGTTGCACCTGGAGGAAGAGGGGCTCCAGTAGTGATCCGTGCGATTTGACCAGCCTCCAGTGGAGGTATCTCGCCGGGCGTGGCATGAGAGATTGATGCTACTGGAAATACGCCTTTGCTGGAACGGCCACTTGTAGGAGCAATAACTGCATACCCGTCGACAATACTAGCTCGATACGCAGGAACGGCTTCTGTAGCTGTGACATCTTCAGCAAGTACGCACCCTACCAAAGACCCATTTACTTCTTTTGTAACCATCTGTGGTGCGGGTGTGTGTTCTTTGATGAGTTTGATAGCTTCATCCACGGCTAACATCGGATACGGAGAAGAGCGATTCCTGCGCGTTGGACCAAGGGCGGGGTCATTTGAGAGAGGATTCTCGCTATGCGCCGTATGTCGAACAGGCATGGCATGGCCATGGCTATGGCCGCCATGATTTCCGCCATGGGAACGAGCAAGCGAGTGATCATGGCTGTGAAAGTGACTATCGGAGCCCGAAGCGCTGATCCCAGCATCTTTTTCTAGTTTCTTGACGCCTCCAGCATGAAGGGACCTCGAGTCTGCTCCAGCTGCTTGAAGGCAAGCATGAGGCAAGAGCTTCAGCACCGACTGAAGATTCTCTTTGGCACCTTTCGGCGATCCTGGCAGAGTTATTATAATCGTCCTGCTCCTCATACCAGCAACAGGTCTAGACATTAACGCAACTAAACTAAGTCAGCCGACCCACCCAAATTCAGGTACAACTAGCTTGGAACTCACAGGGAGTAACAGCCAGCGAAGCCGCAAGCATTCCATGGACCAATCCAGGCGCCTGTTTATGTAACAGTGGAGTAACAGCCTTTGCACTCATCAGTCTTCCTCCCCTAGTATATAGGTATACTTTGCCACACACTTACCTCAGGCGTACTATCACTCACAGCAAACCCCGTACCGCCAGTTGAAACGATCAGGTTCACAGGATCCTCCCCATCTGCCCATCCCATCATAGAGCGCTGGATATCAAGCACCACATCGCCGACAATCTTCGTCTCTACCACTTCCCATTTTGCGCCGCCTTCTTGAGCGAAGACGTCTTGCAGGAGGGGACCAGAAGAGTCGGCAGTGGGGTCTTGAGAGGCTGTTGTCGAGACTATAAGGATGGCTGCTCTTAGATTTGGGCGAGTTGACATCGTGTTGGTGGATGAGAACTCGGTCACGAGGATAGGGAAATAACTTGGATGAGGTTGATGTTTATGTCAGCAAATTGCAGATGGGGACTCGCTTGTTAGAAAAATATCACATGACACAACTATCTAGAAGCCTCTCCTTTAACCATGGCTGACAGTAAATGACTTTTTAATATCAGAGGTCATGAGACAAGAATATCTCAGAGATGACATAGGTAGGAAGTGGTTTTTATTTGGTAGTTTTGCTCTTGAAGACTCAAAGGTCCCTTCTTTCTTGGTCGAAATGCGAAACTTGAGAAGCGCAATGTTGTTTATGCTTTAGCGACTTTCCACTGCAAAGGTTATAGGTACCCATCAGATGCAACAACGTTCTTACTCAGCATCAGGCAATACCTTGATATCTTTGGCCTCCTCCCAAGAGCACCAGGCATGGTCTTCAATTCAACCTGTCCTCGCCCTTTCTCCAAGACCTCATGCCGCTACCGTCCGCCCTCCTTCCCATACTAAGAACTCTTTTCAAGGAAGCTCTGGTAAAATTTCAGCCGCTATCACCTTCGTCAAGTAAATCCGTTTAGTAGCTGTTACGCCGAAGGAGGAGAGGGGTACTTGCAACAAAATCCAGTGCAGGCCCGCATCATAATTATCTATCAGACATCCATGTTGCTCTCAGCATGCCCCCAGTCCTGGGTATCCCTCACCAACAACCGAAGGGCCGTCCAGATTAGGGAGTTTCATGCGGAGCTTGTTGTACTACTTTGACATGTTACATGGCTTTAGTGCTTCAAGGCTTGGGGATGGTGGAGTAGCATGTCAAACATACTCACAATCGGCAAATATATTTGGTATAGAACTCCATCCGTGTTCTTAGTTTTGAGAAGATTTTTGGTCACTTAGTATGGGAACTTGGGCGGTCGAGGAGCACCTTTCGCTTGTGACCACCGGATCAGGAGACATCCGGGGGATATGGTGGAGTAGTGTTGGCTGAGGGACTTCAAAGTAAGAAAATTACAGTACCAGTGGTCTAATAGTCAGTGGGCTGACTATTAGCATTAGGCCCAGTACTTCGACGAAGTCGAGTGGGGCCTTAGTACCGTGAAATTGAGAGCAGAGCTTCTGTTCTCTGATGCCTTGAGAGGACTGGTTCCAGAAAAGCGAAATTTGATAGTGAGCTTAACCATTCTCTCTCGTTTTCATCGGTCCCTTTGCCTAATTCAAAGACGAGATGTTCTGACAGTCCCTCCAGTTCACCGGGAGAGAACAATGAATCGGGGGAGCCTTTGCATCAATGTTGTTGCGGAAAGTAACACAGAGACGGTCTAGACGCGCTCTTTCATGATACTAGAAAGAAATTATCGTGCCGCCGAAAATCTTTCGAGTGCACTCTTGTGCATTCTTGCTAGAAGCAAGGGATCGTTCGGCGAATGATATACTTCGCTCTTAACTCTTGTGGCCAGAGCCAGAGCCCAAATGTCTACCTAGGTCCCTTTCGATGTGCTGACTGGCGCGATGACATCGTAATCACTCTCGCCTCTCTGTACCTTTCAGATTCTGTCCGGTGATAAGTCCGCCAACCCAGGACGGTCTAGAGTATTTTGGGTTGAATTCTAATCAGTATGAGAGCAGCTATAAAGCGAACTTCAATGGAAAAACGGTATAAAGTCGGGTCGTCGGTTGTAATTAAGAGAACCTAAAAAGCAAGATCATATGATCACGTGTGCACTCCGTCACGTCTTTTTTTTTTCCCAACCGCGTTCTCAGAATCAAGTATCCATCGTATCTCATCTCCACTCGCAACTACCTAATAATGGTCCGCCTCAAGCACCGCTACCTCCTGGTCAACATTCTCTACCCTGAACTAGAGAAATCCCAATCCGGCGCCAAAATCCCCGACGTCGTGCTGTTCAATCAACCCTCGACTAGCGAGCTCACCCAACAAGTTCTGTTAAGAGGTCTGCGGGCGGAGATATCCACTCTATTTGGGGATTATGGATCGGGCGCTGTGTCGGAATCGCTTGCCGGTACATGGCTTTTAAAAAACGTGGTGCTCGGATTGTTGTGCTGATCTTTGGTAGTCAAATATTTCTCTACTGCGACTTCGACATTCATCCTCCGAGTCGCGCGCGCGCATTACAAGATAGTATGGGCTGCGCTATCACTCATGAAATGCCTACCTATAAAAAACGGAAAGAACTGTGTCTTCAGAGTGGTGAGGGTCAGTGGGACAATCAGGAAAGCTGAAGAGGAGGCCATTCGCAGAGCTAGAGACCTGATCCTGCAGGCGCAACGAGATGTCGAGGACAATAAAGATGAATCGGTGTTGGATGGCATATTTGGGAAAGCACAGACGCAAGAAGACACGACGAAGGAGATCTTGATGGTGGATCGATCCGACAGTGAAGGAGATTCAGACAATAACGGATGAGGGGTATCATTGGTTCTTCCTAACTACTTTCACACCACTTCCACCTGGCGGTAACGACATGCCGTCCATAATGTCGTCCTCGTCATCTTGCCCAGCGGTTTCATCCTGCTCAGCGGCCTCAGCTTGCTTGGCTGCCTCGGCCTCAGCTTGCGCTGCCCATTCCTTCCGCTCAGCCTCGTCGTACACGTCTTTCGCGTCGATCCAACGTTCTTGGACATCCTTTACGTCCATTGTCGTTACACTTTCTCGCATCGCCACTTGCCAGATGGTGTCATTTGCGCCCTCAGCTCCACCGAATGCATATCCGCCTGCTCTGTCTATGACCTGAAGCAGATGCATCATGCTCTTCTTGTCCTCTACCGCCAATGTCTCGAAGCCAACCAGACCGAAGCTCTCTACCAGTTCCACAATTGCTGTATTCAACCCTTCAAATTTCGAGCCAGCCATAACGGACGATTCTTCTTGGAGGTGTGGGAGGAGATAGGATAGGTCTTGAACTTCCGTGTAGAAATCGAGGTTGAATGGCAAAGGACTGTACGTGGAGATTTTGTCGATTTTTGTGAGAACATTAAGGTGTGGTAGGTCCATCTGCAGCATAGCTCGAAGAGATAGGATGAGGTTCGAGATGTAGAGCGAAGGCGTAGTCAAGCAGTACGAGTCGGACAGATGCAGAACTACAAGCTGTGTATAAGTTAGCATGCACCTAGTAGCAATGGCAAGGGAATCAAACCCTGTAGCCCAACTTCTGCAATCTGAAGAATATGTTCCGCAATGACGAGTGATGCGTATAAAGCTCCACCTGTCCCGGGCAGTCGAATAGCACGTAGTCCTCTCCCAGCTCACTCAATCCCTTCTCCAGCCAATCCAAATTCTGCTCCAGCTCCTCGAGGGCATACAGCACAGCACCGTTCGGTCCCAACTCGTCGTCCTCCATTATTTCCTCTAGTTTAACCAGATCGCGGACGTCTATTGCGCAGGGATAGCTCGTTTTTTCGTTCGCTGGGTCGAGGTTTACTACAGAGCATTTACGACCTATGGCGGACATGAACTGGAACACTGGAGCTAGTTAGTTAGGACCTTGCGGGAGCTCTGGAGAGAGTATGCGGACTTCCGTAGCAGTACGTGCTCTTTCCGCATCCGGGACTGCCTAGTACGAGCTGTGCGAACGGCATTTTGGAGAGAGAGGGCGCGAGGCGCAAAGAATAGTGTTGATGGACTGTGTGGAGGGGCAAGTGGGGTTGTTGTTGCTCCGAAGTTGGTCTCTTTGAGGAGCAACTTTGTAGAGGTTGGCAAGAATGAATTCAGAGACGATGGTGAAATCTATCTCCGGAATTCCAAGATTTTTGTGGCAAATTATGGCTGTCCTGTCGTATGTTGTGTGTTTGTCGGACCTTGAAGGTAAAGTGTACAGAAGCTCGGGGAAAGCTTCACACTTTTTGGTGGAGGCGGCCGCTTCGAGTGAGCCGCGCCGGTCAAAAACTTGATGCGACCGTTTATTTACCTCTCTCGACTTGCCAACAACTCGGCCAAAATGGCTCCTCGTAAGTCCTTCATCATACCCCCTCATCCTCATCTAAAATACCAAGCTAATGCGTCTGGGACTTAGAACTCCAATACAAGCTCTCGAGCCCCCCGTCCGACGCCATCTCCTCCCTCAAATTCGCGCCCAGTGCCCCTACACGATTGCTGGTCTCTTCATGGGATAAGAAAGTCTACTTGTATGATGCAAAAGACCGAGAAGCAGGCGGAAAGCTGATCGAGAAGTACGAGCACCGAGCCCCCGTACTCGATGTGTGCTTCGGCGCCGACGATGATGAAGCCTTCAGTGCAGGGATGGATTGGCAGGTCAAGAAGTTAGTCACATCCTCTTCTTAACATATAGATACTGATTGGTGGTAAAGGATAAATCTTGAGACTGGCGAACAGACTGTGCTCAGTGCACATGGTGCACCGGTCAGATCTGTTGTATACAGCAAGGAGCATTGTAGGTTCCAGCTACAAGGGACGATGCAACCAATGCTAACATGTTCAAGCACTCCTCATCTCAGCTTCTTGGGACTCGACACTCCAAATCCACGACCTCAAGAATCCCGATCGAGAGCCAGCAACAATTAAGCTCCCCGCGAAACCACACTCCCTCTCCATAACGGCGTCCAAACTGGTCGTAGCCATGGCCGCCCGTCTAGTCTACATCTACGAATTGCACACCCTCACAATGCACGCATCACAACAAAGTGGCACGACCACAGACCTTGAACCTTGGCAACAGAGAGAATCATCCCTGAAATTCATGACTAGAGCAGTGTCCTGCATGCCCAATGACGATGGCTATGCGACCAGCAGTATCGAGGGCAGAGTGGCCGTGGAGTGGTTCGACCCTTCAGCTGAATCCCAAAACAGGAAATACGCCTTCAAGTGCCACCGCCAGCCCGACCCCGAGGGAGACGGAACGGACATTGTGTACCCAGTCAACGCGCTGGCTTTCCATCCGGTCCATGGCTCATTTGCGTCAGGCGGTGGAGACGGCGTGGTCGCATTGTGGGATGCTGTGGCGAAGAGGAGAATCAGACAGTATCAGAAGTACCAGGCGAGCGTTGCTGCTCTGGCTTTCTCCAGCGATGGTAAGTACTTGGCTGTCGGGGTGTGCCCTGGATTTGAGAATGGGCAGGAGGATTACACGGGTGAAGGAAAGACTGATGTCTATATCCGGGAACTGGGCGAGACTGAAGCGAAAGGAAAGGCGCCTAAGTGATCGGTCCGGCAGAGTAATTTCTCATGAGTGAATCTATCTATTTAGCAAGGCGTTCTGGATAGAAAAATGGAACATATATACATCGTATATCGAACCCTCAAATTTACGAGGCTACTGGCCACGAACCTTTTTATAGCAACTGTGTTTTTGGCTAGAGTCATTTCGTTTCAGTAGGGCTCAATGATCGAAAGCTCGGATTGCTTTCCCCAGTGGGATTGGTATTATAGCCTCTGACGATCCTTCACGAAATTAAAATCTCTTCTGCATCCTCGTTATCTGGATTCATACCGCCCCCCAGCCTATTGACAATATTGATATACCTAGTCGACAGGTCAAAGACAAACATCTATCGACCTGGGGCCATTGATTCCAAGTTTGAACTTACGTTTCGTGCGAGAAACACTCGTCATCTGGAGGCACAAAAGTCTGTATCGTATTTTATCCAATTCTTGCCTTTGATGAGTAGTATTGACTGAACTTTGGTGTTTCGTATATACAGGATTAGAGGGGATGAGGCTTTCAGCAAGCCAACGCTCTCAATGTTGCAGCTTTCGTTTGTCTTTTGTTGGATCCGCTTGCTTACGATCGATATGTTGGATCCTCTCTTGAACATGGCAATATATATATATATATATATATATATATATATAACCTGAATACCTGGGTGTTTGGAGCTCAAATTCCAGCATGGACTAGTGATCAGAACGTGTACGTGCCTTATTTTTGGCAGGTTAGAAAGCCAACAGGACCTATATTTCTATAGAGAGGATCCCGGCCCTCGATGCGCGCTACGGTAAGGCTTATTGAGATCCCTTGATGATGCGAGTATACATGCAAGGCTATGCGGTCGTACTATGTGAAGTAGTAAAGCGATCCCCACGTCTAAATTACTGCGAGACCTTTCCATGAATTGTGTGATGGTCCGCTTAGCTCGGCAAGTCTCCGAGAGAACGCTGTTTTAGCATGACCTTATAGAAGTCCGCCTACCTCTATTCGCTTTGCTATATGTTATTCCTGAATTTGAGATTTAATCTCATTACTTATCTGATGTGTAGGTTTAATTCCCAATCGGGGTTTTCGTCTTCTTTCTTTCGCTTAATGCCTACTGTGAGAAAAAAGGGGGTCTAAGCGAGGAACGAAAACACAAGGGCAAGTTCGAAGAAGGCAGATCGGAAGACCTGACGGGCTTCGTTATCAAATTTCCGATAATATCCTGTCCGGTTAGTTTGTTCCAAGTGGAACAGGTGAGCTGATGCTGAAAACATCAATGCCCTGCTGATCTGATCGCTGTCTGGGCTCCTCTCCTGGTGTTTCTTTGGGGCGAGAGTTTCGCAGCGGGCTTCACTCAGAGTCGGAATATCCATGCTACGACCTTATTCCCGGCTGAAAATTTCCGGATGTGTGACCGGGAAACGACCAGAGCTGGACTGAGAGCTGATTGGGTTATGCCGAGTGCAGATCCAACCGTTGAGATTAATAATTCGGGGAGTATCGTGAAGGGTTCGGGTAGAGGATTTGTCTAGCTACGAGGCCTCTCTGAGTTTCAAAAATTAGTGGGAGGATAGCAGTTATTCTGGACAGTGATAAGTGATGATGATTGACAACCAGTCGTCATGGCCTTGAATCTGTCTATATTTACCATACTCACGCCAGTCGTATTGCTAAGTAACAGAAGAAGCTTTAGGAGCTGAATGTGCATAAGTCGCTTTCTCGTGCCCTTGCTCGAGTAGCGTCTCCAAAACGGTTCTGGCACAAAGGACCCGCTTCGATATTGGGGTATTACAATTGACAGTATGTATATAGCATCGCCCGACGGACGGAAGATATTCTGAGATAATCCGAGATAATCCGAGATAATCCTGAGCCTTCTCGTTATATTTTTATCTGTCTGTGAATACATAGCCGGAGCCAGTGACATGGCCTCATCTCTATACCATCTTACCTCTATGCGCTATGATCTATTGGAATAGAAAATATCCTACACCCCGCTAGTCATGGCCAGACACATATCAGTGTGGAAAATCAGTCTCGGAAATTTGTTCCTACTTGTTCGAATTTGCTGCTCTTTAGTGACTTGATCTTCACATATGAACTCGAGGTGCCTTAAAGTTTGCGGTTAAGCTGCTTCCCGCTGTGGTTCGCTCTTCGTTATTCGCTCCTTCCCAAACCGACCTCAGCATATCATCCGTGAAACCAAATTCCACGACTTTCACGCATACTCCAACTCAAACGTCCTCAAGAATCCGAAATTCTATCATTGAACCCTTCATTCCCTATCCGCTATCCCAGATTCGCTCTGGAACCAATTAATTTGCCAGCATGAGCTTCGACCTAACTCCCTGCATCAGCGATGCTTTCGATCAACAGGATGACTTCTACTCATGCCCAGAACCACCGCCTCCTACCTCTATCATAGAGAAATCGTCATTTGCTTGCAGTTTCCAAATCCCATCGCCTATATCACAACAACAAATACTCCAGTCCTTTCCGTCTCTCCCCTGCCTGACGCCCATCTCCGAGACAAAAACGACCTGCGTCCCCCCACCGCTGCGACCCTCAACTGCACCGCCCGATTCCTACCCAGAAATCCCCATCGAGTACCTTCCCCACCTGTTCCTCATCGGCGCCGGCCAGTCCGGCAAGATCCACCTCCTCACCTCCACCGCCGTCCTGAAGCTGCCTATTGAAGGACACCGGGTAGACCTCAAGAACGAGAGAGAAATCTACAGCCGCCTCGCCGTCTCTCAACACCCCTCCATCCTCACCTACCTCGGCCAGCTGTACAGCGGCATCGTGCTGGCCTACCACCCCCTAGGCAACCTCCGCATCTTCATCCACGGCGTAGCTGACTCTGGTCTCGGCGTTGCCGAGGAACACCTCCAGCTCCTCGAGCGGAACCGCACACTGTGGGCCAGGCAGGTGGCCGAAGGCGTGCAGTTCCTCCATCAGAACGGCATCGTGCATTGCAACACCTCGTCCGAAAACACGCTCATCACGTGCAAGCAAGACGTCGTGCTCTGTGGTTTCAGCTCCTCGATCATGGACGGCGTCGCCAGAGTCGGGGAGACACGCTGGTCCCGCTGGTACAAGTTTGTGGGCGATGAGGATGGGGATGGTTCTGGAGAGGGGAGGCAATATAGCGTCCAGGATGATCTGTGGGCGGTGGGCACGGTGTGTTATGAGATGTGGACGCGACGAAGGATGTGGGGGGACTTTGAGGAGAAGGAGAGAGTTGAGTTGTACCAGGCTGGGGAGTGGCCTTGTCTGGACAGTGCGGGACATATGGGAAATGTCATTGCGAAGTGTTGGTTGGATGGGTACGGGTGCGCGGGCGATCTGTTGAGTGATCTTGGGGAGGTTTTTGAGAGCGAAGAGAGTAAGGCGGTAGCGAGCTGTATTGCGGAGGAGGCGTCCGCTTGGCAGGCCGTTGATTGATTGAGTGCCGGCCCTCCTTCGTATTGCTATTCGTACAAAGCAGAAAGGATCTGATTGGGTAATAACATCAATACATGGAGCTTGCGCAATCCGTCTAGAGGGTAGTATACAGTAATAGACAAGAATGGAAAGAGATAGATTGACCAGGTTTTGACTCCACTCGGAGCGTCAGCCATCGAGATCCAACCACCATAGCAAAAGAACCCCAAATCCCGCAGCGACACCCGGATTAGAAAGCGTATACTCGTCAATCTAGCCCAGCAGCTTCAGGATATCTCCCATCCTAGTTGTCTTCTGCTTATCGCCCTTAGCCTTCTCCTGGAACGCCTTGCCGACAAGCAGTCTCTTCTCGGCCTGGATATCCAAGACGCGCTCCTCGATACTCTCCTCCATCACCAGCCTCCACACTGTGCATGGCCTCGTCTGCCCAAGTCTATGTACACGGTCAACAGCCTGGTCCTCGATGGCAGGCGCCCCTGGAAGGTCGGGAAGTCAGCAAAGGTCACGTTTTTGGTGTCGCGGGAGGAGTCTCGGGAGCCAATTGATCACGAGATTTCCAACAGGAAGGGAATGGCGATGGCACGATCAACTTACACCACGAATCCGCAAGAATGACTGTGTCAGCCGCCACCAGATTCAAGCCTACGCTGCAGACGGCCAAACTCGCCAGCAGGATCCGACACTCCGGATCGGATTCCAGCGCAGTCATGCCCCTGTCCCGCACAGTCGCCGACATCGAGCCGTCGATTCTGGCGAACTTCATGCCAGCCTCGACCAGCTGCGCTCGGATGATGTCCAGGAAGCTCGTCCACTGAGAAAAGATGACGACTTTGCTCTGGGGATCCTTGCGCGAGGCCGCGAGGATGCTCATCAGGGCTTCCGTCTTGCTGCTCTTGGTGTTGACGTCGATGTCCTTTACAGGGATAGCCTCTTCAGCTGGTTTGGGATACACGAGCACGCTGGCGTCTTTGAGCTCTGCGCGGCACATGGGGCATTTTTGCTGCAGCTGGATGGTGCGGGCGATGCAGTCGAGGCCGAAGACGTGTTTGCAGGCTGTGATGACGGGGTCGTGCAAGTTCTCAAGGCAGATGGGGCATTCCTCGCTACTCTCGATAGTAAGTTGCAGGAGAGCCTGCAGAGCAGCAACATTTTTTTTGGTGAGGGCCACGACCTCGTCATTCTCGAGGAGGGCGAGAAGGTCGCTAACGCGCTCACCACAGAGCTTCCAATGACAGCAAACTTGTCGCATTCGGAGCAAAATTTCAAGAACGTGACGGTAGGCGTTCTGTCCCGGCTTTGCAGATTGCAGTTTCTGCGCCATGCCTTGGGCTTCGGCTCTCAGGGCGTCGTATTTCTCGCGTTCGTCGGGGCGGAACGCGATCCGGTGGACATACTCAGAGAGCTCAGGGAGCCTGAGATCAACGAACTTCATGTCTTTCTTCCGGCGGAGGCAGAGGGTGCGCATGATGGAGTGCAGAATCAGGTCCGCGTTGCGGTCGCCGAGTGCCAGGGGGCGGGTGAGGATTGCGTTGAAGAGTTCTAGGCGCTCGAGACCGCCAGTGATGCCGATAAATTTGAGCATAGAATAGAGATCCTTTATGGTGTTGACGATGGGCGTCCCGGTTAGCACCCACCGGCACTTGGCTGCAACGGCTGTAGCTGCAACGGCGGACTTTGTATTTGGATTGCGGATAGTGTGACCTTCGTCCAGCACGATGCGTGCCCAGTTCATAGAGAAGATACCATGCTTTCGGGGGAGCTTCTCAGGGACAGAGCCCTTGGCATTCTTGTAGTATTCGGCACTGAGTGTACCATATGTTGTGACGACAACGTCGTACTCGCCCAACTCCCCGAAAGTCATTAGACCACGACCACTTCCATGATAAGTCATAATCTTCATGTTCCGCTCTTTCTTGACGTGTCTCTCAATCTGTTGCACCCAGTTTGACATAACCGAAACGGGGGCAATGATCAATGTTGTACCAGGGCCGCCTTCACAGATGACACTGATGATTTGAAGGGTCTTGCCCAAGCCCATGTCGTCTGCTAAAATTCCTCCTCGGGCCAGGACTGGCGCATTTTGCGTCGAGAAACTTGTTGCAATATTCTGAAAGGCACTCTTCCTCGTCTCGTGTCTCTTCCATAACTGCACGATATCCTTCGAGCCAGGAGCCGGCAACACCGGGTTCTCCTTCTCCAACATCCACGCCAAACCCTGACGCTGGTACGGGAGGAGCGTCGACACCAGGTCCTCGGGCTGCTCAGCCATCGGCATCTTCGATAGAGCATCTTCACCCTGTCCCCAAGCCTCAACAAGCTGCTCCACGTCTCTCGGCTTGAAGCGCTCACTGTTCTCGATGAAATGCGAGATGTTAACTTCGGGCACAGGCTCCGGCTGACTGCTGCCTTGCGAGCTTTGGAAGCCCATCTGCTGCCTCTTTGGAGGAGCCACAGGCGTACTAGGCTTCTTGGGAGCCGCGATGCCCTGCTTCTGGATGGGAACTCTCCGAGCCTTCATATTGTCTTCCAATATCTTACGGGCAGCTGGATCAGCGGGCCCAAAGACTCTGAGACGAATCGGACAGTCCCACTGGCCCTTCTCACCTGTAAGGATTCCTTCCAAGACGATAGATCTTGCATCCTGTCATGTCTTAGCAGATGCCATATAGGAGCCAATGGAGAAGATAGCGATACCATGAAGGGCGCCAGCTTGGAAGCGAGATCCCTTGGAAGGTGCCCAATTTGAGTTCCTTGGACATTGTTGATCCGGATGGCGTTCGAATCATACGGGTTTCCAGGCTCTCTCTTCACCATGACCTGTTCCCCAACGGTCGCATAGCCATTGTAGTATCTCACACCCACAATCTTGCCATTGATAGCGCCCACGACCGTCCAGCCGTTTCCCTCATCCACATCCTGACTCAAGTCGATAATCTCATCCTCTTCATCAACAGCACCCCAGGCGTCACGAGTTAGCGACTGGCGTGCACGCGGCTGCTGAGATGCAGCTACCGGGTTTGCGTTTGTACGCGCCTGTTTCGCCCGTGGACTACCGTCCTCGCTGTCAGACAGGCCCGTAAGCTCGGCGCTGGAAGATGTGCGCTTGAGCGACATCTTGGATGCTATTCTTCTACAGTTGCTGAATGCACTGAAGGGGTTTGCGGAGAAGGGTCCTTACGCGAACGTTGTGGCCAACGCTTATTTTGACGATTTGATCACGTGCTCATACTAATCATGGAATTTTCTATCACTATTGACCGCCTAGCCCGCCGAAGGGAGGATCACTTTAAAGCCATATAGCTATAAAGTGAAGTCAAGTGAGAGTCGATCTTGACGAGCTTTCCTGGAGTTGAGAGAGCAATATCGATGTTTGGACTTTGGCATACTCTTCTTTTCGTACTATCCATCCTATCCGAAGGGCAAGGGAGTACTCAATCGTTATCGACGCTCTTTTCGATGACAACTTTTTCGAACTGTACTCGAAGGTATTGGAGGATGATATCAGGTCGATCCAAGAGAAGATTATCGAGGTTTGGCGCTTGGAAGATCGATATGATGGACTGTATATAAACCCTTGGCTTTGCACCTCTTGGGAGGTCGCAGGGCGACAAGCGCGTGCTCCGCTATTCACCCGCTAGACGCAAAATAATACTACTATTACTACTATTAATCGTACCCCTGGTCGGAGTACTAGTCAGAGGCAGGAATGCGGTTCCTAGTACCCTTCAGTAATACGGTCAATTTTCAGTAATACGGTCAATTTTTTCGTGATTTTTCTTTTAATACATATATCTATCACAATTCTTAATAGAAAAATTATTTTTAAAATATAATATTATTCTTTAATAATAGACCTCCTTTAAGAAAAAGATTTACGTATTAATAGGATTTTAAAACGCGCTTATATTCGTATATTAACCTCGTTGACGCTATTCAAATAACTTTCCATCAAGTAAACAACTAAATAATTAAGCAACCACAAATAATTACATGTAACATTTTAAAAAATCATAATCGCTAGCTTCGAATCTTTATTCTGCTTTATTTTTAATAGCTTAACGCAATAATAGCTCGATCGGTTTCTGCAAATTCGCCGTACTTTTTAAATTTTTAAAGTGCGCCGACCATTTTAAAAGCTTCGCATCTTTACTCAAATAGCCGCCCATTTCATTACAACCTTTAACAGATCGGTCCATTATTGCTTTAAGCTATTAAAATTGAGGAAGAATATAAATTAAAAGCTATCAATTATGATTTTTAAAAAGGTTATATATAATTATTTGTAGTTGCTTAATTATTTAATTATTTACTTAATTAAAAATTATTTAGATACCGCCGACGAGGTTAATATACAGATATAATCGCGTTTTAAAATCCTATCAGCTTTTAAATTTTTTCTTCAAGTAGATCTATTCTTAAAGAATAATATTATATTTTAAAAATATTTTTTCTATTAAAAGTTGAAATAGATATATATATTAAAAGAAGAATCACGAAAAAATTGACCGTATTACTGAAAATTGACCGTATTACTGAAGGGTACTAGGAACCGCATTCCTGCCTCTGACTAGTACTCCGACCAGGGGTACGATTACTACTACTACTACTACTACTACTACTACTACCACCTCGACCTCGAGTCTTTAACCATCCGTATTCAATAACCCCCCCCCCCAACAAAAAACCCGTCTCTGAACTACCTATAAGCTACCTATCATTTTCACCTTTCAAATCTAATAATCATAAAAAAAGGTCTCAAATTTACAAGTTTTAAATACGAAAAGAGGACTTAAGGCATAAAAAGTCACATACGCAACTATCTACACAAAAAACAAAATTTCACAAAGGAGTCAACGACTTTACGGATATCACAAGCGTAGGTGGTGAGCAGCAGCAGCGTTCCATCCAAATTCATTTCGGTCGTACGCGCAGGCTTTCGATTTTCGGCTTCTCTACTAATACACAAGAAAAGGGCTCAGTCTGAAAATCGACCATGTACTGTGAGACGGTTTACTTGGCTTGTGAACGCAGACAATGTTGGAATATGAAGCGGAAGATGTCATCATGAATCCAATCAATCGAGGCCCGACAGATCGAGGCTAATGATGGAAAGAAGCCCCCTTCAAGCATCGTCCAATCCTTTCCCTCAGTCGCGTTGTCTGAGCCCCACCGTCCTCTGGATAAAGAATCTACACACGCGCTCTGCATGTGCCAGGAGTGTCTATGAACCATACCTGAGAACCTTAAAGTGCCAACGTAAAAGATATATGACAGCCCAAGCCAGCGCTTCGCTCAAACGTCCCGCTCCATTCCCCAAACCAAACGCCAATCAACCCAGCCTAGGTACCGCCCAGCCCATATCAAGATCGATACAAACGCGGAGGAAGTTCAGACAGCTGCTCGTCATTTTGTAGGAGGAGTTTGAGAGGCAGGGGGCTCAAGAGTATGTTGGTGGCCTGGTGCGTTGAAGACCTCGCCTTTCTCCCCTTGTCTGCAGATGGGGGTGGAGGAGACCCAGGCATCCGCTAAAACATCCTCCATCGTCGCCCGATTCTTCGGGTCAATCTGCAGCATCAACGAAATGATATGCCTACTCTCCCGCGGCAGAAGACGGAGCAGACGCCACGGGCCCTTAATCACCTCAGGCTTTTTGTCTTCCGAACCAGGTGCCACTTTCAGGTTAGTCTTGACCTTAGTTACAGGCACAGGTGCTACTTCTAGCTCGGCATCCTCGACTGGAATCTCGGGGTCATTCGTTAATTTTGCGGGCAAAGGGATGTCCGAGTGCCGCTTCGTTTCAGTACCTGGAGTTGGCGGTGATGCAAATAGCTTATACGAATTATCTGTCATCCGGGGCACCTTCCATGGGAATCGGCGAAGAGACATGCAGCAGAAAATAATGGCAAGCGACCAGATATCAGTTGGTTGAGGATCGTATTTCCGGTCTTCGTACACCTCAGGGGCGAGGTATGGATCAGATCCCACGATACCTGACTACAGTCAGTTTAAATTCTCGGCTTCTTCATGACAGAGAAAGTGCTTACCGCTTGCAAGTACGATATTGCTCTCGAACGGATACTTGAAGACGCTCGCACTACCAAAATCGATGATTTTCATGATTCCGTACTGATTGACAACCACATTGTCCAGCTTCAAATCTCGATGTGCAAGTCCCATACTGTGCAGATATGTGACACCGCTGAGAATTTGCAAAAAAGAACATGTCACCTCCTCCCTGGACATCTTCCCGGTCATAACGATTGCGAACAGGTCATAAGGGGCGTACTCCATTACTTCGTACCATTTGTTCTTCTCGTGCACAATATCCAGTGTTTCGATAATGTTACCATGATGCAGCGTCGATCCTACACAAAACTCGGCCGTGACTTTCTTGGCATACTCCTTTTCGGTCTCGTACGAATGTCGAGCTCTGAACTCCTTGACGGCGAAGGTTGTTCCATCACTGCTTCTCTTCATCAAGCGTACCGATCCACCAGCTCCCGCTCCCAAGACTTTGCCAAACTTTCCATATTTTGACTGCAGGCCATGGTCATCACCGAAAGGCAGTTGCTTGGGCGATCTAGCCGACTTTTGAGCGGGCGGTGTCTTGTTCCCTGACTTCGTAGACGGCGTCGGAGATGTTGTGCGTTTTGACTTGTGATGTCCTCCCATTTTCAAAAATCTTTTGAGCTCCGACATGGAGCCATGCTTACTGTTAATAGGGGCGGAGCTGTCATCTTGGTCGTGATGGTTTCCAAAGATAGAACGGCGCTTGGGCTCCAATGGGTTGACATCAACAGCGCTTCGCGATGATCGTGGTAGGTTCAAAGAAGAGCTGGAGTTGACTCGTTGTTTCGAGTTGAGGGCCGTAAACTTGAATCGAGAGTCGATCTCTCCTACCTTTGGCTGAGGAGCTCTCTTATGTGCAGCGTACGGGTCATTCATATCGCCAGCTGGCGTGAACGGACGGCTATACGTTGGTCCTGGGCCAGGAATCCGACTCGGACTTGCATCTCGGGAAGTCGGGACAGAGGATTCGTGAGTACTAGGGCCAATAGCAAATGAACCGTGATGCTTGGAGGGGGCGGCAGAACCTGACGTTCGAATTGCTAGGCCATTCACTTGTCCCGAGGATGTTGGTCTAGAGGATCCATTGTTTGTGGTTGTTGGTGATGTGCCAGGCGGGGATATCTGGAGAGTAACGACCGCAGGGCCTACGTCTGCTTCCACCTGTTGCAGAGGTGACACCTTCGTTGTAGACTCAATGGCATCCCTGGATAGCGTCGCCGCAGGTGTGATAGGCGGTGAGTGCATAGATGATGGCCGAGGGCTGTGACGAGGCGACTGCCTGTTCGACGGCGTACGGGTGCTGTGTCGACTTGCTTCTCGAGAACTATCGTCGTGGGAGTTAACCTATAACGAGGGATGAATATAGGTTCAGGATGAGGGAAGAACCAAAGAACGGAAGGATGAGAAAGAAAATATATATAGGAAATGAAAGGTGGTAGGGTGTTAAGGACACTCTATTGACTTTACTTGGTGCCGTGAGGATCTGAAGATCTCATTTGCAATGCATACGAGAACGAACGATGACCCCGGTAGCACAAGGAAACGCCTAGAGCATCCAAAATTGGCCTGCAGAGCCCCTAAGAGAGCACTTGCTCATTTCCCCTTCCGGTTATTCCAACGATGATGAGAGTTTTTGTAGAAACCAAGCCAACATACCCTCGATACCGGGAGAGAGATGGGCTCAAATGCGTACTGGCTCATTCGGCGTCCCTGGAGCTCCGTGCTCTGAAATGACTGTGACATTTCTTTGATGCTCTCCTCTTCCTGATCTGATTTATGTTGTGGTGCGAATGCCGGATCGATCTGTAGGGGTTCGGGCTCGATCTCTTCGTTGGCAGCTGCGAAGTGGACGGTGGGCGACCCTTCTGGTCTTGAACCATTGAGGAGGGACGAAAAGTCGGCGATATGGTCGGAGCCTGCAATCCGAGATGTCTCTTGTCAGAAAATGGGATTGTGAATGAGCCTCTCTCTCTCTCTCTCTCCCCAGGCCTGACCCGGCGGAATCGAAACAGAGGATTGTAAGCACTGACGTACCAATCGGACCCTTGGGAAGATTGTTCCGCCCAGCCATAATTCAGGAGATAGTAGAATAGCGTGTAGCAGGAGCAAAAGCAAAAGTAAGAGCAAGCAGGCGAGTGCGGGGAAGGAATCTTCGTATTCTCTTCTCTTTGATGGCGGGTTCGGCTTGGGGTTTAGCGATGGAGAGACCGTGAGTAGTATGCAAGATAAGACAAGGCGTAGATATTCGAAGGGCAAAGGTCGCCCGTGGTGGGGCGGATAGAAGTCTTGGAAGTTGGATCGGGAGGAGAGATGGAGATGGAGATGCAAGATATCCGATAGCTAGAGATGCAACCCAATCGTTAACGGCGGATTCGACCACGGTCCAGTCCACGACGTGATGATGATGAGGATGATGAGGATGATGATGGTAATGATACCTAATGGTGATGATGATTATGGTGATGGGGACGGCGATAGGGATTAAGAATCCGCTTACGTGCGCGAGTCGTAAAAGCAAGGTAATTACGAAGTAGCTGGAATCAGTTTGGCACCCGGTGGCTCGGATCTGGATAGAAAGGAAAAGTGTCGGAAAATAAGAAAGGGTCGGATAGACCAAGAGCCGGCCTTTCCTCCCAAGCGAGAAAACAAAGCTTCTACTTCTAGAAGGCCTCTAACACGGGACTACGACGACGACGACGACGACGACGACGACGACGATGAACAACAACAAGTCGGTCTCGGCAGAGGTAGTATTAGTTTCATAGCTAACAATGTACCAATTGTTCGCTTACCAAGTATCTAAAACTCCCCTTCTGTATGGCGATTTCATGTGCAAGACATTCCGAGCAGGAAGTGGGCCACCCCCCGGCCGAAAGGGATCTCTATGTCGGAGAGGCTCAGTCGGACTCGGAGAAAAAAAAAAAAGCCGGACTCTGGTAATCGTCTGCTCGCTTAGGTAGGCCTCCTTACATCCTTTCAGTCTTAGTCGGCATAAGCGATTGCGGATCGGAAGCGAATGCGGATTTTTCGAGTATATTAGAAATTCTTTTATACTATAGCAATTACTAATACGATCAAGAAATATTTATATGAATAATTAATTTACGAGTATACTTTCTTTCGAAACATTTAAAATCGTATTATCCGATAAAATATCTGATTACTGATCGACAAGACTTCGAATCATATACCACGGTACAGGCTTAAGTATTATCCCTCGAGGGTAGGGAAACCAGGAGGTTTGAAGTGGAAACTAAACTTTTGAGGCACTTTCGAGGGGTAATACTTAGGCTTGTACCGTGGTATGAAAGGTACTCGAGAAGTTGTAATAAATGCTAAGAGTTAGCTATACTCGCTCAATAACGAAAGGATCAACTAGAAAGCCCAAAAAAAAAAGTCGCAAATGATTTCATTACATCGAAAGCTTAACATCTCAGGTCGATAATAAACTTGTTGCTAAGCAGCAAGCTAAAGAAAATCTCGAATCTGCTGCAAAACAATAACGAATCGTCGATAAGCTTTAAAAAGAAGAAATAGATGCTGAGTATCGTAAAAGAATCGATTTACGCAAAGATAAGCGCGAGCGTAAAAGGATTATACAAAAACGCTTTGCTGCAAGCTTAATTATTGAAGACGACGATGCAATACTTATTCCAATTCTCGATTCGGAAGAGATTTAATAGTTGCAACAACTACTTGATCGTCAAATTCTGCGGCCTCGTAAAAAAAGTATTCCCTCACCAACTCTCTCTCAACCTGAAGGTGTGTTTGGCTCGCAGATGCAAGCCAAGTTGCACTACCAAAATATTCTTGCATCTTCAAGTTGCACGTCAAGATGCAAGAATTGCTTTAATCTGTCTAGCTCGTGCTCGTAAATCTCGCAAAGTGTGCATTTGATCTTGCAATTGCAATTACATTATATAAATCGGACATCGAGCAAAAAGCTCCAAGTCCTAAGTTGCAAGCTCAAGTTGCAAGCTTTTTTCGACCCCCTTTCCTCGCCCCCCCTTTTATTCTATACTCTCTTTCTTTTAAATAATTCTCGACCACGCAACCTCTTCATTATGCTTTCTTCGAAAAATATTCTGAAAAAACGCAATCTGCGGAATCGCAATATTAAAATTAATATCGCTGCAATAAAAGCTTGCGCCGCCGTTCAATATTATAAAAACAAATTCGCAAAAACGCTTTAGCATACCTCCGATCTAATAAGCCTCTAATAAATAGAAAAGCTTTTTGTAAGCCACTTATTACGAATTAAAAATAGCTTAAGAGTTACTCGAGAAGGATTTCGATACATTCGAGACCTTTGCGCGCTTTTTTTTTTCGTGCAATAAGTTCTTTAATAGTTTTTTTAACAGCCTTAAACTTGAAAAAAAGACTTATAATGTCAGAAGGTAGTAGTAGCTTGAAGACAGGTAAAGATAGAAGTATAAGAGCGTAAAAGTATATAATGGTAGTGAACTGATCTCTGGGGCTCTAAGAGCATCCTCGGATCAGTATATATGCTTTACGTTATTACTAAGACTAAGGCCCCTTAATCTCTTATAATATGATGCGAGATTATGATACGCATTATCAGAATCTCTAACTTATCGGATCCTCATCTTAACTATAAGTGTAGCGAGGACTTCCCGGTAGTTATACGGATATTGAGTATCCGAGTAGAGTATTCCTGTCGGGTGTGACATGATAATCCTGTAAGGTACAATTATTGTCACGCATGACATACAAAAAGAGCCTCCGTAATAGTAAATCTCGAATTCAAAAGGATCGACATAATAGCGTTATTAATATCGAGTTTCTTATACTACAACTACCCCCTCCCATGAATAAATGTCGGACCCAGTTTAGGCCCATAAATCATAGAGGGGTGGTTTCTTAATGGCTCAAAGCCCTGTCAACTCCATTGTATAGACTAAATACTGGCTCAAAGATATAAGTTGATTGGTTTAAGCCCTGGTAAGATTCCCTGCGAAATTATACTTTCGACATTTATTCATGGGAGGGGGTAGTACGTAGTATTAACAGATAATTAGTAATTATAACAATGAATTTAATTTTTTCTTTAAGTCTTAAATTGCAGTTTGCTATTTAATTTGCTAGTTGCAAGCCAAGCATGCCTTAATCCGTGCAACTTCTACTACTGTATCGAGTTGAGTTAATCTTACTACTATTTAAGATCAACTCAATTGCTCACTTGCACGGACCTGCAACTGCAAGCTAAACATACTACTAGTACAGTACCCTACTCTCCTCCCTCATATATAAATATCGAAAGTATAATTTCGCAAGGGATCTTACCAAGGCTTAAACCAATCAACTTATAAGGATCTAGCTTTGAAAAGTGTCTTTGAGCAAGTATTTAGTCTATACAGTGGAGTTGACAGGGCTTTGAGCCATTAAGAAACCACCGCTCTATGATTTATGGGCTTAAACTGGGTCCGACATTTATTCATAGGGGGGAGAGTAATTAGTAAACCTTTTCTCGATAACGATAATTTAATAATTACAACCGATACTATTAAAGACCCCTCTTTAAAGCAAGATATTTTTCCTTTTCTTAATATTAATATCGATAGCGATGGCTTTCATGCTAATAATAATAGAGATTCAAATTAATAGTAAAATAGAAAAATCCGCATTCCCTTCCGATCCGCAATCGCTTACTTTTTTTAAGACTGAAAGGATGTAAGGAGGCCCACCTAAGCGAGCCGACGATTAGCCAAGCGCCAGCTTTTATTTTAAGATGCAACCTAGTACCACGGTACAGGCCTAAGTATTACCCCTCGAGGGTGCCTTAAAAGTTGAGTTTCCACTTTAAAACCCCTGTTTTCCCTACCCTCGAGGGGTTATACTTACGCCTGCGACGTAGTAGTAGGTGCTCTTGTTGATTGGATTGATCAATAGCTAAGCATTCCCCAAAATGCATTCCTCTAGTCTACCGGTACCTACCTTGTTATGTGTGGAGCTGCTACTTAGAATCATGAGCCTTAGTACCCAACCTCGGAAGATATCCTTCTCCCGCTTTTCTCGAAGAAGCATGCATCTTGACGCAGTAAGAAAGTACAGTAGCGTCGGCGTCTTTCACGCACCGCGGCTGCGAACGATTCTCGGCGCGCCCTTTTGGCATGGAATTATAAGGGATACCGACATGTTTATATTTGTATTTCTGCACCTTTTACAGCACGAACCGAGATTTAGGAGACTGGAAGTGACTGTGTTCCCGCGGCCTGTGCCCTTGCTGCTGACTCTTGAGGTGGTGGTACTGCATGCTGTGATGCTGTACTTCAAGTAGGTAGGTGCTGTACCGTTGACGGGCAGCTGTGGCACCCTGGAATATGTGTACCAGCTGGCCGGGTTCCCATCCTTTTCTCCGATAATTTATTTCTAAAAGTAACGTCGACATTTTCAAATTGAAAAGGAATATTGCAATACTACCGGTATAATTAAGCTGGCCGGGTTCCTATCCTTCTCTTCGATAAATTATTTTTAAAGTGACGTCGATCTTTTTAAATCGAAAAGGAATATTGCAATACTATAAATAATTGATTAAGCAAATTTGATTTTATATTTAAGATAATATCTTCGATATAAGAACAAGAAGATAATCCTTAATTCATCATCATCATCTTCTACTGCAAGCATTACAAGCTTAAGCATTGTTTTCTTTCATCAGCTCGCATCAATAAAAGACTTTATACTAACACGATGCTACGATTGCAATCTACCTTCGCACTTTTGCTAGCCTTGAGCCTCTTCTTCAATAAAGCTCATGGATTTTGGTGGCCGTGGAGTAAAAGCCAAGTCATCGGCTATGCAATGGTTTCCGAAGTAAGTTTTAAACTTGATTATGTTTATGTAAAATAAGCTCATATATTAATTACGCGAATTACAGGAGCACGCTGATCTAATCAATACGGAAAACGATTTAGTTGTAGAAGATACTACAGACTATCAAATAGGACCTGGCTTTTACCTTCGTGAGTTAATTTATATAAACCGCTACTTGGTACGCAGAGCTAATAATCTAAACTAGGAGACAAACCTAGCTGGGAAAGTCAAGCAGGAAAATGGTATTGTGTTGTTAAAGCGGACAAGAAAAAGATGAAAGAAATCCGCAAAACGTTGATCCCGGAATATTACGAATCAAATATTAAGCCTGGTCGGAAGCAAAAAATACAATTATGGGGCGCAGAAGAAGAAGTCATCTTGCACTACATCCGAAGTTATCAAAGGATGTATGAACCCGAGGAAGTGCTGCGATTTTCTCGGATTAATGGCCTCGATCAGCAACTACAGATGAATATTCCAACAAAAATGGCAATTGACGGTGATTTGGGTTTCTGGGCCAAATGCTTTGAAACAAAAGAAAAGCTAAGGAAATATTCGGACAAGACTATTGAGTGGGAACGCGATTGGATGCCTCGTATCCGTCTCGGGAGAGCTACTACGTCGCAGGCGTAAGTATTACCCCTCGAGGGTAGGGAAAACAGGGGGTTTAAAGTGGAAACTAAACTTTTGAGGCACCCTCGAGGCATAATACTTAGGCCTGTACCGTGGTAGCTAGTAGTAGTTGGAGGAGTTCACTCGTGAACCAGGGTTCATGGGTCACTTAGCATGCCTCGCTTAGCATATCACAATTCAAAGGACTCCTAACTTGCTTATAAAACTTAATAGCTAGCTAGTGCACGTGATTTCTTCTAATTGTACAAAAGGAATCAGCTCCCATAAACCTTAAGGAGCAAACAGAAATAAGATACTATTACAACCGAGTGATTTGCAATTGCAAGTACTTTAACGACCCTTACGAAGTTACGAATATATTCCCCGATCGCTAAAGGCAATCCAACAGGAAGATCCAAAGTGCGTAAGGGAGGGTGTGGATCACGTAAGGGACATACGGGACATACGGGACATACGGGACATACGGGACATACGGGACATACGGGACATACGAAGGGCGTTGGCATCTAAGGTCACATGGTTGTGAGGTGATAGAATGGACAATTCGGCCAAGGCTGAGGTGTGCACGGACCCCTCAATGGACATATCTCCTCTTGTAAATGTACTTTGCAGCTCTTATTGTACGAAGTTCCTGGCCACCTTTGATATATAGCCTGTAAACGCCGCCGCCATGTTGTAGATTACAAGTCGGATCGGTATCCCATGCTTCGCCCGTTCATATTTCCCCACACAACCTTTACTCGTCCCTCCTTTATATCCTTCATATCCTTCTCTGCCACAAAGCCGATTGATATGTAAAGCCACCTCGTCCTAAAACCACCTCCGCCTCCCTCCTCTTCCCACCCCCCTTTCAATTCCAAATCCGTTCCTGCTTAACCTCCCTAGGCCTTAACCTCCACTCCCACACTCTTCGCGCTACTAACCACGCTCTTACACAGGCCCTCCAGACTCAGCCCACTCAGCCTCAACTCGCTCTGCTTGATCTTCGCAATCTCAAAGACGTGCTTGAGGCTCACGCTGCCCACAATCTCACTCCCACTCTTCCCCTTCAGCTTCCCCTTCTTCAGCTCCACGTTCGCCGCCCGCAGCAGCAGGTAGGTCGTCGTTGGCGTCCGGATCTCGAAGTGGAAGGACCGGTCCGGCCGGACGGTGACGCGCGCCGGCGTCGGGGTGCCGGGGATCATGTGCGCCGTGCGGGCGTTGAATTCCTGCGTTGGGCGCGTAAGTCATTGTCAGGTTCCTGGTGTTGCAAGGAAATGATGTGGGCTTGTGGGAGGGATTTTGTTTGGCTGGTAATGCGTGGGAAGGGGGAGAGGGGGCCAAGTTACTTTGCAGAAATCAATTGATTTCACTCCTTTGCTTCCCAGCGCAGGACCGACGGGCGGACTGGGCGTTGCTTGCCCGGCGCCGACGATGAGCTTCACGATCTGGTCCGCTGATTGTTTAGCGCGCGACATGGTTGCGGTTGTGGTGTGTTGTGTTGAGCCGCAGGCTGCGGACCTGAATCTGACTCTTGATGTTGTGGCGCAGAATTGTGGCTAATGAGAAAAGATCACATGACGGCAACGATCGATGCGAGGGTCTGGAAAGATTTTATTTTTTCCCGAGGGATCTAACGAGAGCTTAGTCTGCCTTGTAATTTCGTGAGATTGGTCTTTCTTTGGGTGGTTGAGGCGGATACGTGCGCCGCAGTCAATCAAGGACCTTCTTTCATACACGAATCTAAGCATAAACCCCAAGGAAATGTCCAAACGCTTTGTGTGACTTCTAAAGGGACGTATAAAACGCAATCTGAATGCAGCGGTATAGGCTTCTTCCCAAGGTTTTCATTACCGGTACTCCTTCCATTCCTTCTTCTTCCCGGTTCATCGCAACCCCCAGCCAAGCTCCCACGGACCCATGACCCATCCTGCCACTGAACAGCTTCTCCTGACCGTCATCATCTCATGCTTCAGAGTAGCAGAAGAACCTCACGATTGAACTAACCAAGCATTTGAATTTGTATTTGTGTAGCATAGTCCTTGGTCCCTGGATGGGTGTCACTTGCCTCACCAGCCGCAAGCCAGACAAAGCATCGACGTTTCATGGACTCGTCAAACATTACACTGCCAAGAGAATGCCTATGATCGTGGACTGCAAGAAGCCCAGAAGATCAAGAACATGGCCATGTGGATATCGGAAGAAGGCGAGAATGTTCAGAGATACTAAAAGCTACATATTGTTGATATGGAGCTCCCAGACGGACCACACAATCACTCAGGCGAATCGGGATTCCTGGTCTCCCGACATTGTGATCTGTCTTGGCTGCGGCATAATCGAAGAGGGGATGAAAACCCAAGCGCCGTTCCAGAATTCGGTTGGGATGGTTGGCTTGTTGTTTTGCGTTGAAGACATACAGCTGCTGAGACATGCAGCCGCTAAACATGACAACGGTCTCGATTCTCCATTCCCCGAAGCCCCTCTATCCCTAGCTACAAGGAGTTCAGATTATCACTTACCCCACAGCCTTCACCATGGGAAAGGAAAGGCTTATTGGGAAATACTGCTTCGGGTTAGAGCCATGGAGACTCTGTCGCATGTAATCGCACAGCTGCTCCAGAAGGGAAGAAGGGTACCACGACTAGGTGATCTCGGACAGGATGTTGTATAATGAATGGATACTTGATGCTCGCGAGTCCGTGGGGAGACCTCAAGGCAGAGTTGGGAGCGGTGCTCAACGGGCCGGCAATAGCAACAGCAATAGCAACAGCAGCGACTGACTGGTTCACTTGTAAACAAGCTTAGAAAGGAGGTGCCCCTGAGAAGGCGAGAGGCCACCTGAAACTGCGGGTGGTGGCTGGACAGACAATGATGAACCAGATCTGAAAGGGGCATCAGCATCAGCATCAGCATCAGCATCAGCACCAGCACCAGCACCGCGACTCGACGTGCCCGGACCCGCGTTGTGATCTGATACCCGGATACCGACTTTGACAATGGCATGGCCCGATTGTTGATCAAGACAAGGGTGTAAGCGCCGGGGACAAGCCTGTAGCTCGTTTAATCCCCGCGCCCGAGCCTGTTGTCCCCGTTTGCTGACATCACCGTGAGAAGGCGAGGCGAGGCGAGGCTTTAATCCAAAACTTCAGTTCCGTTCATGAAAGAGATATAACCACACTCCAGAACAACTCAACTCTCTACCTCACAATCACCTCACATCCACTTCACCTCCATTTCGACCACCACCTCGACCACCTCGACCACCTCGACCACCTTAACCACCTTAACCACCTCGCCCAGTTGGATATCCTCCACCCACCAACATACACACAAATACTACCGTACCGCACCTACCTTCAAGATGATGTCCTGGGCCCAACGCAAGTATGTCGAATCTCCCTTGTGTGGCTCGATGCTTGCTAACCACTTCTCCCCCTCAACAAGGTTGGCTGATGTCGCCGGCACCCGTGAACCCATATACGGCACCGACGCGATCCAATCGGTCGAGAGACAAACGGCAGAAACACCCTACACCGAGATCCAGAGAGAAGGGTTCGCCTGGGCCGCTATGAACGTAACGTCCGTAGAGACCGAGGTTTTCTATCTGCAGGCAAAGACGGGGCAGACTGCATTTGTGCAGGTGATTCACAGCAACGTCGGGTATGGGTCCTCCACCAGCTTCCCCGAGGAAAGAATCGCAAAGGCTAACCAACCTGCAATGAAGTGGACTCCGAACAACCTCCCAATTCAACTGCAAAATATACTACCCGAAGAAGGACAATAAGCCCAGCTTGTGGTCCTCTGATCAACTCAATGACGTCGACTTCAGTGATGACATGAACAGTTTCTACGCGCAGAATCTGGCCGTTGAGCTCTCTGAAGACGGCAATACATACACAATTAAGTCTCTGACGAACGAAGCCTCTGTTGTCAACCTCACTGTTACCCGGAAAGCTCCCGGCATCCACGTTGGGAAGGATGGTACCTCGTACTTTGGGACAGATCCCAAAGCACCGTGGGGGAAAATAAGACACGCCTTCTGGCCAAGTGCTATTGGCTCGGGAACAATCACGACTGCGGACGGGCCTATCGATTTCACGGGCAACGCAATTTTCATCCATGCTCTGCAAGGTATGAAACCTCATCACGCTGGTGCGAGGTGGAAATTCTGCCACTTTCAAAGCGAAAACTACTCGGCCATCATGATGGAATTCATTACTCCCGCTTCGTACGGAAACACGCCTGTTACCGTGGGTGTAATCGCCAAAGGTAGCGAGATTGTGATTGCTGGATCGTCTGGTAAAGCTACTTGGACCAAGGTCAAGGCCGACACGGTGAGCGGGTGGTCACCTCCAGAGGCTGCAAAGGTCGAGTGGAGCGGCAAGACAAAGGATGGGAAGGATGTAACCGCAGTCATTGATACCCCCCTCTCCGACCACTTTGACCGAATCGACATTATGGCGGAAGTCCCAGGTTTTGTCAAGACGATTGTAGCGGGAGCCGCCGGAACAAGACCATACATTTACCAGGTATGCCTCCTTTCTGCTTTCCATCCTTCATCTTCTAACGTTCTTTCAGTACCCGAATACCCCCACTTCCCTGAAGATCAAGGTTGGAAACGACGAGATCAACGAGCAAGGAACGCTGTACACGGAGGCAACCTTCATATCAGAATGACCCATCCCTTTGAGCGCTCATAATATTGCATGATTCAGTTCCTTGTTTGTTTATCAACCGGGTCGGCGTTGAGCAGAGGCAATGAACCACATTCGTTGGGTATAAATAGGCTGCATTGCGACTGGTGGCCAGGTTCTTTGGTAGTGTGGTTAATGATTTTGTAGAGTTGAGTCAATATAAATCTTGACCTCCATGCTTCTCTTCTTCTTCTTCATCTTCTTTTTTCGACGAGATGAATCATGCTGTTACAGCTTTTTCAAAGTGACCTTCATCTTGAACTTGAGCTCGTCAGATTCACCTCCGTACATTTGAGACCTCCCAAAAACACGCTAATGTCGCACGGGCCACAGTCACGCTCCCCACCCTAGCTTGTTTACAGATATGAAGTAGGTACTAAGAGAGGAAACAAGGAGCACAACGCCACCCATCGACATCAACGCTCTCAACCCCAGGTTCGCTTTGTTCGGAAAATCAATTTTGAGCCTCTCGAAGTCGAAGAGATACACGATGCCGCCATTTACACCCGTAGGGCGTCGCTCAGATGGCCGACCCTCGGTATCAGGAAAGGGCTCCAAGACCGTGGCAGCCGGCCGGGGCAAAGCAAGCAAGGGCCTCGGCCTCGGAAGGGCAGGAAAAGGGAAGGGACTGGGCGTGCCATTGCGCAAGCAGTACGTGGTCAAGGCTACTTCGTAACCTTTCCCTGGGTTACTCATTCCGCATCTTTATGCTAACTCCTATTTTTCGCGCAGGAGCCGCAAGATGATTAAAGATACCATCCAAGGCGTCAGTAAGTAGTGACGAATCTGCTCTTGCGATACTGAATTAGTTATCTAACAGTGTGTCAACAGCCAAGGGTGATATCCGGTATGTACCTCCACGTGACGAGGGTGGAGTTTGGAAGCACGCATTTCCAAACTCCGGACTTTCATGGTGCAGAGAGAAGCTGACAATTGCAGACGTCTGGCTAGAAGAGGCGGCGTCAAGCGCATCTCCGCTGGCATATACGATCAAGTTCGGTCCGCTTTGAAAGATCGCTTATCAGAGGTAAGTACACTTTCTCTGATTCGAATCGCAAGACTGACATTAGCACGCAGATTTTGAGGATTGCCGTGACTGTCACGGAGTATCAGCAGCGAAAGACCTGCACTGTTATGGATGTGGGTACATGTCTGATTTACGATATTGGGTGACGCTCATTGCAACAGGTTGTCTTCGCGCTCAAGAGACTCGGCCGTCCAATCTACGGATTCGATAGTGAAAGTTTCCAACCCAAGTCGAGGACCGGAAAGTAATAATGAGCATGTCTAACTTCAAGGCTTGGAGATCGTGTTCACTCACTTTCGGAGCGGCACTCTCTCTGGTTTTCTTCCACGAATACCGCGACATGCACACTCCCACTTTCGGGCACGTTTGAGACAGGTTATGGGCTTTCCGGACGCTTCGACAATAATTGTTCAGATTAGGCCTGGCGTTTGTTTTTGATGGTACCAGCTTCGGTCTCATTTGGTTTGGGAGATATGCATTTGTGGCTTTTCGCTTGTAGGAGTATTCGATGAGAATGTGTGATACCCATGGAGGCTGGATGGGTGGGAGGCATACGATCCTTTCATTAGGTTTTCTTCTGACTATGCTAAATGGAATGATAATACGAACACTTTTCTGAATCCGCACGCCTTTTTCTTATGTCACTTAGTAATTCGTTCGCTCAGTCCCCAACGAAAATGGAACCCCCTTCCGCTCTGTATCCTCTTGATCCTTACTCCGTACTCCCCCTAGACTCTCTGTTTTTTCCCTTCTGAAACCTATAGAATCGATGTGCGCGACTCTGTATACAAATCCAGCGCTCTGCACTACTCCCTAGGTCCAGGACGGCAGGCTAGCCTGCAACCCGCCAGATGCAAGGCAACATAACGACAGCAAGAAAAGTACTCCTCATGTACTCGCATTCGCTACTTACACTCATCCTAGTCTTTACACTCAACTTCCTACCCCTAGCACTCGTCCTCCCCTCTTCCTTAATCAGCCTCTTTCTAGTCCGCCTCGCCCTGTGATACAATCTATCCAAACTCTCCCTCCTGGTGGCTTATTACTTTCCAATACTATTTCATTTCTTTGCTGCTGTATAATCCCGGTCTTGCTGCCTGCGAAAGAGAGAGATGGTTATCAGGCTAGACGAAGATTGAGCATCCGAAAACAGCTCGCATATAGTAATGCTTTGCATGTAACATATCGAACAGAGAAATGGAGCTCTACTACGTGACTATCAAATTGAACGCTCGCGCAAAGCAATCTACTTCTGATACCCGGAATTGAGGTTGCTGTAAACATTATCGATGCCAAGAGAGCCGAAGCGAAATCAGCTAGCTGGTTCCCCGACGTAGAGCCGAAAAAAGTCCTAGAGAACCAGAACATTCGAAGGCCGGAACGACAACATCAGCACATAATACCTCTTCACACTCTCCCGAACCCAATTTCTGCAACTTCATTTAACGGCCTCTCAACTTATTCTTGGAATCACAGTTCTACCGCAAACATGGTATGGCGTTCCCTTGTATCCTACGAACAGGAAGGAAAGGAACAGTTGCGGGAGCTCAGCAGCAGACAACCTGCAGCTTTTCCCTTCCCCCATTCCCACTTGTGCTGCAATCTCTCAAGGATACCGCATTGCCTGATTCAAGCTAACTTCATTGTGTTGCAGTCCACCACTCTGAAATCCATCCGCTCCCTCGCGCCCCTCCTTGACCGCGTCCTCGTGCAGCGCATTAAGGCCGAGACCAAGACTGCCTCGGGTATCTTCCTGCCCGAGTCCGCCGTCAAGGAGCTGAACGAAGCAAAGGTGCTGGCTGTTGGTCCTGGAGGGCTGGACAAGGATGGCAAGAGAGTGGCTTGTGGTGTTAAGGCTGGAGACCGGGTTCTGATTCCTCAGGTGGGTTTAGTACTTGTCATTCGAGGGTCTGTAGAGGGAGTGCTGGCTGTGTCTATCGAGAAGTCGGGGAGATTAGGGATTGACTTAAGAGGAATGGAGATGTTCGATATTGGGATGGATAGGGCTGATAAGAGTAGTACGGTGGTTCCCCAGTCAAGGTCGGAGACGAGGAGTACTCGCTCTTCAGAGATCACGAGTAAGTTACTTTACCCGCACCCACATGAACAGCGTCTGACTTTACCATAGTATTCTTGCAAAGATCAACGAGTAAACGCCAAAAATCTGCGATTCGCCGAGAGGGAGGGACGAGAGCAAGGGTAATGTACAATACGTGTATAAAAGCATAGCGAGCGACGCACTGGAAGCTTGATGGATACCGAATCGATGGTGTGAGAGGTAGAGAGACCTGGATGTAAGCTCGGGGAGGGAAGAATAGCTGGTTGGTGATGTGAAATGATATCTCCTCTCTTGTGTGCACTTTCTGCTTCTTGGGTATTCGTTCTTTTTTTCGCTGTGGATTTTGGGTTATTGTTGTGCTTGGTAACTTTCTGATGCGAGTCGGTGAGTCAGCATATTTGTGATGATTGTGATAGAGGGCTAGTCGTCGTGGTCACTTCTGCCGAAGCAAATGTGGCTTTCTAGGGAATCATATAGGCTGGCTAGATACCTGCTCTTCCTTCCTTTCAATGTCTCGGGGTTTTCTTTTCCTTTTCCAAGGCCTACAGACGTGCAATTGTTGCATAGCAGGCGTATCAGGTAGAGAATATGTTCAATGTTTCTCTCGCATATCCTTTGCTTTTAGAGCAGTGCTTAGAATTCTCCATTCTTCAGGCAAATTCTGTCTTTCAAAATATGCTGCACTTTTGCCATTTGAATTATTGCTTTCCCTTTGCCGTGACTTCTTTCTACTTCTGGTCCTTAGCGAATCAGATATTCCTCCTTCCACCCCGTGTGAATGCCCACACAATCTCACGACCGACCGCTCCCTTTACATTGTAGCGCAGAAGGTCCAATCACACTGTCGCTTGAATCAGAAGCCTTCTACCATCTCTTCCCCCCTCCAAAGATATTTAAGAACTTCCTGTGTGACATTCCTCTTCAACCCTTTTCTCTCTTTCTTGCCAAGAATTCCCAAATACAAGCAACCTTCTATTCTACACGACTGAACCCCCTGAAATAAGAAGCCTATTGCAGGTCGCAAATATGAAGGTTAGCAAGGCGGTATTTGCTCTCGCGCTCGCTCTCGCGGGACTCGGGGGGGTGGCTAGCCACAGCGCGTTTACGAATCTCTTCGTCGATGGCGCGGATCAAGGCGATGGCACATGCGTTCGTATGCGTATGGACCCTGGTACAGCGACGAATCCTATCAATGACCTTGAGAGTGGTGAGATGGCTTGCGGTAAGCTACTTTTATCATCATCTTCTTCTTCCTCTGCCCATCTCCCTTCTGGCTCTCTGCCTTCTCTGCCTTCTCTGCCTTCTCTGCCTTCTCTGCCTTCTCTGCCGCTCTGGCTCTCTGGCTCTCTGGCTCTCTCAACCTTATACTGACGATAGACACTAGGATTTGATGGCACCAAAGGCGTCGCTCGAGTCTGCCCTGCCAAACAAGGATCCAAGCTAGGCTTCGAGTTCCGCGACGTCCCCGACCATTCTTCGCCTGAGTCAATCGACAACTCCCACAAAGGTCCCTGCTCCGTCTTCATGAAGCGTGTGGACTCAGCGATTACCAACACAGGCGTTGGCGACGGCTGGTTCAAGGTCGCTTTCACTGGCTACGATGCCGCGACCTCGAAATGGTGCACCGAGACGCTGCGAGAGAAAAACGGCATCATCACCTTCCCGATTCCGAATGATCTCGCTGGTGGCTACTATCTGGTCAGACCGGAACTCCTTTCGTTGCATCAGGCTGATAAGAATCCGCCAAATCCGCAGTTCTATGTAGGCTGTGCGCAGATATTTTTGGAGAGTAAAGAGACAAAGGTACCGAGTGAGACGGTCAGCATCCCGGGGTATGTGAATATCAGCAACCCGGCAGTGCTGTTCAATATCTATGACCCCAAATGGCCCTACCCCGAGCCGGGACCGGGTGTTTACAAGGCTGGGAAGAGCCCTGCGATGACTGTACAGCGAGTGAGAAAGCAGACGGAGGGACTGCTTCCAGCAAATGCGGAGATGACGAATGCGAATTGGTGGGGTGTAAAGCTGGATGATTACCATACCCAAAATGGGTGCTGGAATGTATGTTACTTCTTTTCAATATTGTGAGACAAGCCCAACTGACCACGAGAACAGGCAAGCACGTCGTGCTACGCTCAAGTCGAGAAATGCTACAATTCTGCTCCACCTACTGGATCTAAGAACTGCAGACTTTGGGAGAGCAAATGCAGCGGTATTCAGAAGGCTTGTGGCCAGGGAGTCTTCCATGGACCGCCGAAGTATTCTCCGACCGGGCCGTTGCGAGCAGGGGCGAAAAACCAGCAGAGGAGCGATTTAATATTTGTCGACGATGGACATAACTCATCCACAGATCCGGCTCACTCTGCAGGAATAAGCTTCATTCCTAGCACCTCCACAGCCACCATCTATGTGCCGGTAGTGAACGATGGCAGCGGCACATTACAGGCCTTCCTATCTTATTCCAATGCTCAACCGGATGTTTTGTCAACGCCAGGACCGTCCGCATCTATGAGTCTGAGCTCTATGTCTTCATTGACTATGGATGCTGGGGGAAGCTTGCTTTCTACCAGCTCCGTCTTAGGAACCATTGATAAAGGCCTCAATCCTGGGACCCTCGTTACCACGATCTTTGTCGATCATATGGCTCCCCATGTCGTTACACTCACGTCCACCACAGACCCCGGAACTCCAGGCTCGTGGCTTCCTAGCTTTGCTGCGAGCTCTCCTAGCTCGCCAACTAGCCAACCAGATATAACTCCTATATCTCTTGAGTACACATTGGCTATTTCAAGTCATATTACAGCACCATTGACCTTGGCCACTAGACCAGTCAACTCTGCAACCCCGGGCTTTGAGACTCCAACTCCTGGATTGGCAAGCTCTGGTTCTCTAAGCTTATCGCTATTCAACTCTTTACCGACTACGTTACCAGTGTCGGCTGCTACATTTAGGACGCCTGATTCTCTTGATTTTGGTGGCAATGGAGTCACTGGGTTTACCTTTACGACTTTAGCGCCAGCTCCAGCTCCAGCTTCGGCATCATCGACTTCAATTCAGTTCGCAGCTACTCTTCCAAGCTCTGGTACGACATACAGTGTTACAGCCTCTACGGACCCTGGGATTGAAGAAACCAGCTTTTTTGGGTCGTCTTCAACTGACACCGGCTTCCCTAGCATTCTTTCGGGTGTTATAACCAGTGTCACCATCCTTACTGGCCCCGCCGGCGGACTTAGCAGCCCTATAGGACTTTCATCAACGAATATGGACTCTCCATGTCTCACCTTCTATCAGATCTCGAGCTCAATTCCAGTTATGGCTAGCTTTTCCTCGTCTTCCGCACCAATTTCGAGCCCATCAACGATTTGGGCTCGCTTGACGAGCATAGGCACAGATGCGCCAGTGTCTTCGACAAGCTCATACACCCTGAGTACGGCTTCGGTCTCAGAACCCTCTTTTAGTACGGGTACATCAACACCTTTGTCTCCGTCAAGCCAACAGACCTCGAACACACCTTCGATGACTGCTTCCTATTCAAACACAGCCCTAGACCCATCAGTCTCCTCGTCAAGCCTACAGACTACCAGCCCACCATCCTTTTCAACCACAGTCGAAGACTCAGCAGTATCATCGTTAAGTCAACAGAACATGGGTCCATCATCCGCCACCGCCTTACTCGAAATACAAAGCGCAACCACCGCGAGCATCCCCCCATCCACATCACCAAGTCCATCGATGTCAGACTCCCCTTTCCTCACCATAGCCTCCAACAATCCCACCTCATATCCGTCCACATCTAGCATACCCGACATCGAAATCATCCCCGTCACCGCCGACGACGCCCCCTTCTCCGCACAAGCACAAACCGAGATCGCCGGTCCGACCCCCTCATCAATCACCGCGACCAAGTGGTCACCCGACGCAACCTGCGGCGGGGGCAACAACTACGTCTGCCGGGAATCCTGCTGCTCTGTGGACGGCTGGTGCGGTACGGATCACGATCACTGCGACGAGCTGTTCTGCCAGAGAAAGTGGGGGCTGTGCGGGGGGGAGGGGTTGCAGTTCGCGGGCTTCAGAGCGAGCGTTCGCGTGAAGAGGATGCTGAGGAGGGGGTGGAGGGGAGAGTGAGCAGTGAGGCGTGAAGGAAGACAAGCGGCTAAAGGAAGAGAAGAGAGGAGGAAGAGGCGATGATGGGTCCTCGTGGGTGTGTGTATATTGTGTAACTCTCAATCTGCGTAAGGAGTAAAGCCTGTAAACATCGTTTTTTTTTTTCTCTCGGGTACTCTTTCTTTTTTGGGGGGTGGGAGGGGTTAGGGTATTTGGCCGAGAGAGAGAGACCAAGAGATCTATCTCTACTTGGCCCGTATTGTATTTTCGACGCGGGATTCCGCCTGCCTTTCGGTTCGGGGGGTAGGGGGGGGGTTTCCCTCGCTGGACAGGTAGCTATGGCATTCCCTCCTCTCCTCTTCTCCACCAATCCAATCCATCAGATTAAAATCTATCGACGTCTTGGAAGCTTTTAAAGATCCCTCCCTTGTTTATCTTTTCCCCTGCCTCGTCGTCGATAAGCTTGTAGTACGTACTCGACTACCTACCTATTAACAAAGCCTACCTCCGCGAACACCGCACCACTCTTTACTATCGCTCCATATCTTCTATTATGGCATGGCATGGCATGGCAGACACCACTACACTCGCTCACTATCCCTATCACCTTCCCGCGTACCCGTCCGCCTCGCATTTCTCTTTTCCTCTTTTTTTTCTTTCTTTGCGAGAAGTGTTGATCGTTGGTGCTTGTGCTCGTGCTTGTGAGGAGCAGGTATTGTTAATTGCAGGGGTGATTATTATTGTGGTGCTGGGATGTGCTGAGCCTCGGCGGTCGGTTGATAGATGCGATGTCTTTTCCTGTTGGGAATATTCTTGTCCGGATGGGGTTGAATGAATAAATGGTATTGATTGATATTGGGCAAACGCCAGGTTTTTCTTGAATTGCGCTATATTCTGGCTTGGATATTATGAGTATATTGCAGTATGCACGGAGTTTTTGTAATAGATACTTAGGAAGACAAATGCCTGTGCCTGGCCGAACTCTGATGATATCTTTTCTTGTGGTGAATTGTCCCTAAAGGGACTCGAGTGGTAACGATTGAAGATGAAGCGGAGGATAAGCCTGGCTTGGATATGTCGAGAAAGCTCTAATTGGCACACGAAAACAAAAACATATGCCAGTAAGACATGAAGCATATCGGCATGCGGGTATTAAAGTGAGTGAGTCCGAGTCACATAGATCGAAGTGATTCGCTTAGCGAGTTGACATTTACGTTTTCTCTCGGCGCTGGGCTTCGTATCTGTGAAAGTCTCGGTTGGATAAGCAATCGATCTCATGTCTCTATCAGCTCTTACTATATTTGAATCTTTGCTAATCTTTTCTAAGCAAAATATGTCGGCGAGAGACTGGCTCTCGCTTGTCACTCAGATTTTGAACCAGCGTGAATGTTGAAAAGTTAATCGGAGCTTTGGAAGGCGCCTAAAGAAGCAATGTGGAAATTACCGTATCCAGTATTGTCTTTTTCGGTCTTGTTCTTGGGTTATTCGCACCAGAGAAAGAGAGAGAAAGAGAAATGGTGTGGTCCGGCCATACTGATTCCGGGCCAGTGTCATTCGTAAAGTGATTGTTCTCAGCTGTTTAATCTCCCAGGTACCGAGGGACCTTCTACTGCCAATTGTGTTCCAGATCCGTTTCTTCTGCGAACGTGGAGCTGTTGATACATCTTCAATGTGAACAGACTTCCGGTCATGGAATTTTATACGAAATCTTCGAGGCAGCCAGATTGTTACGATGCCAATAGGTGGCTTGCTGGTGACGGTGATGTTGTCAATGGAGACAGCAGTAGGTGATATATTTATGTATACAAACATTTATATACTCTGTACATATACCATTCCGTACCTGTTGTGTCGTCGTCTCCTTTCCCAATCGTGTCCGTCCTGGCTGGGTGGCCCATGCGTTCGTTACCTCTGTAATTGCGACCGAGACTGAGACCAGCTCTCCATCTCCATTTCCATACCTGCACCAACCCCCTGGTACATCTCGGAATACCCTCAAAATCCGCAGCTTGTAAAGCATAGCAACCTCGCCGACGATTACAATACGATCCCCCTTCGTCCAGCGTCAATAGGATCTTCTCACAATGGATTTCTCTGATATTTTGTGAGTGTTGCTGAGCTCTATGCAGATGGATGCCCTCTGCCATTGCGCATGCGCCTCCTCCTCTGAACATCTGCTAATCGATACGTTTTCTGCAGCCGCATTGTCAACTTGGCCGCAGGCGGCCTCATGGTGGTAGGAGGCGTCTTCCACGCCTTTCCCGTCTCGATGTGAGTCTTTCGCGACAACAAGAAGCTTTTCCAGGCACTAATACATGGTTCTAGCACACATGTCGTGATCTCCGTCTACATAATCATGTTTGGCCTTGGTAAGGACCCCTTCTCCCTGGCAATAAGCCCTCTGCTAACTCTCTGCCCAGCAACTGCGCTACTCGGTTCGTCCTCCACAGCCTCCCTCGAGTCCTGTTCGCATACTGACCCCGAATCCAGAATTCCAGATTCCTCCCCAAGTAGCTCGATACGCCTCGTTTCTCTTCTCGTTCGTCGGTCGCGGATTCTTCTACATCTTCATCGGTACCCTTCTCTTGGATTACGGCATCCTTGACATTATCATTGGTACTCTCATAGGCATCGTTGGCCTCGGATACGTTGTCCTCGAATTTATTCCCTCCATCGAACCACCGCAGAACATGCGCGAGGCAGACGGTGGATGGGGTGCTGAGCAGGTTTAAGGGAGATGGGACGATATTGTCTACGGGAAAGGAACTCTGATGTGGATATACGGTGTCCCCGGTAGGATTGTGGACTTCATTCCCGAGGTTAGGGCTACGGAATTTCACAGTACGGCATTGGGCTGGTACGATAAGGACAGAGGGGGGCGCTTTGGCGGATCTGGTACGATAGAAGGCAAGGTCTCCCCTTTCTCGTGTATATCAGATGTGATCCGTCCAGGTCTCAAAATAAAATCGCGTGAGCGTTTGTGGATTTCTGGATAGGTGATCTTATTTCCGGTCAGTCCACGTCCTGTCCCATGGCAAGCTATGGATCGGCAGAAGTGTCGTCTGTCTGCTTGCCAACAGCTTTTGTGGTCTGTGTCCAGGACTCGGAGAAAGCGCAGTCCGGTAGCTCCAAGACTCAAGTTATCCTTTCCGAAGCTACCAACAGTAGCTCGATACATTGAGCACCGGTAGCACATTCTACCCACAGCCGACTTTCGAAGGTTTGAAGGGGATCGCTGGAAGTCTGAGGATCCATCGAAGTGTCATGCCCGCAGTCAATTTCGCGCTTGTGAACAGTTGAGAATTCGCCTTCCAACATATGGCATGTATTCATTCCTGTCACGATGGACTCGCTTACATCCTATTTTTCATCGTGAAGAGGAGGCTTTGGACGGTTTTGACGGCATCAAAAGGCTTCTGCACCCGAACCTCGAGTTCGCACGCGTGCCACTTGTCCCTGCTGCTTCCTTTATCGGATCATTGGACCTTGATCGAATTTGGCTACAGCTGACCTCTAGCACTGGGAAGAAAGAGCAGAGACGGAATCTCGTCGCGACAGTATGTGTATCAGGCTCGCAGAGTTAGTCCCTTGGCTGGCAACGTATAATATGGTATGGTATCTGATGCCAGCTCCTGGCTCCCCTTCTATGCCCTCTCCTTTTTTTGGCAGACCACTGATTCATCCAACTTCCCTCATATGTCGAGAGGTCGCGGCATGATCATCATCTCTGGGAGAGCAGGTCGTTTTTGAGTCGCCCGACAACGCTCTCGCAAAAATTACCTGCCTCGCAATGTCAAGCAGGTTTCCTTGACGCAGGCATCGATGCCAGCGGTATCAACTGCCTAGATGGTGATCGGTCTAATATTACCTTTCAGTGATGCATAAGTCGACTCGACTCTCGAGCTTATTGGGGGACGAGATGGTCCTGCTGCACCTTCCATCCTTCGTGCCAGGGGCGCTCTCGATTTGGAGTTGAGTCCAGTGAGTAGCCAGAGAACATTTTTCGCGGGGAAACAAATGCGAGGGGCTGAGCGACGGATGACAACGACGTTTGGTTTGACAGCGCTTCTATCCTCTTGGCTTGTAATAACTCCCAGCTTGTAATAAAAGCGATCAAAATACCTCTTTCTGCCTTGGCAGCTTGCCAACCAATCCGATCTCTAAATATTGAGCAAGCATGAGCCGTATGCTGGTTTATGTCTTCTATGCACTATGCAGTCTTACTCCCCTTATAAATCACCCGTGGCCTTTCCTAATATATCCACTCGAACGAACACGCTCGGTTGACTTCCATCTGACCTTAATGGTGGTGGCGAGCGTTTGCTCCTCCCTGATGGATGTTTACAAACAATACTACCTTACGCCAGAACTTCAGCTTCAGCTTCGTCCGTCACCTCCTTCCTACGGTATAAGTACGGATACTGGCATACTGTGTTATCGGTACATGCTACCTGCGGTGTTCGAAGGTAATATTCACGAAAGCTAGATGTAGGTGGTACAAGGGAAACGATAGGCTTTTGATTTAGGACTAGTATTCCAATAGGCGTTTATAGACCGGTATTCATTTTCCTCGCGCGGCGGCGTCCGCCGTGTCTGAGTTTCTGGTGAGCGGAATTCTCTCACTCGATCTTGCCAAGGAGACGAGAGGAAGCTGACAGCGACTCATCATTGATAACAAGATTCCAAGACCTCTTGGGAATCGTTCTTGTTTAATATTGCCTGCGAAGTGAGTCTTCACTTCGTTACAATTCGGAGCAGCGAAGGTGGCGTATATTTACTTCTCGGACAGCTATTGACAGCGTAGTTTAATATAGAGTAAGATCGGCACGACTTGAGTACTTGGGTACGAACGCTTTTACGTCGTTTGCTTTGCAGCTTTTAAATAGGGTACGATTATTGTCGCTAACGCTCGGTACTTACTGCTTAAGCGAACTATTGCTTGTTTAAAGTGAACATTACCTACGCTTGCCTTGCTTTTACCGTGAAGTGAAAAAAAAAAAAAAAAAAAAAAAAACCAACATTAGGGGAGAATAATCGTGGGCTATTCTTTGTGTTTTTTGTACTCTGTTGCTATACGATCACAGGAGCGAGGCCTTCGTATATACGCATCGGCCGCGGGAAGAAACATCCTCTCGCCAGTTGTTTACTAGCACTTCTCGATTGGAGATGAGTATATATGCGTTCATGTATAGCGGAAGGAATTTCATTCTGTAGACTTAAATGAAGGGGGTTCTCGCAAATCAAAATAAATCTTAGAACAGATGATAGAAAGCCTGCCTCATTTTCAATCTGCGCTTGCAACCTGCTTCCCAATTAACCTTATGTTTGTTTACGTCTGCGATATCTTGGCGCTCTTCTGTATTCGCTGATAGGAAGGAGCGCATCTGCAAACTGGGAACATAGTGATCGTTGGGGAATCTTCTCGCGGATTTCTAGCTCGTGGGCGGTCGTGGGTGGCGGTAGGAGTTTCCTTTCATTTTCTTTGAATTCCGAAGAGGGGAAGGGGAAGGGGGTGGGGTGGTGGGAGAGGGGGGTAGGAAAGGGGATAGAGCGGATGCGAAAATGTTAGGGATGATTGGTATCTGAGGGCGATCTGGATGGCAAAGATGACTTATCTAATTTTGATTTATAAAACAGCTTGTCGGGGCTACTTTTTGGAACGCAGAAGTAGCGGCAAGTTCACTTTCCGTATGTCCAATTGAGACCTTTAGAATACCGCGATCTTGCCAGTGGCTTCGCCCTTTGGTTACAAGTCATAAAACCATCAAACTTGGAGGCACTTTATGCGCACTTTGATATGATGTTGATTAACCCGCGTTTTCGATCAGATAGTTGTCAAGCTTCGAATAATCAGTTACTCATTGCACTCCTTTACAAACCCTGATGCTTTGATATAAACAACTGATGGAACGAGCTTGAGATTCAAGACTACACATATAATTGCTCTGAGCGCTAGGATTCATTGCCCGAAATGCCACTGGTGACTGGTAACGCAACCAGGAACGTCTTTATCATCTTTGGAGCCTATATATACTCATGTATTCCGAAAGAATATGCTTGTATTTTCACTTAGCCGTGGTTGGCGGACAGCACGTAGACCAGGCTTGATAACAAACGGGCCTGTTTTTTTTTCTTGGACATCTCTTTACAGCTTTTTTGATATCAAACGGATATAAATCTGGAAGCTCTTGAGTTAGAAATCTTTTTAGGCCTCTCTTAGTTAAGTGATTTAACATGCTACTTCGAAAGCAAACCGATATACCGATATCGATCTAGGGCACGCTTCATTTTGTTATCTTGCCTCTTTGGAGTTTCACATCACGTTTTTTTGGAGAAGGCAGAGGCAGATAGAAGAATTGTTCTGTATTGATCGGCGCAGAACGGCCCCAGAGCTCCACCGGTCAGAGTATACAACACACATACAGCCCGTTGTCTCGCTTTCGTAGCACGGCAGACTGAAACATGCGTAAATCATCGTAAACGCCACGCAGCAAGGGTATATAATCACAAGAACTCCAACAGAAACTCCAGGTCCTGCCGATTTATGCGCGAATAAAGCAATTCTTTATGCCAAACCGAACCACATCCTTGTTGGTAGTGGAGAGCGGGGTTCGGGCCTAGAAAGAAAATCAGCTTTTCTGCACACTCGGATCAGGTGCGGACAACTTACTGCTTGCATGGTCACCTCTTTCAAGCCTCGGATATTCATGAGACTTATGTATGGCGCATCTTAAGCGAAACTCGAACTCTCCTTTGCAGCCCCGACGGCTCTCGTCATGTCGGATGCCAGTTGAATTCCTCGCTAGTATAACTTATTCCAGATCTGCATTTTCAAGTTAGGAATATGCATAAAAAAACCTTCGAGAACACTTACCGGAGGACAATTTTCAGCGGACTAAGGTTGGAACTGGACCCCACCGGCAGGTATAGAAAGGCTGTTTGCGGTGGCGGGTATTGCAGCGGTTTAAATGGTGGCCGTGTCATGAATGCGGCTAGCCATGTTGGCATCCAGGGCAGCTGCATTTAGGGGACCTTCTGCATCGGGATCATCATAGCTTTCTAGCGTCTGATCACGAAAGTGAAGCCAGTAAGCACAAATGTCGGCGGTATCCTGAAATTCTCGGCACTACTCATGCAACTCAAATGAGATCTGAATAACTCTTAGCCAGTCGCACAAAGAATGCCAAACCAATCCAACGATGTTGGGGGAAAATGCACATACCTTCTAACAGGATTGGTTTCCACGGTTGCAAGTAGAGCAATTTCGGGAACCCTTGTCCATGACGCGTCGATGAACTCGAGGATTCGAACCTCCTCCCAGACCAGAAAACACACACCTGAGGCTCGAACCTCCCACCAGAACACACACACCCGAGGTCTCGATCCTCCCTCCAGATAAAAGAAAACATACACCCGAGGTCTCGATCCTCCCCCCATCACCAGAGAACACCAGAGCCAAACAGCCAACTCTAATCGTACTTTGGTCGTTCCTCCCCACAAGCACACCTCCACGTCGCCGGTGCATTCCGGCAAACCCAACTGGGCTGACCGGGAGACACCACGGTGTGGAACCACCACTTGTCGGCGTCACAGCCCTTCCACTGACCATTGCTCTCCCAAACGCTGGTCAGCTTCCAGGCTGGCACCTTGCCGTTCTCCTCGAAGAACGCCCGTGCCTCCGCCGCCGTCGCCAACCGCCATCTCCGCTGCAGAGCCTCGTGCGGCTTCGGATAGTCGGTGCGCTCGTCGAGCCAGTACTCGGTGGTGCGGATGGTGTTTTTCCGGAGGTCGCGTCTCCGATCTCTCTCCAATGCGTCCCAGTCCCGCTGGACCTTCGCGAAGCACTCGTTCTCGTCCGGGATTTCGAGTCCCGTGACGGCTCGTGCTGGCACCCCCGGCCAGCCCGGGCGGTGCGCGAATCGGTTTGTCTGGTACTGCATGGCAGTACGCTGTGATTCGAGCGTCTTTTGAGCCTCCGCTCTGGTAGCAGCGGGGCGGGGAGCACGGAGAGAGTCGTTCTTGCGGAGTGGTACGACTGATGTTGGCGATGGCACTGGGGCCGGAACGTAGGGTGGTGGTGGCGGCGGCGGCGGAGGTGGAGGAGGAGGAGAGACCGGCGCAGGCTGGGCGGGAGCTGCTGGTACTGCCGCGGCGGATCCGGAGGGCAGTCTCCTTCTCTTGGCAGATGGAGCTTCTGCTCCGTCGGCACTCCTCTTCCTACCTGGTAGTGGTAGTGGTGCTGGCGGGGGTCGTCGGGTGACCTTGGCCCCCCGGGTCTGGGGGCGGTCGTTCTGCCATTGAGAGCGTGTTACGGCCATCGCTGGGTTGTCGAAGATTGTTTGTTGTGTATTTGTGTGTGTGTGTATGTGGGAGAGAAGTGGTGTCTAGTAGGCAGTGGAATCTTTGGTGAGAATTCGTAACTGTGCGACTAGGACGAGGAAGAGAAGAAAGAAGGAAGGAGAAGGAAAGATTTGGCAAGATGTAGAATATATCTAGCGTGGATTTCCCCACAATGGTAAGCGAACTAACGTCTATCCTATTGCGGTAATTTTTTTGCGGGGAGAGCTTGCCATTGAATGAGGAAGTGGGTCGCTCGCTTCATTCACAATAGGACTTCTTCGCCCTACACAGCCTCCTCAAAATTGAAGGTGAAAGGGTACCATCAGTAGAAAAGGTGAATGAGTGATTCCATCTTGATAGGCTGTTGGAAGAACGAAGTAGTCTGGATGATTTGAACGCACATTACAGTGTTGCATGCCCAAATAGGAAAGTCCTGTCAAAATCAGGTCAAGTTCTGTCTCAGCTTGTCTATATGAATATATCTCCCAGATTGAAAGGTCTTCATAGCACAGAGTTCAGATTCAGAGAGGTAAAGCACGCAGGCAATATATAAAAGCTATTAACTTCGCAGAGTAGAGATCACCATCACGCAGCCATCCCCTCCCGTCGCCATGAATGTCAAAATCAATCTAGAATGGCAATGCAGTTCCTTTAACTACCTTCCCAAGTATTTGCTAGTCTTCTAGTAAAGATTTATAGACCGTAACTTCTTCTTTCCAGTCATCCCCTCGCGTCAAACAGCCTCTCGTCTCCCAAACATGCAATCTGCCGTCCACCGCCCACAAATCAATTGTACCCAGCGAGCACAGCCAGCACTCTACTTCAGCATATACTCGTCACCTGTCTCCTCAAACAGCTTTCCTTCCGCACCTGATGTATCTCCCACTCCTGCTTCCCCTCCTTCCTCATCTGGAGCATCTGCTCATAAACTTGCCGCCTCCTAGCCCTCTCCGCCTTCTCCCGCCGACTCTTCCGCTTCACCTGATGATTAATCCCCCCCACCTCGCGCCCCCCCCCCCCCCCCCCCCTTTTGCTCTTGGGATCCAACTACTCTCCATGTTTTCCTTCTTTGGCAGGGACCTCTCGACCAGGTTCTTGCTTGCGATGCGGAGGGCAGGCTGCACTGGCAGGTCGTTGGCTTGAGTTGAGACGTCGACTTGAGCCTCGGCAGCACGCGCGGCGGCTTTATCGTCTCGCAGATCTTGGAACCGGGTCTGGAGCTGGTGTTGGTGTTGGCGAAGGCTGAGCTGCAGGGGGGAAGGTGACCGGAGGTATTTGTACTGATGATGGTGCTGGGCAGAACGGCTTGGGCTCCGGACTTGCGACAGCAGCGCGTGAGATGACAGCTCTGCAGCTGGATGGAGGTAGACTCTCTGAGCTTCTTGCTTCTATTTGTCATGTTCAGGTCGGACGATGAGCTTGATGCGAGGCGTCTTTGTTAGAAGTGGCTGCTGTGGAGAGAGGAGTGTTCTGTGTGACTTGGGCGGTTGTTTGAGCAGTCGATGTAGATTTGAGGAAAGATCAAGTCGAGGGAACAAGCAGAGGAGAGCATCAAGAAATTCTGCCATAACCTTAAGACGCATAATAGTACAGATGCTGGTGAATCACAGCTCTTGTCCGTGGGAGATAGTAGTAAAAAAGAAAGGGGAGGCTGCCAAGCTCGCTTAAATGTTCGAAGGTGGACGAACCTATTCAAACTTATCCAAACTTTTTCATGTATGTTCAAGATTTTCAGCTCAAATTTTTCTTTCCAATCATCTTCTCCAGAATCAATACAACCAACCCAGTACCGACAGCCACAACGTCTTCGACCTCCTCGGCTACCAGCTAATTAGATACCGAGCCTTCGTACAGCATGGTAGGTTCACTGTCATTGACCCCTCGTACAGTTGCATTAGTTTCTAACAGTCATAGGCCTCCCCAGAAATCGTCTCTCCGCCCGTCCGACGAGTACGCATCGATGCTCTTCTGCGTCTTGCTGTCGCGTTTGAGACCGTCGACACCGTCCACAATTTAATTGAAGCTTCGCAGGACGGAACATCCAAGCTCGACGAGCTTCTGGTCGGCTCGGTTCCCGACTTTACGAAGGGGGGTGGAAAATTTGGTGCGATTGGGTGCGAGCGATCGGAAAAATTCGGAGCGATTGGAGGCCAGAGGGGTAGAAAGGAGAAGAGAGGAGATGGGATGATGGGTGGAACATGACAGAGGGGATGTATCGCAAAAAATAGTGGTAGGAATGCATCGAATGATACCTAGTGATAATTTCATTTCTGGAGTTGCAATAATGCCAGCGCAAAGTGCGGCCATTTAAGCCTTGATTAGATCCCCCCCCCCCCCGGCTCCACCCCGCCCTTCGACCCGACAACTTATACAGCTCCAAAATTTCTGTCTAAAACCACGGCTGAGTGGCATTTACAGAGCCTGAAAACCCCTGCACGAAGTTCGAAGCCGATGAAAAAGCGTTGGTAAGTCCAAAGAACTCTCCCATGGCACCCGAAACAACAACCAACGTTCTCACAATTGATATACCACGTACCCCATCCACCCATCGCAGCGCTTTGGAAGGTGGCGAACCAGGACCTGGCCACAATATTCCCGAGCCAGGATTGAAGAAAGGTTACGCTTGAACCTAGTGGGAGCAGCCCATATTTTGTCAGTAGATATTACACGACACTGGAAGCGCCAGGGTATCAAAGGAATTAGCTCGGAAGAAAAGAACTGATCAGGTCGTGGACCATTGTAGGTCAAGCCGACAACATCCATCAAAAGTTTCCAACGAGAACTGAGAACCAGAAAGAGTAGCTGAGGAGAGCAAACCACAGAGTTTCTCCTAGAGCCTTGATGTATTGGCAAGTCCCGCCCATCCGGAAAGGTAGAGTGCGGAAGATCCACGCTATCATCATCATCATCGCCGGGGCCACTTTCTCCTAGAACATCCTCTCAAGCGCGACTGCTGCTCCGCCCACAGCAGGACCAACGTGGTTCTGGGCAAACGAGTTGACGGCCTGGCCAGCTCCCGCAAGAGCTCGGCCGAGATTTTCTTTGCTGAGGCCGCTTTCTGCGCTGACTGCATGTCCAATTTTCTCGGCTGCGGCTTTGCTGCCCTCTGCCAACGATGGGATGAGCGTCTCTCTTGCTGCCCTCATTCCTGCGCTAGCTGCACTTGCCAGGAAAGCGCAGAAGTTCTCGAAGAAACTCATGGTTTTCGAGTACGGTGTCTATAGATGTCCGCGAGGAAATATTTTAAGTGTGATCACGTATGATTTAAATATAGGTTGAATGATGAGATTGATGTGTTCTTTCTGGGCGATCGAAGGTGAGGTCGCGGAGGCGCTCGCTTATTTTAAGTGCACTAGGTACACAGCTTGCCTGTTGCTCCTCACTGGGCGAGTTTGGTTTGCCTACGATGTATTGAAGTTTCAATTTTGACCCACCATTTTCTGATTTGATTCCCTGGACTACTTTTGATTCTATCCGTTCGCCGAAGATGTTGTGTGAATCGAAAATTTAGGGGTGGGGGGAGGGGGTTGGACCAATAAGTTTTATACGACAAGACTACAAGAAACATACTAGCCGCAGACGGTGTCGCCCTGCTCCTGCAGCCGCACTTGCCGAGTCACGTTTTGGGCACTGGACGGGACGGGGCCGACCCAGTCGCCGCCCACGTGTCACAAATCGACAACCGCCGCTCACGTGCAATGAGTCGCTATCACCATGGTGGCCAGTCGCCATCAATGCAGGCGAACACTACCACGACCACCAGCCAAGCCATATGCGCATTGCGAAATAACAATCGTCGATCATTACTTTCGCCGCCACATATTATTTCCACGCCTCCTGGTGCACCCAACTCTCAGAACACAAGTTGAAGTTACTCACTATAGAAAGAAGACTTTGCTGATTAGACTTGCCCGTAAATATCAATCGTGATGTATCGTTTTCTGAGACTCATATTTGTGTGACTAACTTCGCAAAGTCCTGGCGCCTGTAACAAGCAAATCCAATGCATCCATGTTTTCCTTCCGCAAACAAGTCAAGGGTCTCGAGCTTGTCCGCAAAGTCCAGATATCACTCGCTAGTAGCTCCATATTCTTCGGTGTCCGTGTCGGTATCAGAGTCAGAGCCGAAGGGGTCCTTGACCTCGGTCTTCGTCTCCGTACGGTTTCCGAAGCCAGTGATACCACTGATGGTACCGGTGACTGCTGAGCAGATCATCACCACGCCATTAACAGCCGCAGCACCGTATCCTCCCATAGCAGCACTCTGTAGTGTAGCAAACGTGGTTCCAGCGACGACATTACCAGCCGAAGCCTGAATAGCTGCGGCCGCCGAACCTATTATAAACCCGAGTCAGCGTCCGACAAGAAGAAAATTGACGAAGAGGCGATATAAACTTACCTGCCCTAATACCAGTACCACCCCATCCAAACACCCAAAGAAGTGGACCAGTGACAAGAAATGGCGCGACAAAGGTCAAGCCACTAGCAGCAATAGCAGCTGCGGCACCTGGGTTCTTCTTGATCAAGTCACCAGTAAGCTCCATCGCGGGACCAAGCTTCTCCTTGCCGAAAACATCAAGAGCCTTGCCAGTCTGATCCATAGCAGGTCCCAACTTCTCCTTGCCAAACGTATCCAAAGCTTGTCCTGTGACGGCCATGGCGGGCCCCAGCTTTTCCTTGCCAAACGTGTCCAATGCCTTGCCAACCTCTCCCACAGCAGGACCCAACTTCTCCTTTCCGAAGGTGTCGAGAGCCTTGCCTGCTTCGCTCATCGCGGGGCCGAGGACATCTTCTCCGAACGAGTCGAGAGCTTTTGCAGCTTCGCCCATGGCAGGACCGAGTTGATGTTGACCGAAATGATCCAAGGCTGCCGCCGTACCTGCCAACAAGGCACCGATATCATGGAAGAACCCCATGATTACTTGTTTTCGATGGCGAGAGAGGAGAGCGTGTTGATTGTGCTTGAAAGTACGGGGTGAGAGACTAGGAGTTGTTATATTCCGATACCACGTGATTTCAGGGGCTAGCTAACCTTCGTAAAGCGGCCGCATTTGTTTATTACTTCTTCGCCTCGGAAGTAGGTAGGTACCTTCATTACCAATCGCCTTTATCGTTCTTTCCTTTCACTAGAATGCGATAACTGATTTAAAAAGCCTTCTTGATGATTCTCGTCACGTCACAACACTCTTTATCTAACAGCAAGAACAAAAACTGGGTGTAAGACGAAAACACCTTCGTGCTTTCCTTGTTAGTCGACCAGTCACGAGCTTGAAAATTTTTCGAGAACAATTTCCTTGAGGCCAAATCCGTAGCTATGACCACATCCAGAGCTCTCGTGTCCGGCAAATCCAGATCTCCTTCCGTAAGCTTTAAAACAAGTAACCTTTCAGAGACTTCTATGATCGAAGAAGGCTCTTGATCTCGATAGCTCATCCTGAAGTAGCGGAGAATCAAGATACTATGCATAATTGATAGGCATTATAAAAACCAAACCCGTCTCTCCCGTAGAAAAAGCTAAAAGAAGAATCGCCAGTGAAGGAAGCAGACAGCGACGATTTTTCACTTACGGGAATGTAGAAGGACTGCGTGATTCAACCTACCTAGAAAATGGGCTTCGCTATCTGTCCCTATCCCCATCCCCATTCTCTATCCCCGTTCCTATCACTATGCCTTAATTTAAGAGGTGAGACCTTGCTGCTCTTAGATGGATGGAAGCAATATCTTGAACAACTTGTTGAGCAAAGCTGTATTGATTTTTCCAGATTTTGAGAGTGATATCACTACAAGCATAGCAGTCTGTTGGAAAAACGCTGCTTGGTGAACTTGTCCACAACCTTCTCGCGCCACCCATCTTCTCCGTCGATGATATCTGGATAAATAGCATGTCCCATCACGATGAAATATATCGTGCATCCAAGCGCAAAGAGCTCCGTGTCAATTTTTGCCTCCTCTGGATCATCACACGAGGCAAGTAGAATCTACAAGGCTCTCTGCTATAGCCGTTCAGAAGGACATCTCCAGCTTCCCTTCCGATAAATGTTTTCTTTGGAAATCAGATAGCTTTAAGTGAAGGTTTTCGTCGAGGAGTAGATTTGTAGGCTGAATATCGCAATGAAGCACGCGACGTGAATGGATTATCGCAAATGCTTCAGCAGCTTCTCGACACCAGGATGCACGTTGATCGAATGAGAGGGATTGAATAGCATTCTTCGAGCAGTCGAGTAGCTGGAGTCCCGTTGACCGCACGCTCTAAAAAGAGTCCCAGATTCGAATAACCTTTGAATATGATGATTCGAAGATGTGGACCAACAATTCGAAGAAGTTGGCTTTCGATTTAAAGTCGGTCCTTATCTTCGTCAAGACCAAGAGGGTAGTTCAGGACCGTCGAATCATCTATCTCTCCGATGAAAACACTAGTTCCTGTTCTTATGACTCGTTTCACCCCCGGTGGATAATATTGATATTAGGATGTTATTTCTGGGACCTCGGACATAGTTTATTAAGTTCTCAATGTCTTTAGTATCTTTAGTGGTGATGGAGTAGCTGTTCCGGTATATGAAATTTTTGATATTTATTTACACAAGTTTTTATTTGCCGATTCTCTTAATCAAATAATTCGTTGCTTTTCATTTTTGTCCCTTCTCTTGGTATTTTTTTATCCGATTTTATCGGTCATCTAAAATGTTTTTGGGGGGGGTTTTTTTTTTTTTATCTGCTAATCGTAGCAAGTCGACACCACCAACCCGGGACACTTAATTTTGCCCTTATAAAATCGATATAAAGTTACATATCAAACATATCGTAATTACTTACCTAAAAGGCAGGTAGGGGGTCATTTGAGCTGTCCTCTGATACTCTTTTATAAAAGACGGTTATTAGACCGTTTAAATTCAGTACCAAGCTCTTTTCAAGAATAGTTCATCGAGAAGACCGTCCTATTGAAAGAGACCGTTTTGTGGCCGTCTTATGGCCGTCCTCGTTTATATTTTTAAAAGAAGCTTATTAATAAGCTCGTTTTAAAAAAATTAAATCAGTTCGATAATTAATTTTATAAAGATATATTTGTAAATAAAAATCATTTCTTAAATAGAATCGTTTTAATAATAATTTAATAAGTTCGATGCTAAGATATTTCTCGGTATCGCTGCTACGGCTTATATATTAATGCTTTAAATTTTGTATAATCGAAATTGATCGATTTAGTCAAAGTTTACTCGCGGTCATGCGCTTCCTTCGCTTATAAAGGGGGTGTGGTAAGGGGGTGTAGAATAGGGTAGACTAGCAAGCAATAAGAAAGAAAAAAAGATTATTTGCTTATTGATTCACGTTCTCCGGGACGGTTTCAAGTTCGGGGACGGCTTTAGGACGGCTATAGGACGGCCTTAAAATGGTCTTAAAACGCTCGAAAACGGTCTTAAGACGGTTTTTATACGAAAAGACGAGCACTTAAAAAAGACGATTTAATTGATTAAAATAATTCCATTTTAAGTATGATTCAAATAATTTAAATCGTTTGTTTTTAAATTCTATTTAATCTTAAGTATCGGCTTAGGGTGATCCACCAGCTATGCTAGCTTATTAAAATCGTCCTTAGAAGAGATGGTTATCAGACGATCAGCTGACCGTCTAAAAGCTTTTGCATTCCCCTTTAAGGTACTTTTGGTATACTGTTTTATAGTTAAAGTTCGTGTGCTAGCGAAGCTTGGCGGGTTCAATTTCTCAACCTTATTGAAATCTCGCAAGTACGAGTAATCGATACATCTATCACCACTTTTGATCACTTTTACCACCCTTGATCCCTGTCAGATTTTGAGAAATAATAAAAGGTTGCAAGGTGGATTGATTGTTTTCTAGGACGCCCAGTGCGACGACAGCTTATATCCTCCTCCTATGGTGGTCTGTATACCTTAGTGGCCTGGTAGCTTAGGGCCACAACACTATCCATTCTTAAGAATTCGCCGTCATGCCTCAGAAGCCACGCAAGTCGAGCTCGATTAGACGTGGCCGGCAGCTGAAGCTAACCGATTACGATGCAAAGGTTGCTGCTGTTTTACTATGCGTATATATCAGGGTTGTCGTGTAAATACTAGAATAAGCGAGGAACACGAAAATCGGACTTCCTTTGGAAATATATTTTCTATACCACCAACTCTCATTCAAAATTATTTCCTTTGGTAATATAACATATTCAATTGTTTACTACCGATCTATGGAAGGCTTTTTTTTTAAAAAAAAAATGAGTCATGGTTGTTAAAATATTTGAGACGAACAAGTGAAATTTGATTATTTAAGACAGTTTTAAGACAGTGTTTAACCATACTTTCACTACACTATAATGTTTTGACTCGGGGGGCTACTATTTTTTACCTGTACGAGGTGCCCCTTACGAACCTTCAGCTTTCTTTTTCTCTTTTTCTTGCGGTAAAAAGAAAGACAAAGAGTCTGGAGAGCCGAAATTAAATCATCGATATGCGACGTCTTTTCGAGAAGATCTCCTTTTACCGGCGGTTCCGAACCTCCTTCCTCTTCTTTCTCGAATACTACGCTTACTACAATCTATACTTAACGAGCATACCGATTGAGAAGATTAAAAGGATTTGCGATAGAAAAGGAACGGGTATAAGAGATAAAATGGGAAGGGCTTAGTTCGATTGATCGAAAACACGGTATTGCGCCTTCGAAAGAGCGGTTTGCAAATACACCGGCTTTATTTAAAAGCTACGAACGCGAGCCTTTTTAGCTTTACAACGAAAAAAAAAAACGATGTTCATATTATAAGAATCAAGGCCATACGTATTCGATAGTTATCGAAAGAAAACTCGACGCATAAAAGGGTTGTAAGTGTTCAGCTATTTAACGAGAGCTTTTTTTTAACGTAATTTTTTACTACCTTCGAGTAGATAGTGCTTTATATATAATTCCTTTACTTAGCACGTCCCCGTACTTTATAAGAGGTCCCCAGGGTCTAAGCATCGCGTTTTGGATACCCGCCCGACGTTAATAAATACAACAACAACAACAACAACAATCTCTACAAATTCAATGGTTGAAGCCCCGGTAAAGCGCCTCGGTAGAATACACTTTAGCCCTCCATGGAGAAGGTAGGGATGGCGCGACTAATTGATTAGACTTCTCAAAAATCTGCAGGTGAGGATCTCCCTACGCACTTCGGTCACACTACATACATATTGATTTCTCACTTTTGAAGCCAATCAATCAGTCTATATGAGATGGCGCACCGCACTCTCTCTGTGACTTCCTTTCATCCTCAACCGGCTTTGACGTCAGTCCCCAATTGTAACATGGTCATGTATCGCCTTCTGCTCTCCTCACTGGCGCTGGTATCCACCTCTTATGCTTGTGAACGAAACCTCGGTGACTCTCAAAAGTATACGCACGGCAAAAGACATGTTGCACGCCAAGGGGATTTTCCTCCTGTCCTGACCGCGCAAGAGACTACCCTCGTCAATTCTTTTGACAACAATACCATCGACCAATGGTCCGACTACTACACCCATAGGAATAACCTCGCGGGCCTGAGCAAAGAAGCTGCGCAGTGGACTGCGGACAAGTGGTCAGAATACGGATTCACGTCACACCTGACGGAATATGAGGTGTACCTGAACTATCCTATCTCGGCTTCGCTGCATGTCAACTTCCCCAACGGTACAGTTGAAGAGGTCAATCTGGTCGAGGACAGCCTGCCTGAAGATGAGGTGACCAAACGCCCCGACAACACCCCTACGTTCCATGGATACTCGGCATCCGGTAACGTGAGCGCCGAATATGTTTACGTCGGGTGAGTGTCAAGTTATTCTGGAATGATTTTTTTTTGTTTGTTTGCTGACCGGGTTAGAGAAGGCAAACAGGTTGATTTCGATCGCTTGATTGCGCTCGGTATTCCGCTTGAGGGTAAGATTGCTCTCGCAAAATATGGAGGCCCGTTCCGCGGTCTGAAAGTCAAGAATGCACAAGCACAAGGCATGATTGGGGTAGTACTCTTTACTGATGTAAGTATCGGCTCTTGAAGGGTCTATTTCTGTGATGAAGTGTCTTGACATTTACTAAGAATATATCACTGAGACAATTTGTTCGTCTCCCGAAAGATAAAAAAGAATTGTGCTGACGGTGAGCTCCTGATGGGTAGACTGACGGTGATGGGGAAATCACGGTCGCGAATGGCTATGAACACTATCCCAGTTGGTCCCAAAGAAAATCCACATCAAAACATATGTGTGTACTGACCAGCTATACAGATGGTCCAGCAAGACATCCAAGTGCTGTCCAGAAGGGCTCTGTCTTCTTTCTATCCACCAGCCCAGGCGACCCCACCACACCGGGCTACCCATCCAAGAAAGATGTACCCAGAGCAGAGATCGATAATCTTGTGCCTCAGATACCATCTCTTCCCATCTCATATGCCGCAGCTCAACCACTTCTCCAAGCTCTAGATGGTCACGGAGTCCCTGGACAGGAAGTCAACGGAGTAGGCTGGGTCGGAGCTTTGAATGCGACTTACAGCACTGGCCCAGCTCCGGGCGTTTCTCTCTCACTCCATAACCTGATGGAAGCCAAAATCGTGACCACTTGGAACGCGATCGGGTATATCAATGGCACCAACAGCGACGAAACCATAGTCGTTGGCAATCATCGAGATACATGGATGATCGGCGGTGCTGGCGATGCTCAATTAGGCTCGGCCGTTCTCATTGAAATGTCAAAGGCCTTTGGGAAATTGCTCAAATCTGGCTGGAAGCCAAAGAGAAACATGTAAGCCGCCTCAAAACACCCTCGAATCCAAGGCTGACATGGCCTAGCGTGTTGGCATCCTGGGACGCAGAGGAATATGGCATCATTGGTAGCACCGAGTGGGTAGAGGAATATGCGAGCTGGCTGAACGAGACGTCGGTTGCATACCTAAATGTCGATGTTGCTGTCTCTGGACCATGGCCAACCATCGCTGCTACCCCGGAACTCCACGAGATCGCTACGGAGATCTTCCACAAAGTCATCCACCCAAACTATGGGGCCTTCAACATCAGTTTCTACGACGCCTGGAACACTACATCGGAAGGATTCATTGGCGTTCTTGGGAGCGGAAGTGATTACACTGCTTTTGTGCACCATGGGATCGGCTCGGTAAGTACACAAGTCAGCCTATTGAGACTTTACCCTAACATCGGAAAAAGTTCGATGTGATGTGTGGTCGAGGCCTAACAGATCCCATCTACCACTACCACTCACACTACGATACCTACAACTGGATGACCAAGTTCGGCGACCCCGGATTCCATGTCCACTCAGCCGTAGGACAATACCTTACGCTCCTGGCATATCACCTTGCCGACGACCAAGTCCTGCCCTTCGATCTACCCAACTACGGCGCGCAGCTCGAAGCCTACTACGTGTCTCTCAATGAAACATTCGCGGCGTACAGCGACGACATCGACACGTCCGAGTTGTGGGGCGCGATTCAAGCATTTCAAGCCCGTGCCAAAGGGGTCAAGGACTTGGAGCAGCAAGCCATCCTGACCAACAACCCCGACCTGATCACCGCCGTCAACCACAAGTACCGCGATTTCCAGCGCGGGTTCGTCTCGCAGGGCGGTCTCCCCGATCGCGAGTTCTACAAACACGTCGTGGTGGCGCCCGGTATCGATACCGGCTACGCGGCAGTCACCTATCCCGGGATCACCGAAGCTCTGGACGCTGGGAACCTCACGCGGGCGAGGGAGTGGGTGGGACGGACTTCGAGGGGGATCTTGCAGGCTGCTGATATCCTCAAGACTTGATTGAGCATGAGCTCGCCACGAAGTGGTCCGCTGCGAAACGAATAAACGGACTGGGATAAAGCGGATTCTTCAGCCCTCTCTTTGAGAACGGCAACAACTGCATAGTCTAAGCCCCAAAAATGTATCTAAGGGGCGCTCACCTCCTTTTCTTTTCCGTTTATGATGAGACAGGATTTAGATCGCATCCGAGTCGCAGCCGGGGTTTCAAGTTCACTTTACAAGCGACCCAGCCGCGGTACTAGAGCTCGAGTCATTCCATTTCATAACAAACAATATCCTCAATGAACATCCTCGATCAAGAAATCTTTACTTGAAAAGTAGTAAAAGGGTTCGAAGAAGCCGAAGCCGAAGTAGTCCAAGCAAGACATGATGAAGCCGATCATCGAAGGTCGAGCGGGAAAATTCCGACCTTTTCAAAATTCTGTACTTGATTGATGTCCCCCATGGTACATGTAGCTAACGACACTGTAGTTCGGTTAGTGATGTCAGTTGGTAGAATAGACGCGTAGACCCGGCGGCGCCGCTGATCAAATTGAAAGAAAGCTTGTATCTTTAAGCGTTTCCGGGTTACGGGAGATCGGGATCCGCGACTAGAAGGCGTTTCAAGCAATCGATTATCGGACGGGTCGGCCAACCAGCCATGCCAGAATTGCAAACATAGCCCCGTCATGAGAGGCAAGAAAATTGCCGGGAAGAACATGATTTTCACGAGAAAGAAAAAAAGGAACATGCTCAAATCTGTGTCATGCATGCATTCAATTTCAATTTCATTTTGGCACTGACGACGTAACTAGTCGGTTATTTATCCATCTATCTCTCTATTCGAAGTCCAGCAAAACGTCTCGTACTTATAGCTCCTCGTTAAAGTATAGGCGGATGAGTATATGTGGGGCATTTAATGCTTATTTCATTGCTTAAGCGATAAACGAACCGGCAGGTCGGATCCCGGAACGAAGTAAATGTTGAACAAAGCTTCGATTTCATCTCGTCTTTCTCGTATTTTTGTATAAGTGAAGTGAAGTGAAGTGAAGGGTATTAAATCGAACCATTTGAAATAGATTGGAAACATGCGCGATGGATGGGGCATGTCTCCGAAGTTGAACACGATTGGTTTTGCACGGGTACAGCCCGTTGCCGTTGTCGTCAGGGGGCGCGATTTTTTTTTTTGCGAAATTCGTCAATATTGACGACTCACTATATTTCCTTGGGGATTTCTGGCCTTGGTTCAATGATAATCAGAGTCTAGTGTATGTAGTAGTGAGCTGTGAACCTCCAACTCGGGACTCGCTTGGAGGCTGGGCGTGATATGAAGGTCTAATTAGCCAACGCCTTGCCAGCTTCAAGATATCGACTTTTTTGTTATCATCAGATGATTCGGTCATTCTGGTTGACAGAATCTTGATTAATTCGAAGATTGGGCTTGATTGACTTGCTTGGCTTGCTTGATTTGCTTGGCTTGATTGCTTGACTTGCTTGTTCTCTGCCATGTTTGACATTGGGCCTTTACCGAGTGGTTCAGCGAGCCGAAACTTCGCGAGAAGGAAGTACGGAACTTGATACAAAGTACGCAAAAGCACAGTCCCCCTCTTCTTCCGTCATATCGAGCTTGAATTCCCCAACATCCCCTTTTCTCCCAACGTTTTGTTCTGATTGCAGGAATCGATTCCAGTTTCTGTCCTTGTGCAACTTTGATTAAACTCAGGAGAGGGAGAAGATCCCCTCCGTATCCGATAAGGTTTTTTCCAACCATTCTTACCATACATAAGCTTGAAGATATCCCCGTTTGACCATAACCCATTCAACAATAACAACAAGCTCCATACCAACAACACCAACCATCAAACGGAACTTCCGTTTCTTAACCTCTTCTCAAAGCAAATTTCTTCCCTTGCGTAAGTCTCTTCTCCCGTTCCCACAGATCACACACAATACACCAAACTCTCTAACACCATCCATCTCTCTAGACCCAAGCACACTACTCTCAAGAGAGTCAACTCAAATTCAAGCCGAAGCCCGACCCACACCCATCCTCTCCAACCCTCCCCTCCAGAGCCCCAAATCTCCCAAACCAAAAAGAAGATGTACACCCACACCCTCCTCGCCTCCAAACTCGTCCTCTTCACCTCCGCCCTCACCATCCCCGCCTTCACGATCCCCGCCCTGAACCTCCCCTCCCTGATCTCCATCCCGGCGCTCACCGTCCCGGGACTCACCATCCGGGCCCCCTCACCATCACCGCCGGTCCAGCGCCGCGCCACCTACGACGTCATCTGCCGCGCCGACGTCTTCCAAAACCCCGAGGAGGACATCCCTCAGGTCGCCTGCATGGCGGACGCCAAGTGCCAGGGCGGCGACATGGCCGAGCCCGTCATGGACGCGCAGGACGCGCTTATGTATCAGACGCAGTGCTTCGGCTGTCCGACGACGGAGCTGGCGGGCTCGATGGTGAATGGGTGCTCGTATGAGAGCATGTTGGAGGCGGAGTGAGTTCTTGCTCTTTGTTGTGTGTGAGAGCTCATGTCTTTTTTGGTTGGAGGAGGAGGCAGGTGGGCATATATGTGTGTGTGTGTGTGTATGTATAGGGAATGGAAAGGGGAAAACTCCGATCAATTAATTAATAATGAACAAGAAAGAAAAAGACTGAAAAAATGTTTCCCAATCTCATTCTTCATTGTGTATATATATACCTTATTGCTAGTACTTATCTGGTGATAATACTAAGTCACAGGAAGCAGTTCTGATGACATGGTTGACTTGACTTGTATTCTCTAGAACTAGGAATTGGGATGAGGTTGTAATAGGAACCAGTGCCAAGGCACGAGGTCCGTGCACCCTGCTCTCCTTCCACTTTACCTAGCAACATATATATATATAGACATACAATAAGAAGCAGACGTAGACCAATATCCATCCGTACGCAATACACGTCCCTCCTCAACATCATAACTAAAACAAGTGGAATAAAAGAAGTGAAAATGACCAAAACTCCTTCCTTCCTTTCTCTTATCCTTCTACCCTTCCTTCTCTCCCATCTCTCCCATCTCTCCCATCTTTCTCTCTATCTCTCTTCCCTCCCTCTATTTCGTTTTATATTTAAATCAGGAGAATATGAAATATGCCCGCCCTAACAGATTCCAAAAAGGCGATCGGCAGCCAAAAATAGGATCCCCTGCGGCAAAGGCAACGAGACTCCGTAACAGAGCAATGCGACCGAGAAAAACTCAACTCGCTAGCTCCGTGTTAGCCCAGACACACGGAAGAGATCAGTATCACAAGTCTCGAGTTTGGGAGGGTGTTGGATCGCCGGGTAGCGAACGCTCGCAACTCCGTATCACTAGCGTGCAGCGCACGGAGCTTCGTGCAATTGCAAAACAATGGGTAAGAATGGTACGGTACTTGATTCCTGTGTACTCCCCAAGGCTCAGGGGAGCTGACTCCTTCTATACGAGAGGGAATCGCGTGCACTAAGTAGTAGCTGTTGAATAGTGTTTACATCGATGTTGGGGGGTCCCTGAGAGCATGCCACGCTAAGCGAGGTACGGTATGCCCATCCGTGCCTGAGATATCCGAACCTGCCACATCACCCCCCACTGCCTCGGGTCGATATTGGTGTACCGACAGGGAGAGATAAGATATGTAAGCCCGGCCACACTAAACTTTGGGCGCTAGAATCCAGAGGTGGGCTTCGGTGGGCCAACGTGCAGCTGCAAGAGTCGGTCTTTGAACGACGCTGATTTTTTTTAGGGGGGGGTTATTACATCTAATTCCTCAGGCTGCAGAGAAGCGATCTACGTAGTATCTTGGGGGGGGGGGGGGGGGGAAGAAAGGAAAGAAAAAAGATACTGGCGGACGAAAGAGATTTCATTAACCAAGGCGTCATGAAGAAAAGTCATAAATAAAGAAAAGTCAACTCGGTACGGTAAGTAAGCACCTACCCAGCCTTGCCCAGGAAAATAAGCGAGAGAGGATCAAAACAAGCCCCCATCCCCACCATCCATCACTATCAAGGCGTGCGTCTCAAGACTAAAAGTACCTCCTCCCATCGCACTTCTACTTCTAACAGGTTGGTTCATGAAAGGCTTGAACAGGATCCTTGATATCGATCTGTCTCTGCCATCTCCAAGTTTAGTAATGACTCGAGAGTCTCGAGGGGCCTAGAGTATCTTTACCCCCTCCCCCACCTACTCTTAAATGCTACGTACTTGTGCTTATGGTTATCTATGATCGAGTGCGAAGTCGATGCAAGCCGTAACTTACTCCTTCACTGATCAATTTTACGATAATATGTATACATATATACATATACACATATAATCTTTACAAAAATTTTCTTTCTTCGTCTGCCCCGCGCTGTAATAATGGCCAGCGCAGAGGACCCAAGTAACTCCCGCGGATCCGTTTCTTTGCTCGACTTTTCGTTCTTTATACTAGCAGCTATATATATATAGTCTGGCTATCATTTACTTTATATATATTTGTATGTATGTATGTACACGCCACAAACAAAAGACTGACTGACTGGCTATATATAAGCTTTCATAGTCTCTTCTCCATCACTTCACTTCACTTCACTTCACTTCACTTCCTCGATAGGCAGCTGCAGACAGATACACGTATACGTATATATATATATATATATATATACACACACACACACAAAACCCACCTCTCAAACCCCAACACCCCAAACCCCTCACGACAACAACAACAAATCCAAAAGAGGGACCAAGGTAGAGAGAGAGAGCTTACCCCCAAAAAGAGAGTCAGAAACAGAAACAAAAACAGACAGAAAAAAAAAAACTGCTAACCCACACCCGAACCCCCAATTCCCCCCCCCAAAAAAAAACTCCCCAAACCGCCCGCCCAATTCTTCAAACCCGTGCGGAAAAAAAAACACACACACACAAAACGCCAAACGAAATCCCAATCCGTGAACAACCCCCTTCCTTCCTTCCCTCCCTATCTATCTATCTAATCTAACCTATCTATCTATCTAGCAAAAGGA